ACATGTATACGTGCTTGCATTATACTGGAAAAAAATATATATACTGTGTTCATTTATGGGGTAGTAATGATGTTAAAACATATATTAAGGCAGTATTTCATTTCCATTATTAGCATGATGGGTATAATCATCAGCTGCAATGATGTATGTAAGGCACAATAAGGCACAATATCATGTAACATACCATCCTCCTTGGATTACAAATGTCAATAAACTTTACAAAAATGGACTGCATAGTTCGTATACCTTCAACAGAAAAATATATGTTTACAATACACATTTTTGGCCAACTCCAGCGTGACAGACGGGACAGATTTACACTACCTTTTTTTTTCAAAGGCCTGCCACAACCTATATGTAAGGTGTAACCATCTAAGTTATGTGTAAAGTCAAAGCAAACACTCTGCATTTCAAATTAAAACACAATCCATGAAACTAGAGGATTCAGTTGCTGTATAGTGACAAAGTGAAACCAGCGTGACAGACGGGACGGAAGTTACACTCCATATTTTGAAAGTGACTTTCGTTGGAAAAAGTTAACTTCTCAGGCCAAGCACAAAAGTCCAGCAGTCACTTGATGATGAATGCATAGCATGCATCCACTGTCTGCCTGAGCCATGGATGTGAACTTTATAAGCTCTACACGACTACAGCAAATTTCACAAAACAGAGACCGGGGTACAATGTATCTTAACTATGCAATGCTTGTACAGTGTATCTTATTGTGGTGAAATTTTGTGCAATGTAAGTTTCACGAAACTTGGTATGTACGTAGAGCTGTGCAATGTATGAAATACATGTACATGTATACCAGGATGATCACAGTGCATGATTATTATCCACACATACCGGTACATGTATGTGTATGTGCACATCATTTCCGGATTTTAGAGGATTCAGATTCCTTCTTATCAAAAAAATAAGATGTTAATATTAACACACAAGATCCAGCATTTATATATCATTTAACCCTGCAAATCTTTCCATACATGTACGTATGCATGTACCAGCACAAATGTCCACATGTGCAAGTAAATTATGCTCTTCTCTACACTCACACATTCAACTTGAACTAGTTAGGGGATTTTGTTCAAGTGAAGTGCTTCCGAGTGGAAAAGTACAAGTACACAAGGGAGGGGGCCTTTGTGAAAGTGCAGGGGTGGGAACTACATAGTACATGTATACAGTATGTGAAAAGATATTTATAAGCAGCAGTCTCATCCAGTAGTTAAGAATCATGAAACAATAGAGTCCAACAATTTTATGGAGTACAGGGCGAGTCAAAAAGAAAGTGACCCAAAATATTTTTTTTTTATATAAAGCAATCAAATTTGAAACACAAATGAAGTATATCTTAAAAGAGCATGTGGTTAATTCCGAATGAGAGTAGCGAACTCATGAATTTTCAAAGTACTGGTACATTTTCTACAAGTAAATCATTTTTTTCTGGGAAAGTAGACAAACAAAGCTTTCACTTTCAGAAACAGTTTTTGCTTCTCCTTCTACTGCACTTTGATTTTTTTTTTATCAAGGATTGAAATTTCACTAATTTCACTTTGTCACTATATACGGCCACTGGATCCTCTAGTTTCATAGATTGTTTTTTATTTTGAAATACAGAGTGTTTACTTTGACTTTATCCCTAACATATTGGTTGTGGCAAGCCTTTGAAAAAAAAGGTAGTGTAAATCTATCCCGTCTGTCATGCCGGAATTGGCCATGTTCTTCCACTTATTTAAAAAAAAAATGATCAATGCTATCAGAAATTATGCGCATTTTACTAAAATAACCCATTTTTTTATCGCTGTCCATGGAATGCCATAGGAGGCTATTGAGACGAGTGAGAATTACAGCATTCAAATACCAATAAGATTTTAATCGCTTAAATCAAAACTGAAACATTATTTTTACTGTCAGATGGTTTGAATAATGATGAACATTTCATCTATTTTTTTTCTGAAATAATGGCAATTTTGGTACGTTTTCTTTTGCAAGTTCTCCTCCAATCATCGAGGTGGGAAAACGTCAATGTTTCATTGTATTCAATGGGTATTCATCAGTTTGTAGAACTGTAAATGATCAGTGGTGGACAGCTGAATTTTGTGATACTCATAACTTGGGAATAGAGTAAATGCAATTTACGGGAAATTTTCACAGTAAATGTTGGTGTCCTGAGTCTACCAAAATCCACCAGTGAGTCCATCAGAATCCACCAGTGTAGTACATATACCTCGTACACACGAAACATATAGCCAAGGAGTTAAACTGTTGAGATCCTGAATCCATCAAAGTCTGCTCAATATGGAGGTACATGTATCCTGAATCCATCAAAACCCTGCAGTACTGCTAGGCTTATACTGTCCCGAATCCATCAAAATCCCCCAATTTTTTTCCATATGGAGGTATCCTGGATCTGCTGGATTACTCCAAAACAGGGGTGCGGAATTTTATGGAATCAGGTATGTTAGGGTTAATGAAATAGAGAGAGCCACATATTTTTTAAAAAAATCTAATTCGGGCACTTTCTTTTTGACTCGATCGCCCGGAAGTACTTAAAAAAAAAACGGCTTTCAGGTATGTGTGTCAGATTTTTTAATTTTTATTTATTGCATAGGAATGCACCCATTCAGTATGTATTTAACCTCCGATTTTGTTCATTCAAAAAGTCTATTTTTCCATTAACACACATACGGTTTAAGTACCGTATGTATGTACATCGACACTGCGCATAAGTGTGTCCCAATTAAGCGAGTGACCTTATAAATTTTTATGCAATTTGCGGATTAGATAGAGGTTGCAACTAGATGTCCAGCTTTCACCTCAAGATGTTACACAGCACACGTTAAGAGATTTCCATGTCAAATTCTACTCTGTGTGGATACCTGATGATGCTCAGTACTGTGCGGTGTACGCATTTCAGCGTATGGTGCGCTGCATACATGTATTTTATGCATTGCAACTGTATCCCTATTTTGCCCATTAGAATATTTGTATGACCAAAACACCATTTTACAGTTTTGTTGAAGAAAGCAAAGAGAAGGGGAAAACTACCCTTTTTTAACTCTTTCGCTACGGCGAGCCGCTGATAGCGGCTCACCAAAATTGTACAAGTCGTGCGGAAAGCCGCTGGCAGCGGCTCGGTGACATCGCCGTGAATAAACAGGGTATCCCCATGACGTGTGCTTTATCTACATAATTTATGTCGTATAACCTCTGACCCTAGTTTGAGCCGCTGCCAGCGGCTCTCCGTCTGGCCGAGGTGCGCTGCAGGTTATTGTGAGCAGTTTGTTTACAGAGATACATTTAAAGATGGCGGCGTCCACATCGACACACGGCGGAATTTCCAGCGATTTATTACGTCCAAACGGGACAAAATCGGTAAGTTAAATTCCGTAGCGAAAGACTTAAAGCTACAAATCGTATGTTCCATGGGCCCTGAAACTGTGGGTCTTAATACAACTTAACATGGCCAAACTTTCTTTTTCTTCAAACTTTGCATTAAATGGTCTCTTGGAATGTGCAGCAATTTCTGAAAATATACTAACTGCAAAAACCTGAATACTTTTCCATTCAGACACATTGTTATTACATCCCATTAAAAAAAGTCACAATACTGATGAAACAGGAATGCAAAATCTGAGGGTTAGCGCAAAGTTACTCCAGAGTCCCAACTTGTTTATAGCTGATTTGACAATCTCTCACACAAAAAATAATAGCTGATGAAGACGACGTGAAAATCAGCAAAATTATTCTTAAGATAATAGTTTAAACAGTTTGAATGGACAAGCGCAAGTTAACTCCAGTGTCTAGTCAATGGAAAGATAGCCTTGGTCAAGGCGTTCGATGATAGTTTCCGATGATTGATGGTTGGCCGCTATTAAACGAAACAGTAGCCGCGCTTGGCACTCACAAGGCTACAATATGCAAATCATTTGGTGCTGAGCGAACGCCTTGGAACAACGGTCATAATGGCCTTTATATCATTTTCATGCAATTTTGTTTATCACTGGCTTTAAATCTAGTTATATTTGGTCTGTTGAACAAAAGAAATTGACGGGAGTAGGGACCTGAACCTGCGACCTCTGGATTGCCATTCCGGTGCTCTACCGACTGAGCTATCCAGACCTACCGGTATGTTGGCGGATTCCCACTTTGTCCACTACTTTGTTAAAAGGACACTAGCCAGAATGCCATGTAGCCAGTGATTACACCCTACACCTGTAAGTCACTATGCTTGCAACACAAATGCTACAAACCTGGGAAAAAGCAAACGGGATCAGTCTAGAGAATACTGCTTAACCAGTTCGCGCCGAAATTATTTTGACACTGACCGGACCCAGGCAACAGGATTGTTTTTCAAGAACCTCTATGCCAGACGAGTTCAGGCCGTCATCTGCGGTGAGCACACCCTGATATTTCCGGCGTCACTCACAGCGAGTGGGTCGCAGACAGATATTTCCAGCCTTGTGCGTTGCGTGTTTATCCGTCATCTGTTCTGAAAACCGCAAAACCTTTGCCGCTTTTTAAATTTTTACGGAGGCCAAGTGTATGGAGAAAAAAAAATGTCTACATTTCGGCGCGTATGTGCGGTTGCCCCACCTGACATCAAAAGCTGGATACGCTACTGACCTGGTTATAGTTTCCCACGGGTGTGTTAATTTGATAACTTGTTTTGGTTTAGCATGAATCTTGAACACCAGTCTGAAATAGTGTGTACTTGTAGGGAACTTCTCAAAATTCAGAATGCTTGGAACGTTCCAACAGGGAACATCGCCTGTGCCAAGTTCCCAATGGGAACAGCCCGGAATGACAGGTGATTCCGTGTGGGAACGTTGGTCCATGCATGTGCACGCTTACTCGGGAACAGCCCGTTCCAGGTAGCACAGTGTTCCTGAAAGGAACGTTCCATGTGGAACGGGCACGTTCCGACTTTTGAGACGTTCCCTTAGTGACACAAAATGAATTCAACTGTACTGATGTAAACAGATTTAAATACCTACCAACTTGGGAAGCCTGGTCGATCACCACAGGCTTCACCCTGTGGCGAACATCACACGCGCATTCTCCCCCGCCATCTGATTTGCATAATGACCTATGACCCTGCAGACGGCAGTGCCCCACTTGGTTAGACGAGGTCATTCCCGTGGCCAAATTATGCGCCTTGCTGTCCACCTGCGAGGCCACGCGCTCCAGTTCGCCTCGCAAGGTGAACCCCTCGCGGGCCAGCGATTTGGTTTCGTCTGAAAGCAGTTTCATGTGTTCCGTCAAGGCCTGCACAGACTGCAAAATCACGTCGTCTGATTCCCAAGTTCCAGTAACGCTGTCGGCCATCTCCATTTCGACATGTGTATCCGCAGACATGACTGCTTCTGCAAATTCACGTTTAGCGCTTGAAACAGGTTTTTCTCCAGCAGTATTTCTCACACAGGTTCTTGATCAAACACACACTGCAGTCCATGTCACAGACATATGCTTTGTATGTAAATGTACATGTACAATTGTAGGCTTTGTGCATACAGAAGTACTGAACATTGATAAAAATGAAAAGCCGTTCCGGTTCGGTGAAGTCAAATTCCTTACACAACTGCATTCAACTTCTGCTGGGCGGTTAACTTTTGATATTTTCAATTTAAATAAAAGTGTACATGTAGGCTGGAATGCAATGAGTTGATTTGAACAATTTGATTGACAAAGCCCAAGTTTTGAGGGCTGCATGGGGTCCGTGAGTCATGTTTAATTCATGACCGGCTCGCCTTCTGGTTTTTGGGCTGGTTGAAGTATCACTGTGCACTTCCGCTTTCATGGGTTCGGTGATGTAGGAAATGTCGTAAAGTCCATGCTGTGCATCCACTGCTTCCGATTGGTCAGTTGTTTGCTAATGAAATCTGATCCTTGATTGGTCAGTTAATGCTGGGCACTGGTAACATATGTGGGTGGAGCCTGCTAATGAAAGCTAGCCCATGATTGGTCAGTTGCTCCGCATCTGCCCTTCTCTGTAGGCTTCGATGGGGTTACCTTAAAAGCACCTGGATGGCAAAAAAAAATAAAAAACACAATCTGTAGATAAAGATGGCTGGACCACTAAAACCACACTGACCACAAATTAGCCCCAACTACAATGGATTTAGATAACAAATCACTCACACAACACAGGGTATAAGGTCAACGTTTTGATAATGCCCACAATAGGCCTATACTATAGTCTGAGTCAATATGTGATAACACGTCTCCTGATTTGAGACCATTTACTTAGTATAAGCTCATTCTAAAGCAAACAGTGCCATTTGTAATTATCTGTATTGTGAAATGTTAGATATATTTTGGTACAAGGAGGGGACAATACATGCACCTTGATCTGCTGGATTTGATATGGGAAACCCTTTTGATAACCAAGCGTGTTTTTGTATTGATTGATAGACCACCCAACTTACTGTCAGTGCAAGGCACAACATTTGCCTGCATGCCACCCAGCATTTTAACAATCCAAAATCCTAAATAAAATGAGCCCATTATAGTAAAGCCCTTTTCACACTAGACAAATCTCGGGGTTGACGCAGGGTTGACGCAGGGTTGAAAACATGCATCGTTTCACACTTGAAGAATTTCAACCATGCGTCAACCCTGCGTCAACCCCCAGATTGATTTCGCCCGGGTTGAACTCAACCCTGCTCCAGACCAGGGTTGAGATTGTCAACCCGGGTTGAAATTCTTGCCAGGGTTCAATACAGTAGTAACTGAGAATGATAAGCTTGATTTGCATGAAACATGTGTGAAATGATGTGGGGTTGAACGCCGGGTTGAAAAATCAAAAACTCAACCTAGGGCAGCACTGGGTTCGCCCAGGGTTGAGTTCAACCCAGGTTGAAAGGCTGTAGTGTGAAAAGGGCTGGCCAAACTGCCCAAAACCACCCTGCCTATTACTCCTTGTACTGCCTGAAACCACCTGAGCATCTACATGTATGTGTTTTTTCCCTTCATTCTTCATGGAATAAATACATTGTAATACAATGTAGTACAGGTGTTAATTGGATTAACCAATTCCCACTGGAAACAAAATTGGAAGTGGCTGTATTAGTTACAGTGCTGCCAACTGTTATTCAAATGAGCACAATTAAACATGCACTCGCAACAAAGCAAGTACTGAAGTTGAAACAACTGTAAGAACTGATTTGGAATAAAAGTTGAAGGAAAATTGAAGTGTGGTATTGGAATTCTGTATTTGTAACTAAATCCAAGTGTGGTATTGGAATTCTGTCTTTGTAACTAAATCCGTTAGGATCAGAATTTTCCAAACGAATGAAAAGTCAATTCGTACAGGGAACACTTATGCTATAAATTCTTAAAGTTCAGCAATTATCAATCCACAAATTCCATCGAAAACGTTCTGTTAAAAAAAAATATAAACAAATATAAAAGTGGCATAATGAGCTTTCTACTCTAGACTTTCTGTAAGCCTGTTTATGTTAGCTTTTTACTATCTACAAATTAAAAAAATAGGGGAAATTGTTTGGAACTCGATGAAGTGCCACAGACTTTGACTTTGCTTAATATTTATATGCAGTAAGGAGTCAGTCATCTTAAAATAAACATCTAGGACTAGTTGTAGACTTTATCCGCAATTAGACCATTGTATCACATATTTGTTGTGTGCATGATTCTAGCCAGCTTCCGCGAAATCTTCCTGTATCAGTTTGTAAAGAATGCTGATGGAGATTTTTTTTTCTACGCATGTTAATTACGTATGTGCATATGTATTAGCATAAACCCTGAACTCTGAAGTAAATTCTCCATACAATTTAGTTTACTCTTTGTGTACTCTGTGAAATAGATGGAAACTCTGATAGCAGAAAGTCATAAGTTCAATCCCTCTTTTAGTTCAAAAACATCTAGGAAATATTGTTTTAAATGTAGGGCAATTAAAGCTGACTAAATCCTTAAAATATCTGCTCTAAATTTACGAGTGATATTTTTTACGACCCTTCACCCATGCACTACAGTATTGCACAATGCACCGTATTTCAAGGACACCAATTGTGCCATTGTCATGGTGCTTATTTCGAAACTTTGTACTCTCAAAACGAAATCAAGCTGGAATCAGCATTGTTTAGAATTAACATACAATGACAAATAGTTTGGTTTCGAACTTGCACCCTAACAGTCTGACAGTCAGAACAGCATTTGCCATTTAAAGGTGCACATTCATTGTACTTTTTATTTACAAACTGCTTAAGTAATATGATAAGGCATGGGGAAAATATACATGCACACCTGAACGACATCTCGATTGTTTTTGTCAACCCTTTTTGTTTATTTAATCTTGCTTGAGTGAATTATGGTGTTATTGGCATATTGTATGAAAAGGGGTAGAACAGCAAGTTTACAATGATTTTTTTCGATCGATTAATCATTCCCTTTTCGATTACGGTTTCAAGTAATCGAACGGCCAACTTGTTTGGGAAAATGCAAGTTGCGAAAAACGGGATGAATTGAAAACTGAATCGTCTGTATCTCGATTCTAGACTTAGGCCATTCACATTTTCTGAAGACAAGCATCACATTCGTGGCATATACAACATTTTTGGCCATTCTCTCATGCCTTTTGAAAGGAAACCTTTATTTTCAAAAAGTTGTTTTCAATTAATCGAATAGAAAAATGAAACCGACTCATCGACACTTCCATCGATTAATCGAGTAACTGAATAATATGGTGCTTGGGGCCCTAGAAAAGGGGCCTCATTTATTATTGTCAGGTTGGCGTTGCAGTACTTTCCTCGCCTTCCACCGCTGTGACCCGGGTTCGAATCCCGCCTGGGCCAATATGTGGATTGGGTTTTCAGTCCCTACCTGATTCCGTGGGTTTTCCTCAGAATATTCTTCTGGGCTTTTCCTCCCCCCTCTAAAACTGTAATTTCTTCTCATTGTCTTCTCTCCACAGGTTTCTTCAGGCTTGCGAGCTACAGTGCCTAGGGTCCTTTTGAGCAATCCTTGGTTTCATTACCAAAAATGAATAATAATAATAATAACAATAAGGGAATAAATGTGTGCTCGAGAGGTTTTTATCACTCTGTTTAATACCGCTTAGAGTCTGGATGCTGATAATTACCCGAGCCGGAGGCGAGGGTAATTATCAGCACCCAGACTCTAAGCGGTATTAAACAGAGTGATAAATACCGACCGAGCACATATTTATTCCCATTCATAAATACCTTATCCGTAAAAAAATATCAAATAATTCGTTCAAAAAATCCTGATTTTGTTCAACAAGTTCACTTCATGCTTTTTGAAACATCCCTCTAGCAAAATAATGGAGTGTTCAGCTGGCGAGTAAGATGTAAACAACCCTTTTATGGAGATTGACGCGCGCGTAGCATGTTCTGCGCGATGTCACGCAGAACGCACCTGGGGCGTTGCGTTTTGAATTTAGAACTATAAAATTCTGACTCGCATGTAGTGTTGCGCATGCCTACGTGAGGATTGTGAACGTTCAACCAATGAAACGGTAAGAGGCACTGGATTTTTAGGAGTCCACATTCTATTGTGACACTGGAAAAGTGTTTAAGACCAGCTAGCCATGTCTTTATCATCCGTTTAAGACCGGCCACGTGACGGGCTCTCGACCAATAGGAATAGCTAAACTGTCTGAGGTATTTATGAATAACATATAAAGTGCAATTTGTTAAGCTCCAAAATATAATTTCACTAAATTCACCAAAATCAAATACACCACACAAACATTTTTTGGCAGTCCCCTTAAAGGGAATATATACAACATTTCAATTGCAAACATTAAAAACAAAACTACCAAATTGTTATGAAATACATGTACCTTACTGGACTGTCGGTGAATGACAGTCTGAAGCATCTGTCCTGTAAACATCATGGCACCTCATGTGCTGTCATTTTCAAGAGAGGTGGCTTTTTTGTATCAATTTCCAATGCTGGTCGGCTGACCAGCATTGGGAACAAAAGTTTTACTTTTTTTTTCTTCTTCAAATACTGCCCCCAATTTACCATATTTACTGAGTCTGCATTTTGTTTGCAATTGATGACACACCTAGTATGAACTGGTACAAGTCGGCTAGAATGGTTCCCCAACCTTACAATTCCCCAACGTCTGTAAATTACTCTGTTTCATCTGAAGTGGGGTTAGGGAACCAGACTATGTGAGGAACATGATTTTTCTTGGTTTTTCCAGCATCTAACACAAAACTTCAAACAAGTCAGTGTAACAATATTTGCTATGAAAACACTAACCCCCCAAATCCATCCATTTCTGAAAATTGCAGCAAAAGCAATTGTTGTATAGTCCCTTTAAATATTAGTGTAGCAGTCAATTCACAAATCCAGTCACAAGTGAAAGGGAATGAACAACAAGTAAGGAGTGCCGTTTGTAACAGTTGAGTTCAGACTGGATGGCATGTGTGACAGACTTGTAATTGACTTCATTGTGATGAATTGCAGTGTGATCCAACACGGCCTAGTACATGTACATGTACAACCATGGAGGCAACCACCTTGACCGCGTGCAATTCGCTCCATTGTCACAATAGGCTAAACTGCCTTGCTCTATGGTTGAACACACCCTACATGTACAAAATGTACATGCAAGCAGGTCAAATTATTAATGCATGTCTTTTTTCCTATTAACCCTATTAAACCCCCTAGCTAGGGTGATTTTAATACTAGGAACCTTCCTCATCCTTTCAAATTCCAACACCATATGGTAAACCACCTTGCTCAATGGGTAAACTGTTGCCATAAACAGTTGGACTCTGTTCATTTGTGGTATATATGTGAAGCACAGTCAGTTTACTAGTGTAGTACTCATCCTAACAGATTCTAACAAACCCTGGTGTTGGAGTTTGGCATCGTTAGGGTTAAAGAACTCAAACTATCATCTGGAAAGAATGTGATCCTCCCATATCCAACTTGTGACAACAATTGTAATTTTGCTTGGAAAAACTAATCAAGAGGCTGAACCCCACGAATTAAGAAATATGTATTTTAAAATGTTACATGACGTCCCATGGGTTCATTGCACAAGTACTCCTTCAATGCCCAGAAAAGAAGATTTGGGGAGACCTAGACTGGTTACCGGTCCATCCACTGCATATTTCAAATGATAAAAAGGTATTGGGGCGGAATTTCTATGAATTTTTTTTTTTGACAGAGCTGGCTTTTTTTTTAAGCAGCCACTGCCAGAAATACTGGGGCAAACTCCTTCTCTTTGCGATTTACTGGGTTCTTTTACGTGTATTACACAATGCACAGGACCTATGGGATTACGTCTCATCCGAAGGATGAAGCAATAATGGTAAAGTGTATTGCTTGAGGACACAAGTCAAGACTGGGACTCGAACCCACACTCTGCTGATGAGAAACATCTTAACCGCTCGGCCATGACACTCCACGAGCAACCGATGAAAACTGGTGTGCAAATGAATTGATATTTTCATCGGATGACGTCAGCCCGTCCCGGCCCCAACTATGGGGCTGTGAACCAGATACAACTGTCATTTGATTCTTCCTCATTATATATCAAGAATTAAACCTGATCATCCTTTCACACATTGTTACATAGTTTGTAATAAGAAATATTATAGTTTTGAAAATCCTATTTGAAAGCTTAATATCAGAATGAAGAAAGTTTTGTGGAACTCCTTTTTAGATACAAGTTTCATTACCTCATGAATATGAATATTACGACCATGCCAATATTTGCCAATCAGAATCAAAAGTTCAAGCTTACGCTTCCAACACTGACCAATCACAATCGTTCCTCTGGGCCCGATGACTTGTACATGTCTTTTCATGTACCAGGTGGAGTGTCATGGCCTAGCGGTTAAGAGCACCGGATTCATGTTCTGGTGTTTCAGAGGCAACAGTGACGTGGGTTCGAGCCCGCCGGCGGACACTTGTGCCCTTAAGCAAGGCACTTAACCATTCTTGCTTCGTCGCATGGGACGTAAAGCCGTAGGTCCGGTGTGTTGTATAATGCACGTTAAAGAACCAGTAACACTTGTCGCTAAGAGAAGGGGTTCACCCGGTGTCCTGGCAGTGGCCGAAGCACCTTATAAACCCTTAAAAGGTGCTACATAATGGGTCTCATATATCTCACGTACTGCATTCATCTAGTAATAGACATAACTTCCAGTGCCTTGTTTACCTATACTCCGTTGCGATAATATTATAGTTTTGAAAACCATATTTTAAAGCTGATCAGAATGAAGACAGTTTAGTGGAATTCCTTTTTAGATACCAGTTTCATTAACTCATGAATATGAATATTATGACCATGCCAATATTTGCCAATCAGAATCAAGATTTTCAAGCTCACGCAGTCACGCTTGACCAACACTGACCAATCTCAATCGTTCCTCTGGGCCTAATGACTGGTACATGTTCCTTGAAAAAAATTCTTTAAAAAAAATAGTATTTCTTTTCTAACATCTAAAGTTTAAAAGTTTAAAATTTTATTTCCAAATTATATTTCTTATGTTCTATTTGGGTTGACCCGACCTCTCTCTCTGGCCGGCAATTTCAACCAGGCCAGCCCAGCACTGAGTCAAAATAAATTAAGTGACTGTTTTTAACAGTTGAGGGCTCCCTGCCTCCACAAAGTAGGATTGACTGGCTGTGACTGTTATAAAATCTGATATAGCTATGCTAAGGAGGTTAATACTGATAGGCCATCTGTGCCTACGTGTGATCACCTGCTTTTGTCTCTTGATGGAATTTGACTGTCGCAGTAAGAAATATGATCTGACCGTTGGTGACTAGCCTGTGTAAAAGGCATGGAAAGGGAACAGGTAGTCCAAAAATTTAGGACTCTCAATACTGTGTATGGGAAATCCTTATCTTTAGGACCCTGTGCCTTAAGATAAGGTTAAAAGACTCACCAAAACAACTGACTAAATGGCACTCAAATCTTGACACATCTGAACAGTTGGTAACGACAGCTTCTTGAATATCAGCAGGTTAATTTTGTGGAAAGAGGGCAGCAATTTGATTTATGAGGGAATTTAAGGGGTAAAAGACAACAACGTCAACCAGAACACAGGCTCACAAACCAAGATGGCAAACGTGTAAGTTCGATGCAATGAAAGCTTGATGCTGCTTGGCTAATAACAAAACAAAAAAAAGGTTCTTTTTTTTAGCATCCAATCAGCATCAGCTTTCATTGTGTCGGGCTATCACGCGTAATGTATAAAACCCAATCCACATATTGACCCAGGCAGGTGAAAGGCGAGGAACATACCGCTACGACCCGACTCCCCTTAAGAGTCTGACTTGATCCACTTCACTCATTAATAACATGGATCCAACCTGACTCCACTTCACCACCTCCATAGTTTGACTGGTTCACCGTACCCCATAGGTTTGTGCAATGGAGGAACTGAGGAATAATATTGTGCATAAACCGCATTGCTTATTTGTCATCCATACCCATGAACATGATCATAATGCAATTATGTGAACGTCGAAAAGTTATGTCCAAAACATTGTCGAGTCAATCTACAACAAGTACAAGCTTACAGTTAATACATTGTTATGCCTGTTGACAACATTTTACCTGCACAAACTGTTTGACAGTCCAAAGTCATGAACACAACGAGTCCCAAGATCCTTGCTGCCGAGAGATCGAGCAAATTCACCTGCAGATCCAATATGTAACTGCGATGTTTCGGCCTGCATACTTATGCATCGATGTTTTTTTTCTTCCAAAATCAGCAAGTAGTGAATTGTTGACAAATGCATGCAGCGTGCACATTATGATAAGTCGCGCCGGCGCGCCGTGTCCAATTACAATAGGGCCGCTTCCATTGCACTAATAGGGGTGGCCGCATTACTTTAACGCGTTCGCAATTACTTTCGTCGGAAAACAGATCATGAATGTCATGCCCTCGTTGCCCTTTAAATATGGACACATTCATTGTATCTTGTGGTATGTATCTACTGTGACAAAACAATTGTTATGAATGACTGAATAATGGGTTTTATTTTTTTCAGTCCCCATGAACTCTATAATTAATGGAATGCGATTTCTACGGCAGTGGTTTTTGTAGTCCTGGCACAGGCGCTAGTGGATCGTCCTTGCTCTATGATCAGACCACCAGCGTGCCTGTTGGCACTATCATATTTGGGAAATCCTTAGGGGAGAGCGTTATATGTTTTAGAACAATGCAAATATATTAAACCGGAAACTTAAAGGCCAATAGGCCTATAATTCATTGGGTTTTTTTTTTTAAATTAACACTCTTTTGGCTGATTTCAAATTTTCAGGGGTCAATAATATTAACATCACACAGTATGTTGGTGAAAACACATTAGGGTCTACTTCTTGGACGATTCAGATTGTCCCAAAAAAACAGATTGTCCAAAAAAATATATATATAAGGTCAACAGGAGAACTTTTCAGTTGAAAAATGATTCGGATTACCCATGAACGAAGCCACATGATCGTAATGAAGGTGGAATGGTGGCCAGCATAGGCGTCGCCAGGATTTTTTTCCGGGGGGGGGGGGGCGGCAAGCAACTTTTTCATTGTATTCTCAATTTATCATTTTTCCAAGCGTGAGCAGGGGAGCATTTGCCCTACCCCCCCCCCATCAAATTAACAGCAATATGGCTTCGCACCTCTTTTTCCTTCTTTTTTTTTCACAACGCGACCCCTTCAATAGCCAAAAAAAAAAGAGGTGGATCTAGACTGGTTCCCGGTCCATCCACTGCATATTTCGAATGATCCAAAGTTTGTGGGTCCTGATGCTCACGCGAAGACCCTGTGGCTAATAGCTTTGGCACATTCTGGAACTTGTGCGTACTTCGCGCGCAAACCAGTGCAGTAGGCAAACGCTGTGTGTCCCGTCCACAGTGCTCTCAAAAGTGGTAAAAACACGCCTCTTTTGTTGGAGCCCATTTAGAGGTCATCACAAATTTGTTCAATCCATGTATCAGCTCCGTTTGGCTTTTTATCAATTTTTTTCTCAGAAAAGTACGTTATCAGGATCTACCCACTTCCAAGTTTGTGGAGAAAGGTTCTGCTGGAAAGGACCTTTTTGTATATAAATTTCAAGTGTAAAATATCGAGTGCAAAATGTCAAGCAGTTATTGAAACTGTCAGGAAAGGAATAAGGTTTGTGTGTATATGTATGCGTCCATCAAGTACAGACCTCTTTTTGTCCAAAGGTTGGGCATTTTTTAATACATGTGTATGATTATTTAAACTAATTCGAGTATACACTGTGGTTTATATTCGAGTATACAAAGGTTGGGCCCTTGCCAAAGAAGTTACTGCAGGGAAAGGTTCCTCTTCTCAACCAAACCAGACCGCTGGAGAAACTCAGTGTGGAAGATCGAGTCAACTCCTGGTACAGTCACTTCAAGATCCTCCTCGGTAGTCCCCCCAGTAGTGGAGAACGAGGATGAGGAAAAACAACCTGTCTTCCAGGACTTGCCGATCAGTGATGGAGCATTCACCATCAAAGAGTACCAATCTGAAAAAGCTCACTCAAACCGGGGAAAAGTTGCGGTGAAGATGGGATAGTGCCCAGTGAGGTGCAGAAATGGGTGCCGATAGACGACCTGGTACTAAACATCTTGAACAAGGCCTTCATAGACCGAGAGTTACAAAGGTAGTGGACAGTGCTCAAACATAATTCCTATCCCGAAGTCAAGTGATCTCACAAAGGCTGATAATTATAGAGGAATCAGCCTCAGCTCTGTGGTTGCCAAGGTCTACAACTGGATGATCCTGAATAGAATCCAACCAGTTCTAGATCCTCTGTGGCGCAAAAACCAGAATGGCTTCAGAGAGAAGAGGTCCACAGTCTCACAGATACTGGCTCTAAGAAGGATCATCGAAGGGGTTAACAGGAAGCATCTCCCAGCTGTGATGACCTTTATCCACTTCAGGAAGGCATTGACTAGATTTACCGTTGGAAATTGAAATTCTGCAAGCCTACGGAATCCCAGCGCGCATAGTTCAGGTAATCAGCGATGTGTATGCCAACACTTCTGCTAGGGTGCTAACCCCAGATGGCGAGTCAGACATCTTCGAGATCATGGCTGGTGTGCTGCAGGGTGATACTCTTGCGCCCTTTTTATTCGTCATCATTCTAGACTACGCTCTGAGGCGAGCAATCACGGGGAGGGCTGAGGAGCTGGGTTTCATTCTCTTACCAAGGCAAAGCAGACAGGTGAGTGCTGTTGTAGAGACTGACTTCGATTTTGCGGATAACATCGCTCTGGTCTCGATTCGGTGTAAAAGGTACAAGATCTGCTTCTCAGCGTGGAAAGAGAGTGCAAAAAGATTGGCCTTCAGATCAATGCCAAGAAGACGGAAGACATGTGCTTTAACACTGGGGATGTGAAAATCAACACCAAGGACGGCACTACCCTAGCTGTGAGAGAATACTTCATATACCAGGGCTCCCACATCAGCTCAACAGACAAAGACATCTGAGTAAGGAAAGCACACGCTTGCAAGGCTTGCCAAAACCTCAAGAAGAGCTGGAGGTCTTTGATGGCGGATAAACTCAAACCAGCTCTATTCCGTGCATCCGTGCAGTACATCCTACTCTACGGCTCCAAGGCATGGAGCCTTACTTCAAAGCAAGAAGCTCGACTCGATGGCTGCTATACTCGCATGCTGAGGATGGCTCTAGACACGAGTTGGAGAGACAAAGTCAGGAATGAGGTGCTCTATGGCAACCTGCCAAGGATCTCTACAACTATCAGACTTAGACGATGCGATTGGCTGGTCACTGCATTCTGCATCCAGAGATAGCTGCAAGCCAACTCATCTTATGGGAACCCACTCATGGAGTAGCCTCTCGACGTGGACCAGCTGCGTCGTGATACTGGGCTAGCCTCCGCAGCCGAGATCAGGATGGCCATCGGAGACCATGATGTGTGGCGTGTCTTTGTTGCAGTCCGATGAGTCGACTTGATGATGATGCAGTGGAATCTCAATAAGTCAACCCTACTTGGAATTGGCTCAAATTTTGTGTTAAGCAGAGTTTTGAGTTATCCAATGGATTTTCTATTCAACAACAATTGACGGGAATGAGTTTTTATATGAATTAGAAGGGTTTATTTAAGTTAGAACAGGTTTTGACTTATAGAGATTTCACTGTACAGTCGAACCCTGGTAAGAAGGGCACTGTTAATATAACATCCTGCTTATAACAAGGAACATTATTTTTAGGTCTCAAAGTCTCTGTTTTTCTTTGTTTTCCATTACTGATAACACAAGGTACCTGTTATAACAAGGTAATTTGTAAAATCCCGAGGACCTTGTTATAAAGGTGTGCCCATGTAATTAGAATATTGTGGAAATGCACCAATCAAGTTTAACATGCTCCAGCCTCAATTTACAAAGAGCGTACTAAAATAGTAAACAGAGGTTGCAGAAGTGCTGAAATGTAACAGATTTTAAGGGGCATTATGGGGAAAAAATTGTCTCATGGAAGCTGGCAAATCATGCGCAAATTTCCGCAAAAGTGGCTTTCCAGAGAGGCAGGGCATTTGACAAACAAAACCACGCAACTTAAATGATAAAAAGAACATTGTGACGTGTTTCATCTCCTGGAACTCGACAATCAAACTCAAGCTGCACTTCAAAAGTTACAGGTTTGAAACTATATATTTATTTTGCAAGACACAAACTGAATGCAATCATGTAACATGACTTCCTTCAGAAGATATTGAATTCTCTTGTGAAATAAAAGTGAAACAAAATATAGGAAACTGAAAAGGATTTGCTGGTGTTTTCATTTTCACAAGTTAATTAAAGGGACACTGCATCATGGAATGCGCCTACTTGGGCTACAAAACGCGCTTTGAACGAAACGCTGTTTAATCGGAAAGAACATTAAAAAGTAGGATATAAACATCCACACAACTATCCTTTAAAAGATGGCCGTTTTTGAGTTATTCTTGTGTTATTCGTGCGAGAACGACTTTCGACGTCCATTGTTTGCAACCCCAGAAAGTCAGGCTGTTCATGCTAGTTGTGATTCCAGCCATAAAGTGTTCGCCTTCTGCAGACGTGTTAGAAACCACATTTGTGCATTGGTGCTGTGTGTAATTTATGTGACATTGTACACAACGGGCATCGTACATTGACTGAAAACGACAGGAAAATATCTTTTCTCGGGAACGGTAAGACATTATAGGTTGGTTTCCTTTCAACCATATGTTCGAAATAGGATAAGTACACAATCCAAAACATGAACATTTCAGGACGCAGTGCCCCTTTAAAGAGGGTAATGGAAGGAGACAATTTGCATATCACTGGTTTCCACATACAGTCCACCATTTACATGGAATGCATACCAGGGAAGGGAAGTAGTCTGGTTTCTGGTCCTTAAATACAAAAACTTAAAAGAAGGGGCAGAAACCAGAGCTCACATCACTGGTTCCCATGCAACATTACATTTAAGACAACCATTGCATACCAGTGACATGCCGTGCATTCATTTATCAGATTTCTCTCCTTGTGGTTCAGTTTTGGTTACTACTGGAGCAGCGATTGGTTTAGACCTTGTCTGAACCTGGTTAGGCAGGTTAGATCTGGTTTGAACTCGGGTGGTCTGCAAATCCGGTTTAGTTTTAGTTTGGGTTTGCAAATCCAGTTTAGGTTTACTTTGGGTTTGCAAATCCGGTTTAGGTTTACTTTGGGTTTGCAAATCCGGTTTGGTTTTAGTTTGGGTTTGCAAATCCGGTTTAGTTTTAGTAACAGTCACTACTGCTGGTTTAGATCTGGTTTGAATGGTGCTGACTTTGTGTTCCTCCTTAGTTATAGTTGGTTTGGATCGAGTTTGCATAGTACTGAGTACAATGGAAGGTTCTTCACTCGTTTTAGTTTGAACTCTCGTATCTGTTTGGATTGTGTCGGTGGCGGTCGTTAGTAGATATCGTAGACTACTCCCTGATGTCACAGAGCAGGGCGGTTCTGTTGATGTGGAAATATTCAAGTCTTGATCTTGCTTCAGATCTGTGATAAATTAAAAAAAGAAAATTAATAAATATTCATGTTCTCATTGTTCTTTGTTGTGTACTTGTCAAAAAAAGACTTTTCAATTTGTGCCTTTACCTGATTGGTCAGATTTCCTGACGCTGCTCCCTCCTTCCCGACGGCTTTTCTTCCCAGAGTCCCTTGCCTTGTGTTTGGTTTGACCTTTGACCTCCTGGTCATGTGACCGTGTTGTCGTGAACTTCATCCACTTGTAACTGAGGCACTTCCGCGCACCCGGCGAACACTGGATCAGGTTTTGGATCGTTGGGTGCGTCAGTCCAAAAAAGTCGGTTCCCTTGCCTTTTGCGCTGGGAATCTCTTGACCACTTTGTGAAAAAGAAATTTATTTAAAGGAAAACTTTCAATAAAGCTGACTCTGAAATTTACTCCAGTGGAACGTGCACCCTAGACTTTAACCGAAAATAATGTACTTGTGCTCTAGCAACTGAACTACGTGTATACGTGTATCTCGTGGTAGAATTTTAGTCAGGTGCAAAGACTTATCAATCATGAATCATTCGCAAGTTAATCACTGATCAGTCGCTTGTCAATCACAAGCCAGTCACAAGTCAATCACAAGTCAATCACTAATCAACCAAAAGTCAATCTTAAGCCATTCACAAGTCAGTCACAAGTCAATCGTTGATCAATCACTCTTCTATCACTAGCCATCCAGCCTCAAGTCAAGTGACACTATTCAAATGAAGAAAGACAAAAGCTATTTCTTTGTCATTATTCATCTCCAGTTACTCGTGATATTACTTGTGATAGGTCTTGTGATTGTCTTGTGATTGTCTAGTGATTGTCTTGTGATTGTCTTGTGGTTTGTTTTGTGATTGACTTGTAATTGTCTAGTGATTGACTTGTGATAGACTTGGGATTGTCTTGTGGTTGTCTACTGATTGTCAAGTGATTGTCTTGTGATTGTCTTGTGATTGTCTAGTGATTGTCTTGTGATTGTCTTGGGATTGTCTTGTGGTTGTCTTCAGGTTGTCTAATGATTGTCTTGAGATTGTCTTGTGGTTGTCTTGTGATTGACTTGTGATTGTCTTGTGACCATTTGACCCATGTGTTCCCATGCTGTTCCCAGTGGTAACAAAATATCTTCCTAATTAGCCAGGCAGTTTTCCCAAGTGAAACTTTCCAAATGTTGCAAGTTTTGAGACGTTTTCTCAGACCTACCCATATGTATTGATTTCATCCAGCAAATTGTCGTGACATTCCGTCGGTGACGAACCAACAAATGGATGATCCGGTTCATCCTCTGCAACAATCTCAAACTGTGGAAAGAAACACAAACAGACAAATCGTCACCAACACCACGAAGTAACACCCATCTACATACCAGTAAAAACTAGCAATCGGAGAAAACGGCAACTATAGTTGAACGCCTTCTAAAACAACACTTTGCGTCAAAACGACAGAGTATTTTCAGTTGGGTTTCTCGTTGTGGATACTTGATGAATTGAATTAATTAAATCTGCTGTTTTTCACCCGTTTGTGTATTAAATAAACAAGAAATAAGAGAAAAAAGATGAGTGTTAGTTCATGAAACCGAAAAAGCTGCAAAACTGTAAATTTTCGTTTTCACGAAGTAACACTCTTCAATGTATACAACACGAGGAAAGTGCAACTTCAGGTCAGCGCGCGCGCGCTCATACAACTTATTACAAGAAGAGTGCTACTTCGTGAAAACGTTTTTGCTCACTTATGAGCAGAGTGCGCGCCATGCATTGCAATGGTAAATGGATACTTGAGTGTTACTTTGTGAAAACGAAAATTGTCACTTTTACGCAAAAGTTGCCATGGATACTTAGTGTAATTATTAAAGTAAAGCTCTTGAAGCTTTGAAACTTCGTGCAATGGTAGGCCTTGATGAATAATGTTTAAAAATCCAAAAAACTGAAAATCGAAAAAAATATGGTTTAACACGGTAGAGTGTTACTTCGTGGTGTCGGTGACGAAATAATATCAAACAAACAAACAACATCTGCACGATTAAGGTACATGCATGGACACAATTGTCAGAAAGTTGACGTGACCATTCTGGACCAATGAAAAGACAGTATCCACGAAGGAACATCACAGTGACGTACCCTTGGTTGCTGGCCAGCATCCAGCACTTTACACGTGTACAGACACGTGACGTTAGGATCCTTAGCGCTGGTGTACATACGACTGCTGCAGAATCCAGCTGGGTAGATGCAATGTTCGCCGTGGTAAGCGGGTCGATCTGTTATGATTTGACCAAGACTGTGAACAGTCAGGCTGCTTAGCTTGATGGGAAATATTGGCATGCCTGAAAGAAAAAAAAAAGAAGGAATTAAATCAATCTGAGCATGACAAATAGAGAGCGATGCAAAGCTGCCAACTATTACGAATTTTTCGTAATTACTACAATTTTTTTGATGAATTACGAAAATACGAATTGCCACAAAAAAATTGCGAATTTCCCATTTCTACCTAACGAAAAAAAAATATGCTTGTAAAGTATCGTTTTTGCCCGAAAACTTCTGGCTAAATGTTACGATAATGGATGGACTGGTGACAAGTCTAATATGCAATGCGGTCAAGCACCTGATAGACATCAATGCGGTGTGCGCAGTGGAGTACTTGAGGACCAGACTTAAAATATTTTTCAGTGGTGTGTCATTTTGTGTGCACCTCGTGGATGTGTGGTTGTGTGTATTGACTAATTTTCAGTGACGACGTGAGCGCAATTAATTGGTCGCTTATTGCCGGGATGAGACCCATCAGTGCGAAATTTTGATCATGGAATTTAATAAGAGTATGGTTGGAAGAAGTGGTAATAGACTTTGAGTTTATCACAACGTCCAGAAAAGATAAATCAGCATGCGTTTGCAAGGTATGTTGGCGGGATATTTTCAATGCATATTGAAATGCATATATTTTCAGCACTCTGATTTCACCGGACACAATATTTATGTTAATCAAATTAGGTTTTGCCCTTCACCGACGTATAAACACTGTATACTCACTCGGGAGGGACTTGAACCCACGACCTCCTGCTTTCTAGTGCAGATGTCTTACCACTCGACCACCGAGCTAACGGGATCGGTTGGCTGGTTCGAATCTGATGTACATAGCAGCGGGTACCGCATTAACTATTCATAAGATGGAATTTTGCGTCGGGGTGATGTAAATCAAATTAGGTTTACAGTGTATACAGTGTTTATACGTCAGTGAAGGGCAAAACCTAATTTGATTTACATCACCCCGATGCAAAATTCCATCTTATGAATACTTATGTTATTAGCAATCAGATTCACAAAGGAAGTCACATGATTCAAATTTGACAGCTGCCATCTTATCATGTGACTGATCATCACGTGACCAATTATAGAACGGTATCAGGCATGTGTATGAGTTAACGTTGGGTTCTCCGCAATGGTGAAAAAAAATGTACCAGTCATCTCATGAGCCAGTAAAATCAAAAAGGTGTGCAACGAGCTTTAGTCTGTCAAGAAATTACTTCCTAATCTCCTCAGACAACGATTTCGCCAGAATTTGTGGTTGAGAGTTTACCTTCAGAATCTAATGGTATCTGCTGCACAAGACGCTTACTTGACATGCTCGATGACCTTTTGGATTTTGACCTGCCAGAATCCTTTCTTGGCTTATCTACAAAAACATACAAATATTAAGAAATAAATAAAGAAACCTAATATAAATTGAGAAAAACCTCAGGACCACAGCACAGAAAACAAACTAAAGTACAATGAATTTCGGTGAAAAACAATTATTTTTGTGAGTTTTCAAAAAGACACTAAGAACCAAAATACCTAACACAAAACTATAAATAATTTGAAAATTCACACCTCCCATGCATTTCCCGTACCGACCAGTGACTGAGTTTTGCTTTTGCATTTAATTTTCGTTTGTCTTTCCAGCTTTCGCACATCCTTCGCACTAGTCCTTTCATAAGTAACGCTCTGCCACCTCTATTGAACTGTGAACTCCTACTGATCTGAAATGCAGGAGTTAAGTTAATGGCACAAAGGGCACTAGACTGATGTACGTGCCACCATACCACATCAACCACAATAACAACCTCCTAAAAGGTGCTGTGGCCTCATGGTCTGGAGCATTGAATTCGTGGTCTGCGGTTAATTCCACAGGTTGTGGGTTCGAGTCCAGCCTGGTTATGGTGTGTGTGTCCTTGGGCAAGGCACTTTGTCGTTCATTGCTTCTCTCCACCCAGGAGTAAATGGGTACCTGTGAGGGCAGAGAGGGTTACTGTGGTTGGCTGCTTTGCGCCGAAATGGCAGCATGGAGCTGTATACTCCCAAGGGAGCTGAGATGGTATTTGGAATGTTTCATTGGCCCAATGAGCAGGGTAATAATAAGCACCTTATGTCCTTTGGCAATTTGGTGCTATATAAATCCAGTTATTATTATTATTTATTAAAACTTGACAGATTTTTTCCAAATCAAGACAAATCACAATGATATCGTGGGAAATTCAAAGTTTACCCTTTTCAGACTTTTTAGCTTTCTTATGTTTCCTCTTATTCTTGTTCCCTTTCTCGCGTTTGTTTAGTGACGACAGTGATGAAATCAGATGTCCGTCGCCACCTTCACTGGTCCCATGACGTTTGGATACCGGGCGCCGGGAGGAGGGCGTGGCTTTGGTGGAAGTGGGCGGGACGTCGCAGATTTCTTGGTAGTGCAGGACGCGTTGTAAGAGGAAGAATCGTTCTTGCTGCGCTCGCTTGACTTTCTGCTCGGTACGACACACCTCATCATTCAAAGCGGCATTTTCCTGGAATGAAACACCAAGGAAATATAACCCTAAAGGAGTCATTTCAACAAATGTTCGGGAAAAGTTGAGGAAAAATTTTATCCACAACAGGCCCATTGTATTTTGTATTTTGTATTAGTTTCAGGATTCTGAACAAATGTTCTGGAATTTTTCCTGGGAAGAGGTGATGAAGAAAGGAGTTGAATTAATTCTGCTGTCCAAAAACAGAGTTAAAGGGAATATGCAACATTTGCTTTTGCTGTAAATTTCAGAAATTGATGGATTGGGGGGGGGGGGGGTTAGTATTTTATAGCAAATATTGTTACACCGACTTGTTTTGTGTTCGTAGATGCTTGAAAAGCCAAGAAAAACAATCATGTTCCTGTAGTCTGGTTCCCTCATCCCACGTAAGATGACACGGAGCAATTTATAGATGCCGGGGAATTGTAAGGTCAGGGAACAAGTCTATCTGGCTTGTATCCATTCATAGGTGTGTAATCAAATGCAAACAAACATGCGGACTTACTAATGTCGTAAGTTGCGGGCAGTATTGAAAAAAGCCAGTTTTTTTTCAAGGCTGGTCAGCCGATCAGCTTTGGAAATTGATACAAAAATATCGCTTTTCTTGGAAATGACAAAACACCAGGTGCCATGATTTTACAGGATGATTTTGACAGTCAATCACTAACAGTCCAGTATTGGTATTTCATAATAATTTGGTAGTTTTTTTTTTTGATGTTCGCAAATGTTGTATATTCCCTTTAAGGCTTACTTACGAATATCATGAGTTTGATGAGCTTTCGTAGCTTGCGGTATTTAACCTTGTAGCGTAGGGACTGGACTGCGGCATTGTCCTTTGGCGTCGCTCGTTTACGTGATGTGGTGTGAGTCGGCGCGTTGCGCTTTCTCACTTTATCTTCTGCTGTCTGTGGGAAAACAAGACATGGCAAGCCTAGCAAAGATGGTCCCAAACACACAAAATTCGATTCAGAATGGCTATTCACTGGATGTCTTTTCATGCATGTTGTCTACACAATGAGCCAGATTTAACTCATTCATTGGCGATACAGGGTAGCCTATTTCAAATTTGTGGGCTGAGGTGAGACTTAAGCAAGTCTAATACATTGAGTTTGTCCATCTTAACCCTTTCATGCCCACATTGTTTATTGACTTGGCTCTCCCCAGGACCAAATTGTTTGCTCAGTCATGCGGAAATCACTAGAGTGTGAAAAAAATGAGCACGAGTCAAAACTCACTTTTTTCAACCCAGATTTTCACTGCCAAGGAGTGATTTAAATCATAGGTGATGTGTGTAACGTTTGTTCCTTGAACCTTACTCTTTTATGTGATGTAAAAATGAGGTCCATACGTGCAAATATAAGAAAGTAATGCCTTTTTGTTCATCTGGTCCCAATTATCAAACTGCAAGCCATTTCACCACATGACCAAATGGCACTCCATACCTCAAATTGTGCGTGGATACTTCTGAAGCACTTTTCTCATTTTTTTGTAATGGTAACACTATGAATTACCCACACCAATAGAAAGATCCGAAAACACTCTTTCAGCTGGTATATAGTTGATGTATGGGCGGCCAAACATATCAACATTCCGCCTTTCTGAAAAGTAGTGAATATGTCTGTGTTGAGGGTGTTTTGTGTGTGGTTTCCTTTTGTGTGTGGTTTCCTTTTGTCGACAAAAGTCGCCCATGGTAAGGAAAGGGTTAAGTTAGCATGTGTGTACGTGTTCTAAAAAAACCTGAGGACCGACACACAAAGGGAAAACAACAGATCCTTCAGTCCTCGGGAGTTGGGTCTTTTGTTGCAAACGGTCCTCTGTAGTAAGTTTGTGTGCTTAGTCTATGGGAGAGTGTTATATTACAGGGACAAAGGGAAACACAAAGCATTGTCCTCGAGAGTATAGTAAAACAAGAGCGTGTGCTCTGTGCGAGGCTCAATGCTTATAATTTGTGAAATGACCACAGGTCCTTTAGTAGAAACAAGACATAGGGCCAAGTTGGCAATAACAGGTCTGTGCATGAACTATAGAGGGCGCCCTTTATCCATCTCAGGAGAAGCAAGTGCACACTGATTCCAATGCAGCTGAACCAACTGTAGCCTACAGTAATTTGCAGTGATCATAATGGACCATTCCAGATTCGGCCCGAAGACACTTTCAGCTGTGTATATTTCTCACAGTATTTGTGAGAGAGTTTGACCAACCTTGGTCACATGGCCAAAAGTCCCAATCTTGTTGTTCAATTTAAGCACACTCTTTGATTGACAGGCAGGACGGATCCATTATGCTAATCATAATACCATTATTCCGAAGACTCCGTTTTGTCCTTCCACGCGTTTGAATCGTCGACTGCCGCGCTGAGTGTCGCGGTAGAGAACCGCTTCTAATGACGACTTGGCACTGGATTGGACCAGACCTCGGTCTAAAATACGCTGCTTGATGACTTTGATGTGCAGAGGACATGCGGCTTCTTCTAAAACGACCTGAAGGACAAACAAGTATGGAGGGCAAAATGGTCAAAAATGTGAACAATTCTGGACATTGAGAAATTCTTATCTGGGCAGGAGATCGACATATTCCTACCTGGGCAGAAAATTGACTAAGAATTTAAGCATTTCAAGCTGGGCTAAAATTTGATGGATTTTTGACGGGTTAACATAATCCCTACAGTTCGGCAAGATTTTGACATATTCTTACCCGGGCACGATATTTACAGACATGTTTTCTTACTTGGGTCAGAAACGGACATTTATTTTTACCTTGACAGGAGATTGACATAATTCCAACCTGGGCAAGTGATTGACATATTCTTACCTGGGCAGCGTCCAGCCACGTCATTCCTGGTCGGTCACTACAATCTGAACCAGTCATGTCACTATGGCAAACAAAATATCAAACAAAAATGATTTTATTTCAAATATTCAAATAATATAATATAAAGCGTCCTGCACTTCCTGTATCTGTCTTGCTAACCAGAAAATATTGTTAAGCAAATTTTGTGCACAATTCAACCACAAAGCCAGCAACAAGCAGCATTATTGTACAGCTGTTTGTCTGATAACTTGTTTGTACTAAGCATGTAATGTTGGCACTTAGCAAAATTATATGCTTTACAGGTTCATGAAATTGTCCCTTGATGTTCACCAAATCTCGACTCTTGGGCATAATAAGAATCGATTACAAAAATGATTGTAATCGCCCAAGCCTAGCCCTGTGGCTAATATAGCTGTTTGTCAAACAGTGGCTTTATCTCAGCTTTGGCTTCACATGGTTTTAGCCCCTTGACTTCGGGGATCAAGCTCATGGCCCCTGTTCCTGCTTGAAAGACATCAAATCCTATAACACCAGGATGAAGTTTGGAGTTTCATCCTAGCTTTGGCTTCAAGAGATGTAGCCAAAGCTGGGATGAAGAAAAGTTTTCATAAATTCCATGTTATGTTTGAGGAACATCAAATCCTATAAAACCAGGCTGAAGTTTTGAGTTTCGTCCCAGCATTGGCTTCAAGAGATGAAACCAAAGCCTGCATGAAAGTGATGACGCTTTGGCTTGAAGTGATGAAGCCACAGCTTGGATGAAACCAGAGTTTCATAAAATCCATGTTCTGCTTGAAAACCATCCAATCCTATAATACCAGGCTGAAGTTTGGAGTTTCATTTCAGCTTTGGCTTCAAGAGACGTAGCCAAAGCTGGGATGAAGCCAGAGTTTTATAAACTCCATGTTCTGCTTGAAGAATGCCATGCTGAAGTTTGGAGTTTCATTCCAGGTTTGGCTTCAAGAGATGTAGCCAAAGCTGGGAGGAAGCCATGTTTTTAACAAATTCTTTGACATACCCTTGACTGCATGCTGGTGCAACTGAGTTGACTGCAGTAGGAGCTGTAGGGACAGATGCAAAGACTTCTGTAGGCATCATGTCAGCTGAGTAGTCAGGTGACATCAGGGGTGGCGGGATGGAAGGAAAACTGGATGGGTAATTGGTAGAGTTGCTCATCGTCTGTAGAAAGGATAGAACAAAGGGAGTTAAGAAGCATCGACTGATGTAGGGTTCGAACCTGTAACCCCTGAAGTACATATACCGGTACCAGTGCTTTACCAACTGAGCTCTATGTTTATGACACAGGCAATGGACTCCGTGCACAAGTACACTGCCAGAAAAGGAAAGTTGGAGGAGACTGTTACAACTGATAATGTAGTAACCAACTGATAATGTATCACCAACCGATAATGTCACACAAGTTGACCGATACTGTATCACTAACCGATAATGTAACAGAAATTGACCGACAGTGTAGTAAACGTTACTACACTATCGGTCAATATTTGTTTCATTATCGGGTAAGACCGATAATGTAACAACAATCGACTGATAGTGTAGTACTGACATTTTTACCACACTATCAGTCAATTTCTGTTGCATTATCGGTTAGTGATACAGTATCGGTCAATTTGTGTGACATTATCGGTTGGTGATACATTATCCGTTGGTTACTACATTATCAGTTGTAACAGGAGACCTAGACTGGTTCCTGGTCCATCCACTGCATACGTGTATTTTGAATGATCCAAAGTTATTAGGGGCGGGGATTAGTCTGGGAGACCATCACAAGTTAAATTCAAATGTATTCGTGCGCAGACGACACCTGACGCTTACGTGAAGACACTGTGGTTATTATAATAGTTTTGGCACATTCACGGAGTCGTGCGTACTTCGCGCGAACCTGTCCAGTACAGTACAGTACACACATCCATGGGGCTCTCAAAAATGGTAAAAACATGCCCACTTTTGTTGGCGCACGCAGCCCATAGCTGGTAATCATTTGTGTTGAAATATGAACCATAGTTGGGTTTAGTAAAGAAAACTGACTGAAGTGGGGTGCGAACTGGCAACCTCTGAAGTACCGTACCACTGCTCTACCGAGCTATAGGCCTATGCTTGTGACACAGGCAATAGTACATGTAGGTTATCATTTGTGTGTTAAAATATGAAACATGGTTGGGTTTTGTATAGAGAGGATTAACTGAAGTGGGGATCGAACCTGCAACCTCTAAAGTGCTATACAAACTATTGGTAACAACATATTGCACGCATGTTGGTACCGGTACATGTATTGGGCTCACTAACATGGTTGAAGGTACAGTCCATCATTTGCAGCTATCCAAAAAGTAACTGACGTAATTATTGTTGAAAAGCTTACTTGGTTTAAAGATGGTAATGGGACTAAACTCCCTGTGAAATTCTTCTTTCTGGCAAGCTGTCATTTTGAAGAAATCAATGAAAGAAGGCCTAAAGACGCATCGTTGGGAATTTCCATAAGTAGTTCGTTTTTTTTATTCGGCAAAGACACGACGCACTATGATTGCTTGCAATAATTTGTCCGTTCAGTGCGCAACATCGCGTACCTGCAATCAGCTCATTAGTGAGAACGTGTCTCGGATGCTGAATTCAGGCCCAATTCAAAACATGGCTCAGCAACTCTTGATTTGAAATTGAGATCCTAGAATATTGTTTTCTCCGAATATGCAGCATTCACCGAGCTAAAACTTCATCAGGTTAGTTGTTCAGCACCCTTCTTTAGATTTTGAGCACTTTTGTTGCTTCAAACGAACATAATGCACAAAAGACAAATGATGGACTGTACTGGCCTTTCAACCATTGTCTGCACTTGAACTTGCTCGTATTGACTCCACCAGTCTCTGTGTCCAAGTACCCCCTCAACAGTTACAAAGAGAGAGTTGGGGAGATCACTGGGAGGGACTTGCATTGCCACCATAAGCCTGATGCTTTTGCAAAGACACTTCAGGCTTGTGCACATTCATTCTCGCATACTGTTTTATCTACTGTTCACGCATGTAGACCATACGTACATCACAATGTCTTCAAATTAATGAAGACATAATCACCAGAGCACAAACCTGTTGTTGTGTCGTTACACCAAATCCAGCCATGATGCCCTGTCTATCTGCATTAGGAGCCATTCCACCGAGCCCTAGCCCAAGACTATGCAATGGAAGACCATGCGGGTGTGGTAAACCAAACGGCAAACCTAAGCTAGCCGCTGCAGCGGCTGCGGCTAGACTGGCGCCTTGCCCTGCTAGGTCTTGTGCCCCGAGGTTTGGCATCATGCCTGGACGAAGCCGGGCAAGTTGGCTTGCTAGGGTCAGTTGATGGGATGAAGGCATTGGTAGCATGTTGGCTGCTGTGAATTGAATTCAAAAGAAGATTGAATAAGAATGCTTCCAGTTTTATAATTTTTTTTTTAATAAAAGCATAGCTTCATCAGATGATGAAGAAATCTGTTCATTTGGATGCAAACTTCACCATCGATACTCAAGACGTGTTAATCATTCAGGAAAAAAAATATAGGCCAAGTAAAAAAAAAATAGCAGTTTCCGTTCGGCCTTTTTGAAAAAGTGAAGGAGGCAGGTGTTGTTTTTTTATGGGGGATGGATTCTTCAACTTTCTCGACTATTTTGCCGATACAAAATTGTTCCCAAAGGCGCCATTACCTTTTCTGCATACATGCTGCTCTGCAATTTTGTTGAAAACAAATAAAAAGACAATATAATATAAAGTAATAGATATACTTGTGCAAAATATTTTGGAAAAAAAACAAAAAACAAAGGAGGCGACGAAGAAAAAAGGAAGCACGCAGGATGAGAAATATATTTTTTACTTTGACCTAAACATGCTAAACAAATCAAGTTACTGTACTTGCCTTGTTCACATTGGAAATCAATCGATGAAAAACATTCGAATTTCCAAAAAATATATGAATTTTGTTTTACCTGCATGAGATTGCACATTTCCAGGATATCCAATGTGTGGATGCGGTACTTGGCCCCCAGGACTCGGCAATTCAGGACCAACAGTAACATGCCGCTGCTGCTGTTGCTGCTGCAATTCATGCAGCTGATGTGCTTGCTGTAAGTGCAGCAAGTGAGCTTGTTGCTGTAACAACGACTGCACCGTAGCTGGGCCGCTGTGATTCGACCCCGTGGCTCCCGGCGAAGGAAACGGCGGCCGCACGCTACCAAAATCAAACCCCGGTAAGTGTGAAAATTGAGTACTAGAAGCAGAACTTGAAGTAAGGTTAGGTACTCCCTGTGTGGCGGTCGCTCCTGTTGTTGTCGTTGAAGGGGAATTGGAGCCAAAATTCGGTGAATTTACTGGCGTGGAAACGACCACAGGTTCAGTTTTAATTTTGACCTTCGCCTCCATGTTTGATCGATTAGACTATCAAACAGGGCTAAAATCCATCTGGTAAAAGATGGATGGGCGGGGCATCTTTATTGTCGTTTTCGATTCCCTCTTCGTTTGAATCATGGAATGTATCCTTTAAAATATATATATATATAGGAGGGGTAGGTAGCTTTATAAAAAAACATAAAAATTTATTTCAAATCCTCGGTATATATTGTCTCATATTTGGATATTTAAATTAATGAAGTAAATTAGAGGGATGGCATTATACATAACCTCAAACGAGCAAGAGATTTTTTTTCTTTCGCCAGTTAAATTGGAATTGAAAACTTATCCAGTCCCAAATTTGAGATTAAAATGACAGAGATGTTTCTGCAAAGTAATTGTTGGACTGTTTTGTTTAGTTGAACCCCCCCCCCCTCCTCAACCCCCGGCCCCCACCATTTGAGTGGAACAATCCAAGAATTTGACACGTCGCGCGCGCGCGCTGAGCACACGTGCTTTGGTCTCCTGTCAGAATTCATGCACGTGGTTTCATTCGTGGGAAATCAACGAAAAATGTCCCTTTTTTGACTGAATTCTTGTGTACAAACGCTTTGATGTCGTTTTTTAACAATCAGAGAAGTATCCTAGACCCAAATTGTTTGCACCAACAGACTGGGAATGATGTTATTTGACCACTGAAAATTGGGAATCAGCCAAAGGAGTCGTGCATATTCCTATACCTCCATGTGTATACTATTCGACGTGTGGAACCCAACAGTGTCGAATGTCCTCCGTGCACTCTCTACTTTCTCGGTAGCCCATGCATACAATGTAGAGTAGAGCATGCAATGTACATGTACATGTACATGTGCTTGCAAGAACGACACCCCATGAAGAAGGACGGATGTCTGAAAGCTCGGGTACAACAGATCCGGTGAGCACTGTTCCACATTAACTGTTATTATTTTCTGTACTGATCGATAGTGATTATAATGTAGTTGCACATGTAAGCAATGGTAAATCATGGGTAAAGCGCCCATGCACAACTGTTTTTGACTTTCTCTACCCATGGAGTAGCTGGAGTTACCCAGCCCTGAATTTTATCATTGGGTTGTCATGTAGGGCTGGAGCTAATTTTTCACGTAACCGAGCAGCGTAAGCAGGTCCCCCAATTTTTTTTGGAAAATGTTCAATTTTGTCCCTGTTACACACTAATTGCAACTGCAACTCAACCCAAACTCGCCTGGAATAACCATTACACAGGTCCTTGAAGTAAAAAACGATCCACGATGAAGATTCAGCCTACAATTGCAGTGAAAAAAGGAGGAATAACCGCTAACCTGACAACCTTGCAGGCATGGCCAGGACCGCAATTGGTTTGTGCACAAAAAAAATTGTGTACAATGAATGGCGGTCGATTACTAGGCACAGAGCGCTGTCAACTACTCGTTTTTGCCAGCTGCGCTGGCTGTTGGCGCATGACGTCACGCGGAAGCGTAACACCTGATGACTGTTTCATGCACTATCGGTTGCGGTTCCAGTACCAAAGCTGTGATGCGAGTGGTAAACCTCATATTAGTGCATGAAACAGTCATCGGGTGTTACGCTTCCGCGTGACGTCATGCGCCAACAGCCAGCGCAGCCGGCAAAAACGAGTAGTTGACAGTGCTCTGTGCCTGGTAATCGACCGCCATTCATTGTACAAAATTTTGTGTGTGCACAAACCAATTGCGGTCCTGGCCATGCCTGCGGTCGTTATCTGATTGATCGCGGCGTGAGACATGGCCCCCTTCATCTGTGCTTGTGCTAACTCCTTCTATTCCTACCACCTCCATGGTAAGAGCAGCATGAGCAGGCGTGTGGTCTACATGTAACTATTGGGTCGTTGGAGGATGCGCTACGTACAATCCGCTGTTGATCACTAGCGTCTTGGGTCAAGACTAGCAATGGTCCATTAATGCATGATATGAAGTTGCCCGTACCGTTTTGGGGGTGGGTGGGTGGGTGGAGGGGGCAGAGGGGAATGGGAAGGGGAAAGAATGTTGCAACCTGACGCCACTTTTATGGAAAGATCAAAAGATTTTGGGCTTACGTTGTACCTTAGATATTAAAACTGCATTTGAGCACTGTATGTCTGGACTTACTTCAACTGGTCTTTAATAAGGAGAGATTTCTAGGGGAAAATGTTCTTGCAGTATTGAAAATATACATTGTCATCCTTCCGCCATGATATACATGTATTGGAGGCCCTCAACCGACATGATAAACGCAAGTCAGTCAACAGGAGGTCATTTACTCGAGATTATTCCATTAGGACAGAGGTACATTGTACAATGACATGAGATTTGCACATTCTGAGGGAAACTGATACGAGCCGAAAATAGCGGGTTATTTAAATAAATGGGTACACATGTACATACGTAAAATGTTATGTGAATACCCAATTTCAGTGGAATGGTAATTCCCTTTCCCTGCAGGGTTTCACATTAATTAAAGAAAAATTTGAGAACGTGTTTTGCATGAAGTGTGAGACTGTACTGTACAGTCTATAATTTGTGTGTGAGCACCGGGGGACAGATCGACAAAATGGATGGAACGATTCACCGGGAGATGTTGGATTATCTTCACTGAGGCAATCATACATGTTGTATAACTTCCAACAATCAGTCATGATGGTGCACAGCCCTGGCGGACCACTTTTGAAAGGGGGGGGGGGGCAAAGCACTGCCAGTGCCGGCTGGCCGTTGAAAATTCGAAAGGGGGGGGGGGTTAAACCTCATTCATCAATAGGGGGCGCCCTTTTCCAAGAGTACGCTATTGTGGCACCTACATGTACCAAGAGTTGGGGGGTGCCATGCCTCCCAAGTGGAAAACGTGGGGGGGGGGCCAATAGCCCCCCTGGCCCCCGTCATACTGACAATGGGTGGCTCCACAGCTAAGATGGCGTCTTCAGTGTCTGTCAACTGCCCAGGTGGTGACACGCTCCTCATAGAGGGCTTGAACCCGATGTAGTTGTGCCCTCCAAGCAGCCTGCTCAGCACTCAGGTCATGCCAATATGCAAGGTTAAAACCAAAGATTCGGAGGTCTACCTTTACACAGTCCTTCCACCACATTTTGGCTTCTGGTTACATGGGCTTAGCTCTCCAGTGCCGGCTGGCCGTTGAAAATTCGAAGGGGGGGGGTTAAACCTCATTCATCAATAGGGGGCGCCCTTTTCCATGAGTACGCTATTGTGGCACCTACATGTACCAAGAGTTGGGGGGTGCCATGCCTTCCAAGTGGAAAAAGTGGGGGGGGGGGGGGCCAATAGCCCCCCTGGCCCCCGTCATACTGACAATGGGTGGCTCCACAGCTAAGATGGCATCTTCAGTGTCTGTCAGCTGCCCAGGTGGTGACACGCTCCTCATACAGGGCTTGAACCCGATGTAGTTGTGCCCTCCAAGCAGCCTGCTCAGCACTCAGGTCATGCCAATATGCAAGGTTAAAACCAAAGATTCGGAGGTCTACCTTTACACAGTCCTTCCACCACATTTTGGCTTCTGGTTACATGGGCTTAGCTCTCCAAATAGGATCTGCTTGGGGATACGGGTGTCAGTCATCCTACATACATGGTCTAGCCATCTCAGTCAGCTGTTACGCACCATGGTCTCAATGGTTGTGCTACCTGCCTGCAGTAGAACATCTGTGTTGGTGATGTGGTGCCACCACTTAATACCCCTAATTTGCCGTAGGGAGCATTGATGGAACATCTCCAGCCGGTGGATATGGGTTGTCCAAGTAGCCCATTTTTCGCTGCCATTTGCATAGAAGCGATGGAAGTACTATGGCTTTGTAGACTGTAACTTTGGTTGAGGTGGTTAAGCCCTTACTCCTCCAGCATCTTAAGTTTAGGGAGTTGAAGGTGGCGACCGCACGTGAAATTCTACTTCCAATTTCTGATTCCAGGCTGGCGGTGTCTGATAGGACACCCCCAAGGTAGGTAAACTCAGTTCTTCAGAACAAAGTCGTCAACTTGAATTGGGAATGGTTCATCGCATGACAGATGCATCACCTCTGTCTTGGGTTTGCTGATGGAGAGCCCCCAGTGCTTGCAAGATCTATTGAGAGATGAGGCTGCAGTCTGAGGGAGTCACCTGTTGCAATGACAGCGTCATTTGCATAGAGGAAGTCATCTAGCCAGTTTGATTTAGTTTTAAATCGATGCAAGTTGAATATTTTGCTGTCAATTTTGAAACGAAGATCGATGCCAAAAATTGGGCATTGACATGTGGGCATGTCACAGCACAAATGAGAAGAACAAGTCAAGAAAAAGAGGGATAGTACTAGAATGCATTTGTCTTGGGCCCGAGTTAACCTCAAAGGGGTCGGACAGCTTGTTGCAGATTGATACACGGCCCCTGATACTAAAGTGGAAGCTTTCATGATGTTCACTGTTTTAGCTGGTATGCTAATCTTCAAAAGGATGGCCCATACTAAGTCTTCGTTTACTGAGTCAAAGGCTTTGACAAGGTCTATGAAAAACAAATGGAGCTAATGGTGTTGCTCACGGCATTTTTCAAGTAGCTGATGTATGATAAACATCATGTCAATAGTAGAGCAGCCGCTACAAAAACTGCACTGTGTTTCTGGGAGGAAGTGCTGGATCCGGGGCCAAATCCTGTGGAGGATGACTCGAGCATAGAGTTTCCCGGTGATGGAAAGGAGGGTAATTCCCACAGGTAAAGTGGCAGCCTTTCTTGAACAGGGCCATGATGTTGCTTTCCTTGAACTCTTGCGGATCTCACTCTTCCTCCCAAATTCACGGGAGTAGTTTGTGGAGCTCTGTCAGCAAAGGGTGGCCGCCTGCTGTTAGAACTTCTGCTGGAATACAGTCAGGACCTGGGGCTTTATGGGGAAATTGTTTCAAAGCCTTGGCTACTTTGCCTATGAAGGGATCAACGTCAAGTTCGTTTTGGGTGTCCTCTTGGGGATGTCATCCAGAACTGATGGATCGATATTGCAGGGCTGGATAAGCAGCATACTGAAGTGCCTTCTCCAGCGGATTACTATGGAATCCTTGTCATAGACCTGATTGTCATTTAGGTCATTAATAGGATGTAAGTAAGTTGAACAGCGCTGAGAGACTATTTTGATTGCTTCAAAGGAGCCCTTTGGATCGTGCCTGTGTGCATGATGTTCTATTTCATTGGCACGGTCCAACCACCATTGATTGTGAACACATCAGAGTTCCCGTTGACACATGTTCCTGGCATGAGCATAACCTTGACGATTTGTGTTTTTCTCGTTTTGAAGAAGTGCCCAAAAGGTTACTTCAGTAGGACAGCATTGCATCATTGTTTACATCAAACCAGTCACAATCTCCTAAAAGTGGTGTTGTAAATTATGTCTCTCAGTGAAGACCAATGTTGTTTGAGGTTTTCTGAGGAAACATCCTTTAGATTTACAGAGATTTTATCCTGCAGCAGTTTCTTTAACACTCCAATTTAGGGAGATCAATGTTCCTTTCTGCATAGAAGAAAGTATAAGTATAAAGTATCACCCCGACGCAAAATTCCATCTTATAAGAAAGTATAATTGCCGTTGGTGAACTCTCCTAAACCAGGAATGTGGCATTCACTGAAGCAGGCCATATCAATGTTCATAACTTAGCTCAGTGATCTGGTGCCTGGCAGATGGAAGAACCAGAATTGGACATTCCAAGCAGCTTATTTTACATGTAGCTGCTTGAAAGAGTTACGGCACATCTGGACAAGTCAGGAGCACATTGGTCCTTTCAGTTTACTCGTGGCCCGTCATTGGTGCGAAAATGCTGCCCAGGCGTATGCCGTTGAGATCATCAATGTATAACTAGAGTCTGGAATGGATTAAGAAAACCAATGGCTGGAGGTTGCTGGCCTCACAAGTGGAATAACAATATAGTTATTTTAAGGCATGATGTTTCTTTTTAATTTTTAGCTGAAGAAAAGAGCAACCACTAAGAACTACAAAGAGTGGTGAGTTCAGTCTTATTCTGAATAAATGAATTTATTTCTGATCATATCAAAACTTCTAATTTTACAAGTCAATTTGAATATTTGAATGTTACAACAGAGTTTGAAGGTTTCATGCAAATTTATAATTCTTTGTTGAAACTCAAACTGTAGTGAGACGGATATTTTTTCCATTATTTTTGAGGTATGCTGAAATGGCAACCAAATAGGTAAAACAGTGAAAATGGAGGAATGGAATTTAAGGCAATGCATTTTCAAGAGGCAGTCAGGCCAAAATCGAGGCAACAGAGGTCATGGTGTCCTTAAATTCAGTACAATTGAGTTGAACATTTGTTAAAATGATTTGCAACTTTTTACATGGAAGAAGTGTTTAGTCTTCAAAAAAATGTATGGCAAATTCAAATCACAGTAAAAATCTGATAAGATGGGTTAAACACATGTCTGATTAGAATTCAAACAGGAAACAAACTTAATAAGAGTATTGTGGCTCATCTTTAGCAGTCATGTCAATGATTACAATATCATTAATATTAGTGTTTCACTAAAAATGCAAATTTACAAAGCTTGTAAATACAAAACTACAAAACAAAATATTTTTTAAGAATCTGAATTGTTACTAAAAGGCTTTTTTGAAAAGTAATCTTATTTGAAAAGTAATCTTTAACAACAGTGATACATACGTTGTACATGTGCATATGATCATTTGATTTTTGAACTTTGTGTTTGTTTGCCTAAAATTGAAGCAACAAAAGTGCTGAATATTTTAAGTAGGGTGCATAACAAGCATTCTGTTCAACTCTTAGCTTAGTCGCTACTACTGTACATTACATACATATTGGCAGTACTACTTCCCACCACTTTCGGCGAGGTGTGTTAGGCATTGTGGGTGGGGGGGGGGGGGCATTGCATTTCAAACAAACACTTCATAACATATAATCTCCTCTCAGCTTTCAAATTAACTTAAGACAAAAATAATGTCTAGTCATCATAAAATTATAACATTATCCATCATCAAACCAAATGTAATCAATACACTGTATATTTCTGAATGTTCATACTCGGATCAAAATGGTTCTCATTGTAGGGATTGGCAGTTTGTGTTTGTGTATTGGATTTTTCAGGAGAGAGTGGGACATGAATGTTGGTTGGTGCTGTGAGGACTGCACAATTTCTTCGGCAACATTTGCTGTGTGGGTGATGATGATTGCTAGTCAATTTCATATGTTGGATGACATCACACCTTGTGATACATCTTGACTGAGTGGCCATCGGGCACTGCCAGCTGCCCGTCTGATGTCAGTGCAATTCCACATGGGTCAAATAGATCATGAGCCAGACAATCAAGAAACCTGCCATCTATGTCATAATGGTGAATATGACCAGTGCCTAGCACAGATTGGAGCATTGCAAGGTAGATGCCTGAGCTGTCACAGCATACACCACGGCAGCTCCACACAGGCTTACCATTGATGGTTGGTTCGATAGTGCGAAGAGTAGTACCTTTGCTGTCAGCAACATCCACTTTCTTTGTTTCACGTCCACTGACCACAACTCTATCAGTGTCATCATCAACAGCCAAGTACCAAGGTGGAACCTGCACTGGTACGGTGCGTAGGATCTCACCATCAATGGGTCTGTGCTCAGTCCATACCATCCTCTTGACATCACCCACTAATATTGTACCGTTCCTCTTAATGACGACACTGCGTAGCTCCACTTGTGTTTTGTCAACTTGACTCTGTTCCACTGTCGAGAACTGCATAGCAAGAGTGTTGTCCTTCATGTTGAACACCTTGACATGCTTGCTTTTATCCAGTGCTACTAAGCTTTGTGCAGGATTGTGGATGGCTGCGACTGCCCATGGATCTGTGGGTAAATCATGCAGAGTATATAAATGCACTGTCACTACATTGTATTCTCAATCCCTATAAAATATAAATTCATGATATACATGTACTTGACACACCTGACAAACAAAACTGAAGAGCGGTAGGATACATGTTGTGCATATGTAGGCAATTAATCAGGATCAGTTGTTAGTACACAAGCTACCATATTTTGCTCAAAATATGTGTACAAACTGAAAATTCTTCAGGACAATGCTGAATTTAAAAAATACATTGTGTTTTTTGGGGCATTACAATAAAACATACAAGTTTGAAATGCCAGTTGGGAGAAAAAGTAACTGTCGGAGAGCACTGACAGTCTACATGTATGTTTAATTGAATGACTTTTACTGGCAGTACGATTATGTACACTGTATAACTTTGTGTCAAAATAGATGTACAGGTACATGAAAGAAATTTACCTTGAAGGGGAATGGCTCCCTTATGTTGTCCCTCATTGCTGCAGATGACCACTCTGTTGTCCCCCCAGTCTGTCACAGCAATTTCACCAGGTTGAGTAGCAGTACTACTTCGAGCCCACTTGAACACTCCCGGACCACTTCCCTCTTTACCAAACTCATGACACATTTCCCACTTGGCTGCTTCTACCTCAAGCTTGCCCAGATTGATGTCACCAATCCTCTTACTCGGGGTGAAGCTCAGATACGAAAGCTTGGGATCAAGCTGGGGAGGATTTTGATTCTTGGGTGATTTCAAGTCTTTGCTGATGATAGGGTATAGTGACAAAAACTCAGTATCAGATGCAGTGTTAATGATATCCTGAGATGTCCCCAGGAAATGTTTTTTACTTTGTACCATCATTTTCAGTGCTTTCTGATGCTCATCATATGCTCTGTTGCGATCCTGCTTGAGTTGTTTGATTTCTTGAATCATCTTTGTCTCTTGAGTTGTTATCTCAGCTCTCATTTTATCCGCTTTGTCTTGCACAGCTTTCACAATCTTTGTGACATCCTCTGCGAACCTCTGCTCAGCTTGTGATGATGTGGCCAAAGCATGTTCAAGTCTTTCGATGTCAGTGGTGAAATCTGCAAACATATCTTTGAGTGACTCTTTGTGTTTGAGAGAAGCCTCTCCAGACTCGACGTACTGATGTTTTGGTTTACAGTGGTCTACCACAATACAATCTTGGCAGATTAACTCATCACATGTCTCACAATAAAACCGTTGCATTTCACCCATGTGTTTCTGGCATTGAGACTCATTTTTTTCTGGTGTTCTTTCTTGCAGCAAGACGTCTTCAACAATTCCCATCAAATGGACATTTGTTTTCAGGCCTTGAATGTGTTTCTTTGGAAGTACCGTCTCCCGTTGGCATACAGGGCAAGGGATCTTTCGTTTACCTTTATATCTGCTAGTGTAGTATTTCTCCAGACAACTCTCGCAGAAGCTGTGCTTGCAATCTAGTATCTTAGGCTGTTTATATCTGTCTCTGCAGATGTTACACTCAAGGTGGGAGCTGATCTTCGGGGCAGTAGCCATTTTTATCTGTGGTGCGCAAACAGTATTTAAAAAAAAGAAATGGTTACTACAAGAGCAATAAAAGCTTTGTATGATGTACAGTGATATACATTCAGCCAGGAAATATTGGAATAAAGATTCAGCCAGGAAAAGAGAATATCTTTTTTTTCAATATCCAGACAATGAAGGGGGAAAAAGAGAAAAAAGGAGGGAAAAAAAGAGAGAGAAAAAGAGGATAAAAGTCATTGCTGTGAATTGGTGGGGGGGGGGGGAATGTCCCTGCCCCTCCCCCTCGAAATATGATAAATCAAGAATAGGATGGAAAAGTACAGGGATTTCGGGGGGAAACTGTGCTTAGCCCCCCTCTAGAAAAAATCCTGGTGACACCCATGATCCACACAGAAGTTCACTTTGAACTAAATATCAAACACAAAGCGATTGGCCTTTTATTTGGTGGGGTTGTCATTCTGCTCCAATTTTAAGGAGCACTGACAGAAACTATTAAATTATCTTCTTAACTATCAAATTTAAATGTTGAAATGGACATACATTATTTGTAAGCACTGTACATGTAGTTTCTACCCACATTTATTACTGCATAAATTTGCTGAAGCATTACTGCGTGTACATACACCTTAACATTTTGCAGTCTACAGCAAACTGTATTTTTTAACTGACACTAATTTCTTACCTCTTTTTATCTCCCAATGAAATCACTCAAATCCCTTTTTTTCCACTTGATGCAAAGAGCACTGTAAAGTGAGGTATTTGAAGAGGCAGAATTGGGAAAGATGGCGCGAGACAAACGCAGATTCGTCATCTAGTCATGCGACATGGTGTATATATAGAGCTTGGGATGTTTGCTTTGCTGCATGCAGTCTGAACGCTTCTTTATCTGTGTACATGTTTACTTGACACTTGAATTTTGGATCTTAGATAGGTTCTTGCATTTTATTTATGCATTATGTAGTGATAAAATTTCAACACCAAACACCTCAATATCCATTTAATTCCACTCTTGTGGTTTGAAATTATCGAATGAGGTACAAAAAATTGTCCTCCACCTGTTTCTTTTTATGTGTCAAACACTTATTGAATATTTTTTTGCAATTGTGCTATATAAATATTGATAACGAATTTTCAGTCTTGTTTGAAGTTATAATTTTGACTAGCATAAAAAGTTTCCACTCAAATTTAACCCTAAAGGGGCCGGGGGGGGGGGGGGCAGAATCCGCCCCCCTCAACATTTTCCGTGATAGCCTCTAAAAACAATTTGTTGGGGACCCGAGCTGTTATGACTTTTTAGCCTCGAGCTTTGCGCATCTTTTGATACCAAAAACATAAAAATCGGACGACGGGTTGCCGCGTAGCGAAAAAATTTCCGGCGCGAATGGCAGAATTGCCATTCGTACATACTATGAATAATTAATTAGGCATAATTCCACAACCCTTTGACCTATAGTCATGAAATTTCTTGGGTATGTTTAAGAAGAGTTGCTTTATGCATGTGCTCCCGGCTGAGAGATGGTCAAAATAACCCGGCCCCTTTAGGGTTAAACTTGCCAACACAAATAATACAGGTACATGTATACATGCTACTGAGAGAAGTACACTTGGCTGTAATGGTGTACACTGAGGACAATGAACAACAGAATTGACTGTACATAAGAGGACACTATGTCCTCAGTTGGAAACCATCACAAAGCAAATGAGAGGAGTTGCCAAAATGTACCACAGCAAAAGCCATAAGAAGGACACTGGGAAGTCAATCTATGCAAACCTTTAATTTTTGGGATTACCAAAAGTGCAGAGTTTTAGAGGGGACCCAACATAATGTTGAAACAGTGTATCAAAACTACATTCTGTAATTATGCATTTTATAATGCTTAAATTGGAAATGTGAACTTTCATCATGTGGCTTGTTTCCAGGGTGTGAAGGGCATCACCTGAAACTCCCTTGACAACAAGATGAGACAACTCAAGGAACATGGTCAAGTTCTTCCTGGGTTCTATGCCATCAAGAAGAGATTGAAGGAAGATCTTGCAAGAATGCTGGCTGAGAGACGATGAGGAGTCAAGAAGATGACGGCCTGTGAACATCTCAAGTCAAGTAAGGATGAAAGTTGTCTTGAAAAAGTCACTGCATCAGCCATTATTTGATGACTAGTGATCCTACATGCATGTACTTAATGTCTTAGAACCTTCGTGTTAGGGTTGTCTGGTTTGCGTCTCATATATAGCAGTGGGTACTGCATAGAGCCAGTGTATGGCTGACTGTTGGCCAGTTTAAGTTGAAACATTTTATGGGGACGGACAACTCATGAAGGAACTTTTTGTTCTAAGAAAAGTGATAAGACTAAGTTGGAAAATTCCTCTTTGAAACATTTCCAGGAACCGAACAATTATTTAGAGAATTTTGTGGGATTTTTATACCTCTTGCCAAGTTGTCACTGAGTGTTTCAAAACAAACTTCAGACCTGTTCTGTCAAACCTCATCGTTTTACTTTTTATTGATCCCTGGTTCATGTCCTGTTTAATCCTAGGTGTGACCTCAGTTATCCTTGAAGGAATTGAGGAATCTTTGGTTCAGATTCTGCTGCTATTTTTTTCTTTTCTATTGACCCCTGGTTCGATTCCTCTTTATTCCCAGGTGTGATCTCAGTTATCATTGAAAGAATTGCTCAGAGTCTTTTGGTTCAGATCCTACTGCTTGTTTTCTTTTCTATTGAGGCCTGGTTCGGTCCCTGTTTATTCCCAGGTGTGACCTCAGTTATACTTGAAGGAATTGCTCAGAGTCTTTGGTTCAGATCCTACTGCTTGTTTTTATGCCCCGCGGCGAAGCCGAAGGGGCATACTGTTTCCGCCTTGTCCTTCCGTGGGTGGGTGTGTGGGTGGGTGTGTGGGTGGGTGTGTGGGTGAGTTTGTCTTACATACGCAGTGTGGACTTCCGAACAAAAGACGTCCACATAATGTAGGTAGCACCGACGTTGTGTGGACTTACCCCACGTCCACACAGTGTTTCCCCATTTCTGGAAAACAGGTTTAGAGGCATTTTTGGGTTAGGTTTATCTGTAGCAGAATGAAGAGAAACACTAAAGGGAATCATAGAAAAAGAATTGGGTTGAAAGAGTTTTCACAGTTTGAGAAAAATGAGTTTTTTCACTGGTTTTTCTTAACTACACGAAAGCAATGGAAAGTCCACACTAGTCATGTGAAACAAGTATGTGTGGGTGGGTGGGTGGGTGTGTGTGTGTGTCCGGACAAATCTTGTCAGCGCGATAACTTGAGAAATACTTAACATATGAACTTCAAATTTGGTTTGTGGATTGTTCTTGGTAATCCTAAGAAGCCTTTTGCATTTGGGGCCAAAAGGCCAAAGGTCAAGTTCACAGTGGCTAAAACAATAGAAATCTTGTCAGCGCGATAACTTGAGAAATAATTAACATATGAACTTCAAATTTGGTTTGTGGATTGTTCTTGGTAATCCTAAGAAGCCTTTTGCATTTGGGGCCAAAAGGCCAAAGGTCAAGTTCACAGTGGCTAAAACAATAGAAATCTTGTCAGCGGGATAACTTGAGAAATAATTAACATATGAACTTCAAATTTGGTTTGTGGATTGTTCTTGGTAATCCTAAGAAGCCTTTTGCATTTGGGGCCAAAAGGCCAAAGGTCAAGTTCACAGTGGCTAAAACAATAGAAATCTTGTCAGCGCGATAACTTGAGAAATACTTTACATGTGAACTTCAAATTTGGTTTGTGGATTGTTTTTGGCAATTATAAGAAGCCTTTTGCATTTGAGGCCAAAAGGCCTAAGGTCAAGTTCACAGTGGCTAAAACAATAGAAATCTTGTCAGCGCGATAACTTGAGAAATACTTTACATGTGAACTTCAAATTTGGTTTGTGGATTGTTCTTGGCAATCCTAAGAAGCCTTTTGCATTTGGGGCCAAAAGGTCAAGGGTCAAGTTCACAGTGGCTAAAACAATAGAAATCTTGTCAGCGCGATAACTTGAGAAATACTTAACCTATGAACTTCAAATTTGGTTTGTGGATTGTTCTTGGTAATCCTAAGAAGCCTATTGAATTTGGGGCCAAAAGGTCGAGGGTCAAGTTCACAGTGGCTAAAACAATAGAAATCATGTATTTATTCTGAGATTATAGGGATTAGGGATTAATTCATATAAAACCTACAGAAGACACTAATGCTGTCAATGAATGTTCCATGTGACCAATGTACATGTAAGTTGATGTTAAAAGAGTGGTGTTATGTCATGGGAACTGTCACCGTTGCGGGGCATTTGTGTTTGTAAACACACCTGACTTGTTTTTTTCTGTTGATGCCTAGTTCAATTCCTGTTTAATCCCAGGTGTGACCTCAGTTATCCTTGAAGGAATTGCTCGGAGTCTTTGGTTCAGATCCTACTGCTTGTTTTCTTTTCTGTTGACCCCTGGTTCGATTCCTGTTTATTCCCAGGTGTGACCTCAGTTATCATTGAAGGGATTGCTCAGAGTCTTTGGTTCAGATCCTACTGCTTGTTTTTTTTTTTTCTGTTGACGCCTGGTTCGATTCCTGTTTATTCCTAGGTGTGACCTCAGTTATACTTGAAGGAATTGCTCAGAGTCTTTGGTTCAGATCCTACTGCTTGTTTTTTTTTTCTGTTGATGCCTGGTTCGATTCCTGTTTATTCCCAGGTGTGACCTCAGTTATCATTGAAGGGATTGCTCAGAGTCTTTGGTTCAGATCCTACTGCTTGTTTTCTTTTCTGTTGACCCCTGGTTCGATTCCTGTTTATTCCCAGGTGTGACCTCAGTTATCCTTGAAGGGATTGCTCAGAGTCTTTGGTTCAGATCCTACTGCTTGTTTTCTTTTCTGTTGACCCCTTGTTCGATTCCTGTTTATTCCCAGGTGTGACCTCAGTTATCATTGAAGGGATTGAGGAGTCTTTGGTTCAGATCCTACTACTTGTTTTCTTTTCTGTTGACCCTGGTTCAATTCCTCTTTATTCCCAGGTGTGACCTCGGATATCCTTGAAGGAGTTGAGGAGTCTTTGGTTCATATCCTACGGCTTGTTTTATTTTCTATTGGTCCCCTGGTTCGATTCCTGTTTTTTCCCAGGTGTGACTTCAGTTACATGTATCCTTGAAGGAATAGAGGAGTCAAGTCACTGAATGACAATTTGTGAAAGATTGTTAGAAATTTTCCAGTTTGATAAAATGCAATGTGTGTGAAAAGTCGTAACCTTTTGAGGGGGTGGATCCCAGATCTGATATATTCAATTCATTATCTTGTTTGCTTGCTGACATGTTTACTCTACACTTGAGTTTGTAATTTGGACCTGAGATAAGTTAATAGGTCTTGTTTGGTGAAATAATTATAATAATCTTGCCCAGTTTTATACCTATTTGCTCTTTTTGTAGCACTGATCCAATCATTTTTATTTCAACAACCCCCCCCCCTGAAAAAAATATAGATTTTTCAAATGTCCACATTTGTTTTCAAGTATTTAAAAGATATTGACTCTGTCACATTTTCTCCAAACATGCTCTAAGTTGCATATTAACTCAATTGTAAATTAAGATCAATGTCCAGTGAACATGTGCTAAGTTACATATACACCCCTAATTTCCTAAATTCTTCCCCCCCCCCCCTTACTCAAAGTAATCTTCCAAAAGGCCAGCTTATTAGTTATTTCACATTTGTCATGTTATAACAATCAAATAGTGGAACATTTCAGCAAATGTTGATGATAGGATAGATAGAGGGAAAGGAAGTCACTGTCTGATGCAGTATTGTGGAGAGAGTGCAATACAGTGACTCTCGTTAGTACAAAGTCTGTTAATACAAAATTCTGGTTATAACAAACATAAAGCCTTGGTCCCGACTGTGCATTTATGTGCACAAGGAATGGGACTCGGGGACTGATGTTCCTCTTAATACAAAATTCTGATGTAACAAACAATTTGGCTAGGTCCGAACGAGTTTGTATTCACGAGACTCGACTGTATATTGAATCAATTAGTTGTACTCGCTACTACGTAAAGCCTTTAAAATGATCGAAGACTACAAAAGTATGAAAAAAAAACTGTTTATTAGGCCAAAAAAAAAATATTCGGTCTCTGGTCAGACCAAAGTTCCAGAATTGATGCGGCCACGCGGCTTTTTTTTTTTTTTTTTGCTTTTTTTTTTTTTCTTCAAGCTTGGATTGTACAGACAAGGTGGGTACTATTTTGCTTTTTTGGTGTCCTCGTGTACATTGGTGTCCTCCATAATTTGCCATGGTGCTTTCGATCATTTGCCTTGGTGCAATTTACCATTCCTTGGTGCTCTTTGGTAAAAGAAATTGAGGAGGAGTGGAAATAGAGGGCACTGTTGGAGCTACCGCGGAACATTTTGGGAAAAAAAAAGATCGACACGCATGCTTAAAATCGACGCGCCCGCTGACCAGAGACCGACTTTTTTTTTTTTTTTGGCCTTAATGGCATACATTACCCATATGTTTCTCATATTCTTTTGTTTTTGTTTCAATTTCATTTTTAGCAGGTCACCCATACCCCATCTTCCCATGGAGCCTCGTTCTCATTCACCAACCCACCACGCCCAGTCCAGTCGCCATGGCAACTGAACAGCCTCAAGCTCCGCCTCCAACAGCCATTGGTCAAAATCCTCAGAAATGAGCAAAGTCGGGAGCAACGCAAGACACCTGTCAGCTTTGTTGTTGTACCTGTCAGTGATCTGGGTTACCCTGTTGGTTCACCAGGGAGTAGCATCTGGGCTTATGTGTACAGCAGGTTAGCTCAGTTTCAATTATTTTACCATGAGACACTTTCATCAGATGCATGGAAACTATATCTGGAGCATTAAGATAATAGGAGTACGAAATATTCTCAAATGTTCTTGGCTCGATAAAGATACTAAAGAACCTATATATCAATCTCAAAATATTAGTTGTCATCCATTCAAGAGAACCTTGTCTTAAGAAAGGGAAGATTTAAAACAAACTTCTTGTTTCTTGTTATTTTTTCCCCCTAGGGAGCAGCGATGAATGGATCCCAAGTAGCAACTTAGAGGACATACCAGGTACAGCAGCTAACAGGATGCCTAACTTCCCCCATCAAGACACTGTCAAGAGAGGATGGCTTCCAAATGAACAAGTAAGCATCTCACCCCTCCACCACCCCCACTACACTCAATTAGCATGAGTTCAGGACTTAAAAACAGTTACAAGAAGACAAAGCAAACCTATTAGCTTGTCCCCGAGTGCACACAATCCTATTAAATTGATACAGCCCATTCATTGGTGTTGTAGGTAATCCTATACAACAGCACTGCCCAGCTCACAAAAACAGTGAGTCGATCCGTGAGGTACAAAGAGGACTGTAGGCTGGCCCTCTGGGACCAGCAAAAACTGAGCAGCGATCATTGAGAAAATCAAATAGAGAAATCAAAACCTCATCAAGATGTACCTTGTGTACTTGGTTGGTTCTTCTTCTAAGGACTTCCACAAGGGAGTATAACTAGGAGGCCAGAAACACGGGGGCAAACCCTTTAGGGATAATTAGTGTTACTGGGTTCTTTTACGTGCATTAGGCTTTATACAGCACACATCCGAAGGACGAAGCAATAATGGTTAAGTGCCTTGCTCAAGGGCACAAGTGTCCGGGCCCGGGCTCGAACCCACGCCACTGTGGCCTCTGAAACACCAGAGCATGAGTCCAGTGCTCTTAACGGCTAGGCCATGACACTCCACAGCGCGTCCTCAACCATGCTTGCGAGCTCTAACTTTATTCCCCTGGTTATTTCCTACAGACACCTGTCAACCAGTTTGGTGAGCAACATGAGCCAGTGTCTGGCATGCATCATAACATGGCCATGGGTTATGGGGGAGGGGTGACAGCTCATGGAATGACAGGAATGGTCTGGAACCCTGTAGCCACCATGCAACTTCGTGGCACCAATCTTAAGGTGGGTCCTGTCTCAAAGCTTAAGTCCGTGTCAATATTATCAGGCTATATATGTGAGGCATTCTGGCAAAATGAGACGCAACTGGGCACAGGCCGTAGTGGAGAAGAAAGCAAAAATAATTGATTTTTTGGTGATTTTTTTTTCAATTTCCAGATCATATTGATAATCTTTGATATGTCAACTACACATATTTTAAGGTACTAGTGTAAAAATAATGGAATAAAAGGGTTTGTAAGGGAAAAACAATTGGTATCTTTCATTTTCATTAATACTTAACTTGAAATTTACAAACCCTCTCGGTATGTTTAATTCTTTTGTGACATGTTGATAAATGCAAAATTTAAGCAGCCATAACCTGTCAAACAGAATGTCCGATTGATGTTCAACAAATAGTTTCGTGAGGAGAGGTTTATTGTCTTTCCTAGTAATACATTCCGCAGGCCTCATTTCCACCTCTGCTAAGTTCTGTTTAACTTGGCCAGATTTCCTCAAAAAATATTTGAGGTGTTCGGTAAAATGAGAACACGTGTCTAATCCAGGCGCGGATCCAGAGGGAAGGGTGGGGGGGGGGGGACCTAGTACCCCCCACGCTCTGACACCAAAACCAAAAATCATAATAATTATGGTAATAATTATTTATTGTTAATGACTTTTGTTTGTTTTGAGGTAAGGGGGAATTAGTTTAATTATGTGGTAGTTTAATGTTTGTAATTTAAAGTTTTAATGTATTTGAATGTTTTGAGCACGAAAACCATGTCACTTTCTATTGTATACAATTGTATACAATTGTATACAAATAGCAATAAACCAAATCTAAGCTAATAATAACCCCATATGTCTGCCTGTTTAAGACAATTGGACATAACAAACAAATCTGTCAGGCCTGACACCCCGCCCCCCCCCTCCCCGCGCCAAAAAAAACCTGGATCCGCCCTTACTATCAGCCGCTTTTATAGACACACATTGTTGCTACCTGAAGCAAATGGGAGACTTAAATGCAAAATCTTCCTTAAGACCAAGTTCAATGTTATTCCTGATTCACTAATTTTTGAAGTTCTTAAACATTTTAAAGGTCTAAATTGGCCACTCAGAAAAATAAAATACTTTCCAGAGAAACAGAAGTGTTAAGGCGTGTTGATTCAGAAACAAAAGAATTACATTCCCATAAAAAGTCAAATATTTTTTATTTGCAAGGAGGGGGCCCTAAAAGAGTTTGTTGGCACGAACTACACGTTCTAAAATACAATTGACACAACATCATTGCATGTAGTTGGTGTCAGTACTAAACCCTCAGTCCCCCAACAAAGCAATCCTCATTGTTTGACCAGTGATTTTTTGATAAATGTAATAAATTTAATAAATTGCAATTTTGTCTTCAATTTTCCCAGGTGTTGGGACCATGGAGCCAGTGGGTCATGTGATATGAGGACACCTCTCTATCCATATCCATAGAGGGCGCTATTCGGCACAGCTGCAGCATACACAAGAGATGGTTCAGTTAAGTTTTCTTAGATGTGCAGGAGCCATAGAGAGTGCTATAATTCTATCCAGTTTGCTGCCTAACTCACAAAAGGAATCCAAAAATAAGTAAGAGAAAACAATGAAAAGGAAAAAAGCATTGAAAAATAAGAGAAATTCCATGAAATTCAAGATGATTGTCAAATAAGTAGTTCTCAAGCCTCAGTCCAAAATGGATTCTTATTTTTTCAATTTGTTATTTTGTTAAAAACCAGATTTTGGAAATTACCATTTAGGCACATTCCAATGTAGGATTATATGATGCACTTTATGGCTTTAGATGGGTAACCTTTATTAAATTGTATTTGAGGTAGCTTTGAGACGTGGTACATATATGTCAAAACCAGGCAGAATTGGGCAGAGTAAACAGCTGCAAAATAACATGGCGGTGATTTTTAACGATTTTGAGATTTTGAAAATTGTGATGCTACTAATGCTTAAATTATTCTAACTGAAAGTTTCAAACTGAAATTTCACTGAAAAAAGGGTTTTTAAAAACACTCTTTGTTCAAGATTTTGTTATGAAATAATGCAAAACTGGTGTGGCATTTTTAACATTCCAAAGATTTTAAAATTTAATAACTTTGCTATGGAGTATCCATTTTGTAAAACAAAGCGGTGTTTGAAAGAGCAAGGTCTACCGGTATATTTTACTAATATTGCAAGAATTAATTGGCTTTTCGCCCAAAAGTGCTAATTTTGACATACCACGTCACATATTGTCAACTTTACCTTTCTTGAGTGATTTTCAACTCAATGTTAACAATTTGCTAGAATCAACATAACATCCACCCTACCGCTCATTACAGAATGATATTTGTAGGGTTAAATTGTTTTTTACATTTTTTTCGAGGCCAGAATTCTCTATAATGTGAATTATATGTTATTCTGAATTAGACAGTTGATAACAATAATAATAGAGACAATGAAATTTGTCCCCTACATGTATGTTAATGAGATCCCACCAAAACTAGCATGGAAGTAAAACTGTTCCATTGTGAGATTAAAGGGGTGATCACTTTGATGCAAGGCAATTAACTGTTTTCGTGATTAAAAACGGTGAACTAAAATTTGTTCATTGAATTCTTAAAAAAAAATTGTCTCTGCTCAAGATTTTATTTGTCAATATTACTTTTATTATAAAAGCTTTTCAAAAAAATCCTCAAAAAAAATGGAGAAGGACACACTCTTACAAAACAAGATTATCTTTGTTGTGAAAAAAATTGTTAGTTGAAGACGTTTCGTTAATATGTACATTACGGTTTAAATTAAGGTCAGTGAACCTGTGTGACCTTTGACCTCTTTGCCTTTATCGTATATTTTTATCATTTGAAATTTCAATTCTAAACTACCCTATTCCATAGAGCTGTAATAAATTATAAGAGAGCGCCAACTCCTCATTCCCTGACATACATTTTGAATTCATGCTTGTAAAATATAGTGAAATGGATGAAATTCAGTTTTTAGTCTTGTGTGCTGAGCAGTCTTGTGTGCTGAGCAAATACAACAAACACTCCGAATTAGGAACATCAATATGAGTGTGGTGTCAAAGTCCCTACACTTTTTGAAGTGCACAGTGATAATTTGCATGGAATAAAATGAAACTTGTACTAGAAGATTGTGCAAATCAACTTTGTTAGACACAGTTACGGATTACTAAAATGAAACATGCTAAATTTTCAGTTAATTACCTTTGATTTATGCATCAACATGAATGTGTGCGCCCAGCAAGCTTCTTCCTATTCAGATATGAAATAAGCTCTCTAATAAGTTTATATAGCTCTATGGCCTGATTTGGTTTAACTGCACATGTTCTTCATAGGGAATGCATAATGATAGAATTTCAATCCATAGTTAATAAAACAAACACAATGGAGTGTGTTCAGTGCAAACAGTAAAATCAGAATGGAAGTCAATTGAAATTTTGTTTGTTGATCTGTAAAAAACCTCAATTTGAAGAGGAATTGTCACATTTGATATAAAAGTACAACACAAACCGATGTTCAATTAATTCACTTGTCCGAACGCTAACTCAAAAAATATCCATTCTACTAAATTGAAATGTCATAAAATCTTTAAAAAGCCTTCGCAACCTAAACAAAATTTTCTACATGTACATGTATGCTGTTAAAAATTGCTTCTTAAAGTGCACCTATGGCGTTTTTAGAAACTGAGAGAAAAAAATAAGAATTTACAAACATTTAGGACTAGGGCCTACTTCAAAAAATTACAAAGTGTAGTCATTACACCTGGAAATATCTGCTGAGCTTAATTAAAATTGTGTCCCTCGATTGTTCAAAAACTAAAGTCTTCAATCGCCCCATAAAATTTCAAGAGAAATCGTGTAACAATTAAAAAATGATTAAAAGGTGTACAAATATAGGAATTTAAAATATAATCAAAGTCGTAGAAACTTTGCATAATACTGTACGTTGCACTGCTCCAAAGATCAGGCACAACTCATTGATGAGTAAATTTCTCCACCTGCTATGGTCTTTAAAATTGCTCCTTAAAATCCACCTATGGAGTATGGAATTTTAAGAAATTGAGAAACAAGGTAAAGGTTTGCAAACATTTAGGCATTCCGCTAAAAATTACTGAGTGTAACCATTACTCTGTTATAAAAAAATCCTGAAATTTTCACCGGCACCAGACTATCATGTGATCTCTAAACACCCTGACGAAAGAGAGTAATAAGCCATACAAAATCATAGAAGCTTGAAAACGTATTCTGACGGCACGCTACACGGTCAAGTGAGGAAGGCCCTTCAACCAGGTTGTATCAAGACCCTCATGCTAAGAAGTCTACTTCCAACTCTCACACCACTGGTAACCAGCATTCCAGCAGTCTTATGTGGTCTCTAGCAGGCTTCAACAAGTGCAGCAATCTCCAAAAAGAAAAGGGCTAACTACCAGTCTGACTGATGATTGGCTGCAAAGACAGATCTGAACTTACAGGACAGGGCAGGACTTCAAAAAAGAAGTCTGAATATCCAATCCAATATTTAAAAACTAAAAAGAAGAAATAATATTCCCAAATCTAAGTCCAACCCGTTAAACTCCAAGTCCAAAAAGCCCAAAGACGGTCCAATCAACTTGCAGACCTATCTATTTGCAAGCCCTTCAACTAATAGTCCAGTTCCCTCTCTACCATCAACTGATAGTCCAGTTCCGTCTCAGCCATCAACCAGCTCTAAAAAGTCTAAGTCCAACAAGCCCAAGACTCATATAAATTCCCAACCCCTCAACTTGCAGAAATTTGGAAGCCCATCAACTAATAGTCCAGTTCCCTCTAAACCATCAACCAGTCAGCCCAAAGTCCCAAAGCCTACCCTCCAGCTCCAAACCCCTTCAGCTCCCAACTTCTCAACCTCCCAGACTCAGACCCTCAGATCTGAAAAAATTTCAAGGGGTACCCCTTGATTTCTGAAATTCTGGCCAGAGCTGAAAAATTTTCTAAGTCCAACAACCTAAGGGTTTTAATTACGAAAACCGTATAATTTTTCAAGAAAGTGCCATGGCAGAGCGGAAAAAGAGAGAGCTGGCATGCAGAAGGTACGCGGTTCAACCCTGCTCCATGCTACTATTTTATTTAATTTTTTAAATTTATCACTGCTGTGAGGAAAAATTCTCCTCCCCGGGTCCCCGGCTGGGATTGAACCGGGGACCCGGCGGCCTGGCGGTCAGCGAGCTGGACCGCTAGGCCAAATGCCTCTTCGAAAATTTGTGCTCGGAACTAATATTTAAAGGTTAGATTGCGCAATATAAAAAAAAAAGAAAAAAATTACCCTCCACCTCATTTGCATAATTGAATAATAAAAAGCAGAAAACTGAATATTCAGAAGCAAATTACCATAGGTCCAAAATTCTGGTTCTCAAATTTAGACATTTATTCAATGTACCTCCTTTTGCAGCTGGTGTAACTATTTACAATTTTAAGATACTGGTAATATCGTACATGTACAATTCTTTATAATGTAATTAATGTAGACATTAATTTACTTCCCTTTTATATAAGAATTTAAATTTGCCAATGCTTAAGACATTTATAGTAGCAAGTCCTATGTTCAAAATGTTCACTAATATATTTTTCTTCGGTGGGGGGGGGGGGGGGGGCAAATAGGCTATAACTGTTAACTATAAAAGCCAAACTTTTGTTAGAATATGAAAGTGGAGTTTTTAAAGTTGGTGCTTTTACCCGAGGGCCATACTGTCCAAAAATGATTTTTACCTACAGCATCTTCTACAATATTCCTATACAGAGTGATGGCGTATTTCATGAATAACTTTTAGTATTGTATATACTTGAGTTAACTATTAAAATGAAACTCGTTACGTAGGTTACACAAGTAGGTTACACATAATATTATGAATACTGCCCTCTGTGAACAGTCCAATATATTAGTGTGTTGTCTAACTGACTTAATTGATTCTAAGCCAATATTACTAGAACTCTCAAATGACTTCATCTAGTTTGCTAATTCCTATTTCTTTCCATAAATTTAAGCAAAGCTTATAAAACATTGAGGTACATGTATCTTGTTTCCTTGAACTGATTTTCCCCCAAAAGGTTTTTTTTTCTCAAGAGGAATTTAGTTGCACAAATTTCACTTTGTAAAAAGACAAACTTTCAATGATCTAATGTACTGTAACAATAACACTGTTTTACTTTCTTGTTTTGATAACATCTTTTACATTGCAAAAATTTGGTTTAATGTCATTCATATAAACCATATCTTACACCTTGTATGTAACAGAGCACTCCTATGCATGTTTAAACTACTTGTTATTGTTGATCATACATTGACATCAATAATAAATACTCAAAGAACAAATACACAAACAGAATAAAATGAGGCCCAGTATCTAATTGGGCAGCCAGAAGAGAGTTTTTAGCAAGTATATGGGCAATTCCATGATGATAGGCATATTAGCGCGTTTCGACGGGTTTGAAATCAATTGGCACCAATATGCATAAAAGCAAAGCAGGCAAATCCCTGGGGGGGGGATGGTGGTATATACACCCCAATTTTTGACCAGGGGGATGGGCTATTGAATCGTCCACCCCTACCCCCCAACTTTATGCGATTAGAAAATAAATGCGGATTTCAAGGTATTTTTCGAACATCCCAGCAAACAAAAAGTATGTAATAGCACCAAAAGGTGGAGGAAAAAGTACCAGAGCTTTTAAAATGCATCGTTTTGATGTCAGTGCGAGTATACATATTGATAAACATCTATATCCTGATGAGCGCCCCCTAGTGTAATGTGGTGTGAAGCCCCCCCCCCCCCCCCCCCTTTGCAAATTTTCACAGCTGTGCAATTTGTCGATTCTAATCATCCCCCATCCCCCAACTCACCGGCACAGATTTACACTATTGAACACAGGAAAGAAAAGATAGAACAAATTTGAATTTCTCTTCAAATTTAATTAACAGATAGAGCAGCCATTTATTTATCACAGGCAGAAGATAGTGTTTATGAAAAAAAATGAAATTTTTAATAAATTGAAAAATTAGACTCTGTGACTGTCATAAGGCATCGAAAACTTTCTGTTGAGGTTCAGGTTTTATTTCTAACAGTGACTATTATCAACAAGAAAATATTGTTTTCAGGATCAAAATTTAGCTGGAGAGGTAGAATAACACACATAATAAAAACCTATACCATCAGCACCTCAAAAATTAATGAACACAAAGCAAACAAAGTAAGAAATATCTCAAAATGACCTTAAAATAATTAAAGGCGTCTCCAGTTAACAACTGCGTGAACAGTTTTGCATATTTAATACATGTCAACATTTTCTTTGTAACTAACAATTTGAGGTCTCAACACGCTAAAAAAATTCACTGCTCAATTCTAACTACTTTTTCTCAAAGTTTCATTCAAGTACACTTTGGAAACTCACTTATGAATTCATGTACACTTTAATAAAAAAAAAATTCTCATGTTCGGTTCTTTTATTTGTGTATTCCTCTTTCATTTGTCCCTGTTGTGGTCAGCAACACTTTTTCTTCCAATTTTTGTTTCGCTGTGTCCTCTGTGTTGCTGTCATTACGTTGCAACATGGGAGTACATCTTTCCTGAAAAATATGAAAAAGTCAACAGAATGATTCAAACTTTGAAAATGTTTACATAATCTCAGTTGTAATGCCTATTTTGCTAGCAATACATACAAAAGTTGTCCATTAAACGAATAAGTCATCGAACGATTCCAAGGTTTAGGAATTATAAATATCGACCCGTTTGGTGCCAAACAATAATTCACCCCTTCAAAATAGAAAATGATCGACTGCATGCATTTGTTGTGCCCCCCAAAAAATACAACTGTATTGTTCATTTATCAAATGATTTACAGATGTTCAAATAAATATAAATTAAAATGTTTTGTGTGAAATATAGATGCTCATATTTGGCAAGAAACGACATGGAGGCCAGACATGGCTTGGCACTAAGATGCATTTTGGTTCAAAGAGTTTACTTCTCGGGCCTTCCCCTAAGGGCGGCCTGAAGGGCCCCCCCCCCCCCCCCCCCCCCCCCCCGATGCTCAGAGCTGAAAATATGTGTATGGACATAAATAACATGTGTGCTCAAGCTTCTATTTCCCTCAACTATGGACTTAGCAATAATGTGACTGACATTACATTATGCTAAGAGATTGTGACTGCATGGCATTACATGTGGTTGACATCACTATATTTCACGGCTGGCTTAAGCATTTATAGGCCTACACAAATTTTAAACAATCTTTTTTATTAATATGCTAATCAGAACTCAAGCTTAGAAAATTTTAACAGAATAACTCTTTGGTCAGAAATATAGGCATTTATCAAGAAAAAACTTTTTGTGACTTTCTAAATAATAAAATTTGTATCTCATTTTACAAGCGAAATCTGACTACAACTGTACCCATTTTTCCCTGATGCCATTGATAGCTTTAAAAGACTAATTCCAAATTCCTTACCAGTGCATCCATTATGTCATCAGGACGTCATTGCAGACTTTGATGTGATGGTGTACTGTCACTCACAAAATAGTGCGCGCATGTAGGGACAAAACTATATTTCAGTTTAAAAGCGCCAAGTTATATTGTAGTACTTTAGCAAATTAAATTTGAACACGTGGTATATTTGTTTTGGTCTTGTGTCTCCACCAGCATGGAATTGCCCATATACCTTATACCGTATACATTTAATAGCCTAGTACATTCTAAATAGGCCCAAGGCACCTTGGATGTAGTTTCTCTGATGTTTGATGTCATCACAAAGTGGTGCACTTTCAGGGCATTCCAGCATCAAGAGCAGCGTCTTCTTGGTAAGAGTAGGCAAACCTTAAATTCAAATTGAAAAAAAAAAACAATTTGGAAAAAAATAGCCTACTTGTAAGTTGTATACACATACAGTTAATGATTTTTTTCCCATACTTGTGCAGGCTTTTGTAGCTTTTTAAGTTTCACCGAGTTGGGAGAACAAATATACGTGTACATGTAGCGAGAACTTTTGAAGACAGAATTTAGAAATTAAGCTTCCTTTGCATTCACATTCACAGCAAAAGTTTAGCATGTATTTATAATCAACCCATACATCACACAAAGACTGTTGCACAATCAAGTGTTAAAGTATATATGGAACAAGTTTTTAGCTCACCTGAAACGCAGGTGTACCTCTTCTTGGGGTTCTGATGACAGGTCCTGTCATATCAAAGAATGTGCATGAAATGAAATAAAGATTAGTTATGGTAGTTAAAAATGCTTGTTAGACAATAACATTTTCAGATTTATTATCCAGAACTCATGATTAACTTTAAAAGGCAAGTGAAATAGTAAACGAACACAACATGTGCTGAAAAGACATGTGAGCACGCAAAATGAAAATTTACGTAAGTGTTTGTGTGTCCAGCAATGTCAATGACAAACTGTTTGTCTGTGTGGCCGACAACCCGGGTCTGTAATAGGGTAGCTGAAAGGGCTTGCGTACTGATCATGACGCACGAAAACATGGGTGCATGCATGTAGTCTGATCCTTTGGAATATGAACATCTTGCTGTTGTTGTCAACGGGGCGGCATTGGGTGGAGCTGACACATGGATGCCTTGAGCCAGTCAACTGCTGGGTCCAACTGAGCTGCTGCGCTGTCAGGCAGATTGAACAATGAGTGGCGCTAAAAACGAGTTTAGCTGGACAACGGCCCAGGTATGAGGAACAAATTCCTAGCAGGACGAGTGGAAGTGTGCCTATCCACTCTGTAAGGTCATTGCGTGCTTTTAGTGAAGCCTGGCATGGTAATCTTTCAACCTGAAGGACAGAAAGTGGTGTGTATGCGTTAGCAGCCAAGTTATCTAGTGAGGGTGAGAACTTAAGGCTGATTCAAATTACCGGCCGCAGTTGGTTGTCACAGTAAATTACCAAAGTAAAACTCTCAAGCCACGGCTCACAGGTCAATTGGCCAGAAGTTGGCCGGACACGCTTGGTCACCCTTCTTGTACAACAGTAGGATGGTAGCTGTCTTCCAAGAATTGGGGAACCAACCTTTATGCAGATACCGGTTAAATATCACCACTGTAACTCCAAACGCATTATCTACAGTATGTACCAACCTGATGTGACGCTATTCAAGCCGCTCTTTCTCGGTTGCTGAGTTGACATCAGCTGACATAGGCTCGAGGAAACCTCCATCTGCATAATGGGTCATAGCAGCTCCAAGCCAGACTACCCAGCACCGGCAGAGTTAGAAACAAGAGTTCAGAGTCAACACTGATTATATTGCGATCAACCGCCCTTTTCAAAGTGAACTTCAGTAAAGTAGTTCACCAGTGTTTCCTCAGTGCCAGCATATCTGACCGGAGAGCAATCCAGGACCAGACGCATCGCCCGTCTTCTACTGGACCCGTACAGCTTCTGAAGCCTGCTAGCCTCCTGCACATCAAACTTTGGCCCGTGCCACACCGCACCACGCCTTAAGACACGGTAAACCTTCGATGTGGGTTGTACAGAGTGCTTGAGAAGATTGGCTGCCCAGCGACTTTGCTCAGGATCGTCCAGTCATTTCATGACAGGATTTAAGCCTGCATCTCCTTCCATGGCGACGTGCCCGACAGTTTCTCTGTCAGATGTGGAGTGAAGCAGGGCTGCATCATGGCGCCATGTCTCTTCAACATCTACTTCTCACGCCTCCTACACCATGCCTTAGACGGCAACACCCTGGGAGTCTACTTGCACACACGCTTTGATGGCGGGCTTTTCAATGAGCAGAGCTTCCGAGCCAAGAACAAGGTGTCTCACTTCACTGTCACGGACCTCCTGTTTGCTGATGATGCTGCACTCATTGCTCACTCAGCAGCCGATCTTCAGACCCTGCTGGATTTTTTCACTACCTCGTGTGTGGTTTTCGGACTCAAGATCGGTCCTCATGTGTCAGGAAGTGGAGAGCCAGGCTCAACAGCTTCCACCTGTGCAACCTGAGGAGGATCCTGGGCGTCACGTGGTCAGATCAAGTGTCAAATGCGGAGGTTCTACAGCGCACTCAATGTGCGAGCTTGCACACCATCCTCAAAGTGCGCCAGCTCAGATGGTTCGGACATGTCTGTAGGATGCCACAGGACCATCTTCCCAAGGGAAACCTCTTCAGTGAAGTCAGTACTGGAGCCCAAGCTCGAGGAAGACCACTACTCCATTTCCAAGACTGCGTGAGGGATGACCTGCGACACTGCCAGATAGAGAAACGCAGAGTGGATGAGCCTATTGCTGAGAGAGGAGCATGGTGGAAAACGGTCCGCGAGGAGGCAGCTGCGGCAGAGAAGAAGTTGCGCAAGGAAGGACGGACACGCCGGAAACAAGCGAACCAAGGCGCAGTGGCATGATCCTCATGGATCATACATGGCCAACAACAACAAAATGCACACCCCTCATTCATGACCAAAGGCACTACAGTGGGTCTTTGCTGGTTTGAGTTTGCAAGAGAAGAAAGCCATCAGTTGCCAATTAACCTTGTCAATTATTGTTAAAGGACTGCCCCTTGATGCATCAGTCAAAAGGTACATCAGCATTAGGCTTAAGATGTAGAGGCTGGCAACATGCGAGAGAACAAGATGTTGTCCACAGCAGCTACAGCTTTGCAAGTCCAACATAGTTCAGTGAGCAGTTGGAGGATCGTGCCAACCCAAGGAACACCTTAAGTTAGCATTGTGTCATCGGTTGTGGAAAATCCCGGATGGCCATGGGTTTTCTCCTTATCCTTTCGAATACACATGGTGGCCAAGGATTTCCAACAAGTAAACACCAAACTATTATTTCACTTGATTGATGAGGAGTGGGTGGTCAGAAAAGTAACTAATGAGCTGGAGAATGTAGATGACATTCGTGATCTTCAATATTATCAACGCGGAGATCGTCGATGTACATGTACATGTACATGTATGCAGAGCAGAAATAGAATCTATGAACCTGTCTGAAAAGTTTGCACAACATTACAGAACCTGAAGGGCATACGCAAAATGGTGATTTTAGCCTGTGTCTTTCGGATGTCCAAATGCTCCTCTGGGATTTGGTTGTAAGCACACCAGGTTAGTTAAGAGAAAACCTTAGCAACATGTATGCAGAGATGAAAAATAATTGTGGATGTGTGGGACATTGGGAGCGATATGGGACTGTACGATCATTAAGTGCATGTACGTTGGTCCCCACATGGTTTCCGGGCCTTGGGGGTTCTCTTTGGGATGAAGGGTTGAAGCGCAGTTGCTGCTGGATGGTCTGATGATACAGAGATGTAGGATGAGGTCAAACTCCTGATGGGCAATCTTCAGTATATATGGGTGAAGGCGAAGTAAACAACCAGAAACTGGTGGGCCTTTCGGCAATGTGGTGCGTAATCTCATGCTTTAACTGCTTTGTCCACATAGCACGGCCTAGTAATGTCCGGAAACTGGACAAAAAGCATATACATGTAGTATGGCAACTGAGACTAGAAAGACTACTTGGGCAAGGTTGATTGCACATGATGCCAATGACACTGTCATTGGTTGTGGCATCCAATAGCTGACAATACCTCATGTTCATTAACAATTTACTTCGCCAGACATCTGCACGAATGATCGCTTGCTGAACATGTGTATGACAAACACCACCTGTAACATGTACATGTCCGTTGTAGTCCCAAATCCAGCGTGAGTAACTGCTCTTTCTGGTCAGGTGGAGTCGTTTAAGCTTTTGGGGGTGCACGCATTTTGTCAATGCTTCACATTTCCCAGGGAGGGTCAAGCAACAAATCCTGAACTTCTTTCAGGGTTGAAAACAAACATGATGTATACATATTTTGTGGCCTCGGAAGTAATATGAGGAGTGTGAACTGCGCCTCAACTTGGGCAAACCATACGTGGGGTTCAGCAGCTAGGCCAGTGTAAAGACAGTACTTTGATACCAATGCAGTCAGGTGTCTTCTCTGCTGGTTGCAACATGTTAAACTCCATCCTTTGACTCTATGTTGTATCCAACTAATGTCAAGGTCATCAATCATTGCAGCTCCAAATACTTGTGAGGCTGCTGACAAAATTTGCTTTCAGAAGTTTATTATATGGAACAAATAACTGACTTTAACAAGACATGTTATTACATGATAAACAAACAAGAACACTGCGCACAGAACTTGTGCACACTGAATGGAAAGTTACAGGATGAGTGAACTTATTCACAGTAACAAGGTGCACCAACAATAACTTGGATACAAGCAATGTTCAAACCTTTACTGTAGGGCTGTGCATCAGAACCCTGTACCCGAGTACCCGACCATTGATGTCAGGAACCGGTTCCAGATTATGGAATTGGGTACCCATAACCAACTTTACGCATTACTTCATAACTTCCCCGACAATGAAAAAGGAAGATTTCGAATGTCATTGGTGGAAAAATTTCAAAATGAAAACCAGGTTAAATGGAAAACAATTCCTGTTTGCACATTGAAGCTGAAGCATGTATATACACACTTGTAACTTGCTGCATTGGCGCACCGATGTATTATCATGCGGACCTTTACGTAAAATCTGAACAGCAACGCCCGAGATTTAGTTTTGAGGTTTGGTTCTATAATGGGTACCCGGCTACTCGTGTTATTTTTAGTCGGGTACCGGTTCCTGTACCTTCTACTCTGTTGAATTTCATTTCAAGTACATGTAAATACTTGACAGAATTACATGTACCACTTTGAATAAGGTTTTAATGCAATTGTTCACTGATGCAGGCAGGGATGTAAAGCCAACCATGGATTAAGGTTACTTTGTTTTAAAATCAAATTTAAAGTACATTTTAAGCAAACCAAAGGCACATACATAACTTTACCTGATGTTTGATATTGTCACAAAGTGGAGCTGTTTCAGCATCAAAAGCAGCATCAGTCTAACTGGTGAAAACCTGAAATTGAAATTAGAAAGCGAAATTAATGTGATACATGTACATGTACTGTATTGGTCAAGTATGACCCATTGGTTTGTTAAAAGTACCCCAGGGGAAGTGGAAGGAAATTTTGACCATGTGACCTTTTAAACAGCAGGAGGGTTTTAAGTTCACAGCTCTTTGGGATGTGTTTTCAGATTGAATTTAGAGTTCATTGCCATGAATGCAGGTTTTTAGAGTCCATGGATATAATTACTTTTTCCAATATTATCCAATGCAATGTCAAACTGTTTGAGATGCAGTTGCATGTAAGTACTTTTGGAGGTGATAGGCGAGGGAATATGTGAACAATTGAGAGAGTACAGAGTTCACTAGTTCATGACATGTAGATATTTCTGATGCCCGGATGCTGGTGGATGTACTGTGCGTTGCGGTCTACCTGTTAGTGTAGGTTGTTGTGGTAGTGGGTCAGTGAGGTTTGGGATCTGGACATCATAGACAGGTTCTGGATCAGACTTAGGAACAAGCATGAGCTGACGCCGATTTCTGCAGTACTCTGCACCTTTGATGTTGATAACATTGGAACAGGGTGGACCAGCCTTGCGGATAACATCTGCCATCGAACTCTATCCAGATGAAGTGTGGACCCTGATGTCATCGCCTGGTTTTAGCTCGTCCAATTGTTTCACACCGTTTCTCCGATTGAGGTAGACCTCAACGCACAGTGTCTACCTGTTAGTGTAGGTTGTTGTGGTAGTGGGTCAGTAAGGTTTGGGATCTGGACATCATAGACAGGTTCTGGATCAGACTTAGGAACAAGCACGAGCTGACGCCGATTTCTGCAGTACTCTGCACCTTTGATGTTGATAACATAGCAACAGGGTGGACCAGCCTTGCGGATAACATTGCCCATCGAACTCTATCCAGATGAAGTGTGGACCCTGATGTCATCGCCTGGTTTTAGCTCGTCCAGTTGTTTCACACTGTTTCTCCGATTAGGTAGATTGTGCTCTTGGATTTGCTCGATTCGTCTGCCTTCTTTAACTGCTTGCGGCTGGCAATCCTTGAACAAAGACAGAGTGGAAGTATTGGTAAGGTAGTGAACATCTCTCTCCCCGTCATAATTAGTCAATCACACCGAGAGCTGGTATTGGAGTGGAAAGGTAGGTCATCAAAGCTTGAATTAGATCTAGCTGACTGTTGTAGAATCATCTTGGCAATGCAATGTGAACAGCCTTTTTCTGCCTGGCCATTCCCTTGTGGATAGTAGGGGCTGGATGTGATATGTTGAAAGTTGCACTCCTTGGCAAACTGTTTGAAGTCACCTTGGAACTGCGGACCGTTATCTGTGGTAACCATGTAGATGACAGATAAATAGGTTATATATAAAGTTATTGTCTTGTGCAGGTGGTGGACTTCATTCCATTTGGAGTAGTAATTCACTAGGATGATGAACTGCTTTCCCTTCACATTTGCCAAGTCAAAGGCTATTCGTTGCCACGGCCTCTCGGTAGGAGGGGGGGGGGGGTTTGGAGATCAGTGGTTCTGCTCGTTGGGTTGGCTGCTCTGTCTGGCAGTGCTGGCACTTCTTGACATATTCAGCAATATATGTGCCAATACCTGACCACCAGACTGCTTGGCCAGCTCCTAGTCTGCTTTTACTGAGGCCTTGGTGGCCCTCACGGCTTTCTGGAGCATCTCGGGACTCATCTTCTCTGGGATGACGATGCAATTTCCATGGGCGAGGACTCCGTCAATCAAGCTGATTTTATCCTGCTACTCCCAGCAGCCTGGAACATTGGCCAATTCAACATCTTTGGCTTACTTGGGCCATCCATCCGTTGCTGAAATACGCTGTCACAATGGTGAGGTTGACATCAAGGGTTGTTTCTCGTGCTATATCTCTGTCAGTTTAATACCGGATGATATAGGCCAGTGCTTGGTGACCATGTTGACGTTAGCCTCCACCTCTTCTTCAAGGTTGTCGGTGTTGTCTCCTGAGGATTTCAAGGGTGCTCGTGACAAGGTGTCGGCAACAACGAGGTATTTCCCAGGTGTGTAGACTGCTGAGCAGCTGTATTTCATCACCCACGTGAGAAGATGCTGGCACCTGAGAGGGACGTCACAGAGATCCTTGTTGTTTACCAGTGGGACCATTGGCTTGTGGGCTGGCTGGACTGTAACATGTAGGCTTCTAAGGTATACATAGAATAGAAGACCACACTGTCGCCAGTAGTGTGCTCTATATTTGTGCATAATGCCGTTCAGCACTGGTGAGACTTCTGGAGCAGTGGACTACAGGTTTCCACTGCTCATCGTGTTGCTGCTGGACACAACCTCCTAAATAATCCGTAACTGCTCGCATCGGCACTTATCATGGTGGGTCGGGATGGATCGTAGAATGCAATTGAGGGTGCCAAAGTCAGGAGTTTCTTGATGTTACGGAATGTCGACTGTTGAGATTGACCCCATGTCCAGTTGACATTACCTTTTCATGAGGTCGTTGATGATTCCCATGAGGCACTTCACTTCCTCTTTTGTAGTCAGCGGGGCCATCTGTATGATTGCTGCCACCTTTGAGAGATCAGGGTGGATGACCTCTTTGTTGAGTTTCTTTCCAAGGAAGTCGACGCGCGTCTGCAGGACACTGCACTCTTTTTTGTTGTGCTTAATTAAGTCCGGCATTCTGCATGATTTGCAGGATTTGCTGTAGTCGTTCGTCGTGTTCCTATTTATTAGTGTGCCTTGTGATCAACACATCCTCCATGTAGATGACAACACCAGTTATATGCCTGCGAGGAGATCACTCATGATGCATTTGTACATCTCCGTAGTACATGTACATGTAGGTGTTATGCCAAACGCTAGGCGTCGGAAACAAAAATGCTCAAATGGCATCAGAAACAAAAACGCCCAAACTGAGTGATGAAGGTATAGTCAGCTTTGACTCTCTTTGCCGAGAGGCACCTGCCAGAAGCCATGTTTGGCATCCACCAGTGAGAGGATCCGTACATTAGAGATCCGCCCTAGAACTTCCTCAACTGTAGGTATGATGAAACATTCTCCAGCGACAGCTTTGTTGAGCTGATGCAGGCTGACACACAGTCAAATTTTGCCCTTCTTCTTGGTGCTATATATGGCAATGGGTGAGCATTTTGCTTAAGTTTGAGTTGTGGCATTAGCGGAAGGGCAATCCGACAGGGGGCATTGATAGAGTAGGGTGTGGCATCCTCTGCAATCTTGATGGTCACTGGATGGCATGCTGAATTGCAAAATGAAGTCTAGTTGGCTGATTTCCCGTGGAGAGTGTCGGTCTGGTGATGCCTTGAATGCATACGTGAGTGGCTTCTGATCTGTGAGGACATGAAAGAGACGTCCTTCCAACATGGCACGAAAGTGGCGTATGGTCAGCAGGTAAATGGCCAACAGTTCCCGGCCGAAGGCACTGTAGCGAGTCTTCGCTGGTTTGAGTTTGCGTGAGAAGAAGGCGATCAGCTGCCAAGCGTTGTCAACTCTTTTTTGGAGGACAGCGCCAACAGCGACATCTGAGGCGTCAGTCATGACACATAAGTCTGCATTGGGCTGAGGTTGTGCGAAGGTGGCAACACCAGCAAAGGCTGACTTGATGTTGTCAAAAACCGCTTCAGCTGCGGAATGTAGTGAGATCCGTGAGCGGTTGGAGGATGGCGGCTGCATGTGGTACGAACCTCCAGTAGAAGTTCACTAACCCAAGGAACTCCTCGAGTTTGCGCTGTGTCGTGGGTCATGGGAACTTGCGGATGGCTTGGATTTTCTCCTCAAGTGGGTTTTCTCCTCAAGTGAGCAGACTCCTTGTGAATCCATGCAGTGACCGAGAAATTTCAGGGACTCCACACCAAACTGGCTTTTCGCTGGGTTGATGACGAGTCTGTGGTCAGACAACTGATTGAAGAGCTGGAGAATATGCCGTTCGTGCTCTTCCGCATCAGCACTAGCAACAACGAGATTGTCGATGTACGAACAGCAGAAGCCGAGTCCGTGGATGACACTGTCAATGAATCTCTGAAAAGTTTGCGCGGCGTTGCGGAGCCCGAAGGGCATACATGTATGCACAAACTCGTAGAGTCCAAAGGGTATGGTTGCTGCAGTCTTTGGGATGCCTGAAGGCTCCACTGGTATTTGATGGTATATGCTCGCACCAGATCAATTTTGGAAAAAACCTTGGCACCATGTAGCGATGACGAAAGTCGTGGATGTGCGGTATGGGCTAGCAGTCTAAAACTGTGCGATCGTTTAGTGCACGGTTGTCCCCACATGGTCTCTAGTCCTCTGAGGCCTTCTACGGTCTTCTTTGGGACCATTTGGAGGGGTGAAACTCAATTGCTGCTTGATGGTCGGATGATACCAAGTTGCAGCACGTAATCAAACTCCTGTCGAGCAATGTTTAGTCTATCGGGGCGAAGGCGACGAGGATGAGCCAAAACCGGTGGGCCAGTCTTGGTGATGTGGTGCGTGACACCATGCGTGACTGCGTTGTCATTATAGCACAGTTTCGTGATGTCCGGAAACTGGGCTAGTAGTGCACGGTATAGAGTCGATTGTTGTGAACATAGGGTGAGGTGAGGGTTGACTGCACATAACGCTATTGACACTGATCAGGTCGTGGCTTCTAACAGTTGACAATGTCTCATGTGAACTTACAAATTGAAGTGACGCATAAAATCTGCACCAATATATGATCGGTTGGTGAACATCTGCTATGATAAACCCCCGTCTACGTAAAAGTCGGAGTCCTAAATCCAATGGGAGTGACCGTTCTCAGTAAGTTGTAATGGTCGAGCCATTTGCGGCTTGCAATTGACAATCTTTTCAGGATCGCTAGCATTCAAGTCGCGATGGGGGGACTCACGTCTGCCCCAGTGTCAATGAGGAAGCATTGTCTTGTCGTGCGATCTATAACGTGGAAGAGGTGACTATGCGTTTGGCCAGTGCCAGAAGTGGATGGAGTATGTGTCTGTGATCACGAGTGATTACGGGGTCGACTTCGAGAACGTGAGCGACGTGACAAGGCTTGTACTTATATTAAAGCGAAAGTTGTCCAATTTCCTTGCATAGGAGTTCCAGTTCTGTCAGCGGTGCAGGCATAGCGGGGGGTACATGCAGGTGTTACCTGTGTAACCAAGTTGACTTTCACTGGCTTCTGCTGAAAGGCAACATCCATGATTTTGTTTGCAAGTTCAGCTAACAGCTCCAACTTGAAGCTTTCCCCAGTTGATGCCAACATCGTATATTGGGTGGTAGGTGCTGCAGAAATAGTTGGCGGAGGATCGATTCCTCAAGTACGCGGTCCCCAAGCAACTGTCGCACGTGACAAAGCAACTGGGTGGGTTTTCTGTCGCCCAGCACCTCCTCATTTAGGAGTTGCTGAAGGCGTTTCTGTTCAGTTGCAGATGTGTCCTTGATCAGCTCTTCTCTCAGAGTTTTGTAAGGGTTCTCCGCAGGAGGGGTGAGTAGCAAATTGCGGACTTCCTGAGCAATTTCAGGGGTGAGGCAGACACAATATACCTGTATTTCTTTGCCTCTGATGTTTTATGTCTGGTAGTAAACTGGGATCGGCAGGCCATACGGCAGTAGTTTTATGCTTACCGCAGTCATTTGTCCGCTGTGCCCGCTCGAAGTTGCAACATTTTCTGCTCCGTCCTTTGACTCCATTTTGCGTATTTCCACCGTCAGGGTCACCAATTATTGTTGCTACAAGTACTATAAGGCTGCAGACAATATTTGCTTTCAAGACATGCAGGATGGTTCATTATCCACAACAATAACTCAATTTACGAGGCAAGGTGGTAAGGCAAAAACATCAGCATGAAAGTTTAGACATGTGAACGAACAATGAGAAAACTACAGAGAGCGCAAACTTTGACCTTACTGATCACAGGCTGTCCATAGAGGGCGCACTAACAATAAACGACATTAACTTGGCTACTACAGTGTCACGAATGTGTCCAAACTTTTGTGCGAATGAACAAATTCCATCATCTTTTCAATTGCATGAAAAATTGCACAGAATGCGGATTTGGTTACCACGTCTCCCCCCCCCCCCCATAGTCTTGTGTGCATGTATCTGCTTCATTTATCCCCCCCCCCCCCCCCCCCACAAACAAACAACCCGCAGAATCTCGGTGTATACATTGCGCAGTTAGAATACTGAACTCGCTTAAGGTATTGTCAACGATGTAAAATGTAAACAAATTAATATTCTGCACATCCTTTGAATAAAAGATAATTAACGCTATAGCCTGGGCATATCAGCACGCATAAAGTCTGAAAAAAAACCTATGCTGATTTCCTATAACTTTCCCGAGAAAAGGGGGCCTGTCAGATACATATGTACATTGTATATGATGTAGTAGTAAAATAAGTATGATAATTGATATGATATGGCTACTGGTCATGCATGCTCATGATGCTGGTGGTGGCAGCTCATCCATGTAGACAAGTGTTTAATCTGAATCCAAAGCCCTAAAATACCTCTTCACAGCTACGATTGATCTAAACTTACAGACAATGCTTTCACAGGCGAAACAGGAGTGGCACTGGCAGTTGATCCGATGATAAATGAGTCACAAATTTCTGGAAACAACTTGGGTAAGACTTGTCAACATACAAATTACATCAAGCCATGTGAGGAAAGATCAGAACAGGCTCTAAAAAATGGTCAATAGAGGGCGATGTTAACAATTAAAACAGGACAAATGGTCCCCAAGACCTGAACACAATTTACACTTGGGGAAAAATGAACAAACAATTAAATCAATCATTGTCAATATCAGCAACCATTAAACAAAACCTGTCACGCGTTTAATATTTCAGAGCTAAAATAAATGGACAGGTAGATTTTCAAATGTGAAAACTCAACAGAAATTAATTCTCACAGCTTTTCATCAATCAGTGATCCCCTCCCCAGCAGCCGGCCCCATGCCCAGATCGAGGCTGTAACAATTATTCGCGCCAACATTCTTCCCCGAAGCGCCACCGGCACGTACATACTCGTGCTATGTACGTTTAGCTGAGAATTATTTCCGTCATATCCATGTACATGTATACATACGTATGTGGTTGAACGAGTGCCATTCCAGATGATTTCTTAAAGTCAGTCCAAAACATTTTCCAATTTCATTGGCAAATAAATAATTAGCTAATATGCCTCTAGGAGTGTTGACAAATATTGTGAATTCGTCCCTAAGACAGGATGCATCGGTTAAAAGGAGATAATTTGGGATTTAAAATGTTCATTTTATCCCGCGACGAAGCACAATGGACGTTTTTATTAAATTCAAATTGTTGCACGCATGCGCATTATTTAATAGGCCTGGCGGCAAGATGATGTTGTTGTTGATGTGATGGAATGGCACGTTCGGCAATCTATAGTGCCCTTTGTGCCATAAGCAATACCTTTGCGTTACAGAACAGTAGGCTAATCAGGAAAAATGAAAGGACAAACAAAGACACTTCGTGAAAGCTGCGAGAGACAAAATGGAAAGAAATGCCCCAAAAAACAAGCAGTGACAGTTCGGTAAAGCATGGCGGCAGGAGTGGGGGGAAGCGCCAATGATCCGACGAACATGCAGTGTCGCGGGTGCCCTGCAAGGCTGGACCGTCAAATATTCGGGTCATTTTTCTCTCCATTTCTCCATAATTTGTCTTTTTTTCTTTCTTTTTTTCTTTTTTGGAAAACATACAGTCGTCGAAGGCATTGCTTTCTAAGTGAGTTTTTGGGGGAACAAAGCTAAGAAAATTACTTTCGTCCTGTGAGCACGAGGGCGAACTAAGGAAATCAGCGCTGCAAGGCTCCTTTTCGTATACGAGTGGAAATAAATAACAGTGTGCTTCGGGGTACCATTTACCAAATTTCGGGGGAATCTTTAAAAACTAATTCGGGTTTGAATTATTTCGAGTCACCGTCAGTGATTGACCAGCAAGTTGCAACCTTTTGCCTGTGACCGATTTAGCGCAGCGTGCGTTTTGCCGCTGACCGATATAGACGAGTGTCTATTTGAAGCCGTATAAACCCCGATGGATCCTTCTACCTAACGAATGTTTGTTTTAAAACAAATTAAACAATGCTTTATTCCGAACATGCGAATCTAACAAATAGGGCTTTCATTTTGGGCACAAAATAAATCTGCCCTGCCAGAGCGCGAATTATTGTCTGGCAGCTATATAATTTGCGAAGATATAATTCAACAACTTACTATAACACGATGGCGGATTTTTTGTCATTCGATGTTTGATTCAACAGTGAATAACTTTTTTATATTGCTAGGAAAATAGCAATTCAAAGAAACAGATCTCTTTACGAGTGGCATCGATTTCTAAACAGTCTTCTTTTCGTTGCTTTTTTTCTGGTTTTAATATAAAAGGCAATAATTGTTGGGGAGCATGATGCATGGCACCCGTTATCGCCCTCCCGCCCGACTTGATCCGCAAATAAAAACAGGGCTTTTAAAATTTAGTTTAGTGTCATATTAAAAAAAAATCGGAACAAAAGATCTAATTACTGTTTGCAAAAACAAACACGACTATGTAAGATCGTTTGACAAAATTATAATTATATTCAACAGCGACAAAATGAGACTAACAAAGAATGTCTCTTTCAATAATTAACCACCGAAATTTAATGTTGCATTTTTCTGCTTCACATCGATTGAGTAAGCTAAGGCCGAAAAAAAGTCTCCGGTTTCTGGTGTAGAGCTTGCCCACAAAAGTGTTTTTTTTTTACCGTTTTATTTTCTTCAAATGTTAGCTGATGACTGCAAATGAACTAAATTAAGTGCAAATATCCAGAGAGGCCACATTAAGCTAATACTCGATCGTAACCCCATCTAAAAACACGTTAAAATTGTGCAGCAGCAGGATTCCAGTCAAACCAGTGAGTTTGGCGGTTTCGAGACATCATCTTACATTGAAAAAAAAAACGTTTTTATTTTGCCGACGCGCTTGGCTATGGCGACGCGCGCGCATACCAAACCGGAGGCTTTTTTGGGGGGGGGGGGGGGCTAATTGCTATCTTTTTAAAATATAAAAGGGTATGGGTTGAGATTTTTTTCGGAAGTTCCTACCCTTAATTTTATTTCGGCCTTAAGCTTGAAATTTGCTTCGTTGCTCCACCGGGAGCCGGGCGTCGTTAGAGGGGTGGGTGGTTGGGGGAGTCAGTTTTCTCTGCAAAATCATGGTGCTGTCCGCAAATAGAAAATGAAGAATGGAGAAGGAAGGCGAAAGGAAGAGGGAAGACGAAAAAATGGAGAATGAAAAAAATAAACACCGCAGCTCAAAACCTCGCGAAGCTAAAATCCGGTTCTGTAAACCCATGGCAACAGATTGTACATTCTGCATGTCGGCACGGTACTGCATGCTGCGCGAAGTCGCGCTAAAGAGGGCAAATCTCGAAACAGACGGTCCGGCTTCAGTTTTGATGTGATGTTTGTGATTTAATATATCAACTGTGATGACCCACCCCATCTCCCTAAACACGAGCACATTTTATTCAAAAAGCTAGTCAGGGGAAAGTGGCCAGGAAATGCCTCAGATTGCACCACAGAGCATCGAGAATCAAAAAATGTCCCGGGGCTCTTAATTAAGCGGGCCCCGAAAAGTATTCATATTATTTGTGGAGGAAATTAAAGGGATCATTTTGAGCGGCAATTATTACACTCGTTTTGCGTGATGAACGTCGGCAAATTTCATGATGGCACCCACCCCATTCAAAATTGTCTAGCGACGTCCGTGCGTTGCTAATTGCTGTGTTGAATGTTGATTAGTGCACTATGATCAGCTAGTGCAGCAAGTTGAGGCTCGCCGGCCTCGGCCTCCAGGGCTTTATATGACTGTTTTTTTTTTTTTTTAACATTGCCTTTGGGGCAAAACCATAAGGCTGTATTGCTCTATGAGCAAAACACGTCCGGACCCGTGTTATTACGTTGTACGCGAAAATATACAGTCTCCGAACATTTTCGAAAAGTCAAAAGTAATAATGGTGCATGCATGCTGTTCAATTAACTTTATTGGTGGCACTGATAAAAAGCACACGTTCGTTCTTGGGATTTTGGTAGGCTATATAGACCATGTGCCTGTGACGTAGGGCAACCCAAACGTTTAAGCATATATTGTGTATAGTGTCATAATTTCGTTTCAACAGATAGGCCTTTACCGTACCGCAGAAGAGAACCGTTTGCTAAAAGTTGGCACAATACCCAATTTGTAAACAAATGTCACATGGTCTATAAGTCATTGCAGTTATATTGAAGACCATTGGCACGTAGAAAATAACCCCGGCCGCCCCCGTCAGCTCTTCTAAATTAGTGAAATGAAAAGCTACGAAAGACGAAAATGTTTCTATACCTGGATCTATGTGAGTATCGGATGAATAATGACTTCAGCTTAGCGTGCCAAACACATCTCAGAGGATATGATTTAGGATGTTATGATTGGTTTAAAAAGTTGCCAGATGGAATCTGTATTTTGGATCTGGACGGGAAAACACAGCTTCGAGCTGGTTTGCCACTTGAGGGCGCTATTGTCGTTTTATAGGGTCGTCTCCAACCTCGTCCGCAGGATGTCAAGCAGTACGCGCCCACCAGTACCTGCTCTCTCAAACGCGGTTGGAAATAAAGTAAGCACTGGGGACGAGGTTGGGGTCGTCTCATTATGTCTATGGTCGTCTGCTAGGTGCTAGGGCGACGCGTCAGTTGCTTTGACGAAAAAAGACCTTCAGATCATATTCTCAAGGACGTTTTGTTTATCGTTGAGGTAAGGACTAAGGCGAACAAATCTTTCACTGGACACTGAAATCGGTTACAAGATTAAAGCCTTCTTTCATAAAAACACGGTAAGACTCGCTATATTCCTAAGTTTCTCTTTATTTTCCTATTTTTTTTTGCGAATTTTCTATGACCGTCAATTGTGACTGACTGTGTTCTTATTAATTTTTAATCTCAACTTCGCCCTAATTAAAGCTGTTCCTTACGAGGCGACACCATCTGTGAAGGCCGTTGCACCATTAACGGGAAGAATTGCAACAAAGGATTGTGCGTGTTGTTGTGTTGTTCTGTTGTTATAAAACCTTCTTTTGGTTCACAAACATTCTGTGTTCACAAACATTTTGTTTTTCCCTGTTATTCAGGTTGATGATTTGATACGTTTGATGTGTTGTCTCTGGTTTCGTCATGGTTTAAGAATGCTTCAAATTTTGCAAAATTTTGCATTAAATTAGGCTACGTACGTGTTCAAGTTAGACCCAGTATGGCAGAAGTGGGGCTCTAGAACTCCTTTTTCGAATTTTGTCCAATACTAGAAGACTGACCAAACATGCCAAAGACAAAAGTCAACGAAAAGGAGTTCTAACTGTTATTACAATGTAGTTAGCACCCCAGTTGTTTTTATAAAAACGTGTGATTTATTAACAAAAAATGATCAATTTACTAAAAAAAAAAGTAACAAGGGAAGGATCAGGGAGTATTGTTTTTGCCAATTTTTCACTATACTGATGTGCAGTTCTCTATCTTGAGATCATTAAAAGGAAGAAAAAACAAAAAGAAAAAAATCTTGGGGGTGGTTAGCTACAATTTTTTTTTAATTTTTTTTTTTTTCTGGGCACTGAGTCCTAAGGGCTAGTACTTTAGTAGGAAAAAAGTTAATATGTAATACTTAATTAATAACATTCCACATGTTGGCCTATACTACATGTATGTAGCCCCTTCCCAACCCTCTCCCCCCCCCCCCAAAAAAAAATAAAAATAAAAAAAACCTACACCTCTATTGTAATCTTTACCAGTACCAGAGCAGGCCTATTGTGATGGCTCACTGTACACACTGAATTCTTGTGCTATGGGGTGCCATATGGCCTTGCATGATTCAGACCAAGGACTAGTGGCACAAAGAAACATTGACAGCTGGGTGAACAAAAGCAATTCACCTATCACCATTGATCTCCAATGTTGTGCATCTTAATCCTTACATCAGTAGCATGGCAGTGATAATAAGTAGGGAATCTACCAGTAGTTTATATTTGGTTCACAGGAGTGGGCTGAATGCCAGTGTGACAAAAAATCATACTATATTTTTTTTGTTTCCAGCAAAACAAAAGTTGTTCTCATTTGAATGCAGTATCAACACGGAGGTATTCCTACCTCCATGGTATCAATTACAAAAAAGCCACACTTACATGTAGTTGGAATATTAGGCAAAATAATAAAACAAACATGTTTAGCGTCCTGCCTCTTTGACAAAAAGGAAGGAGGAGGCCCTTTTTTTTTTTTTTTTTTTTTCAAAATGGCCGCCCGACACATTTTTCAAGACAACGCGGCCGGGCTATTTTTCAAGATGGTTACCAGCTTTTTTCAAAATGGCCGCCACTTGGACTCATTGACTATTTCCACAGCTTTATACACGGTATAAAAGACAGCTTTATACACGGTATAAAAGTCTAAAAATACAATTTCTTTCGTCAGAGATCGTTAAAATGTATCAATTTTTGTCTTTTAAAAAAAAAAAAAAAAAAAAAAAAAAAAAGGAGGCGGCCTCTAAAAAGGAAGCAGGCGGGGACGCTAAACATGTTTTTTTTTTTACTTCGCCTTAAGGGCCTACAAATTGGAATTACTTTTTTTTTTTTTTACAGCCCAACAATAATTCAGGCATGTCTTTTTGTGTATTTTTGGCCCAGAAGCAACCCAATAAAGGTTAAGAATGTCCAAACAGAATAATTTCCATTTGAGTAAACATACAAATTGAAAATTTGTCAGGAAAAAATATGTTGAAGAACATGGATTAGGCCCCCCCCCAAAAAATAGTCGGTCTCTGGTCAGACCAAAGTTCCGGAATTGATGTGGCGACGCTGGTTTTTTGTCGTTGAAGATTTAGAATTACAAGTCATTTTAAAAATTTTATACAAAATATCAAACACTCCATTTTTGAATTAAAAAAAAAAGAATTACGCAAAACTTCAATTAAAGGTGAAAACTTTGGGAAATAAAGTTTAAATCAGTAGCTCAATAAAGTATGCTTCCATCTTAACTATTTGTTCTCTCTTGTGGCTCAAAACCAGTGACATGTACGGGCATGTCTGTATGACATGTGAATAAATTGATGAGAGAAAAGAGCACCCTCTAGCAACCCCCCCCCCCCCCACTTTTCAAATTCGCAGCACTTGCAGTGGCCTGGAAATTTGGGAGAAATGCTGTTGGGTCTGCCCATGGTGCCCCCTCACAATAATAATCCTGGCTATGCCACTGCTCAAAAGCAAAACATGTGTTTCCAAATGAACATCAAAAATGTGTATGACCGAATGGGGTTTGAACCAGCAACCTCTAGTTTACGGTACTAGCAACTGAGCTACCCATCCTAGTTTGAGTTAACTTCCCTGTAATTATCACTGCAATTAGGTCCAAAAAAAAAAAATCGGTCTCTGGTCAGACCGAAGTTCCGGAATTGATGCAGCGACGCGTTTTTTTTTTGGGGGGGGGGACTTTTTTTTTTTCAAGCTTGAATTGTACAGACAAGGTGGCTACTATTTTGCTTTTTTGCGTCCTCATTATACATTGGTGTCCTCCATAATTTGCCTTCGTGCCCTTTATCATTTGCCTTGGTGCAATTTCACCATTCCTTGGTGCTCCTTGGTACAAACATTTGAGAAGGTGCGGCAATAGAGGGCGCTGTTGTAGCTTCCGTGCTCATTTGAAGAAAAAAAAAGGTTGACGCGTATGATTAAAATCGACGCGCGCGCTGACCAGAAACCGATTGTTGGTTTTTTTGCCTTATATAAATTGTTTTTTTCCCCCCATTTTCTAGATTGATAAAAGACTGCAATCAGCATGGCTACTGCATCAAGCCCCCCGAAGAGCATGGAAAACGGCCCTGCCAACAGAGAGTTCAAACCTCTAGTTCTGGACCTGAATGCTACTGCATCACATGCCAATTCCTCAGGTAAGGCCCGTTCTGAACGCCGTGCTATGATGTCGTGCCGAACTGAATCAATTTGACTTTTAAATCGGCACTGCGATAGCACGGCGTTTTGAGTTTGGTGTGGCATCATCCTTGGCATGACGGGTCGTAATTCCAAACAACAGATCTGAACGCCGTGCTATCATGTCGTGCCGAACTGAATCAATTTGACTTTTTTAAATCGGCACTGCGATAGCACAGCGTTTTGAGTTTGGTGTGGCATCATCCTTGGCATGACGTGTCGTAATTCCAAACAACAGATCTGAACGCTGTGCTATAATGTCGTGCCGAACTGAATCAATTTGACTTTTAAATCGGCACTGCGATAGCACAGCGTTTTGAGTTTGGTACGGCATCATCCTTGGCATGACGGGTTGTAATTCCAAACAACAGATCTGAACGCCGTGCTATAATGTCGTGCCGAACTGAATCAATATAAATTTTTAATCGGCACTGCGATAGCACAGCGTTTTGAGTTTGGTGTGGCATCATCCTTGGCATGACGGGTCGTAATTCCAAACAACAGATCTGAACGCCGTGCTATAATGTCGTGCCGAACTGAATCAATATAAATTTTTAATCGGCACTGCGATAGCACAGCGTTTTGAGTTTGGTGTGGCATCATCTTGGCATGACGGGTCGTAATTCCAAACAACAGATCTGAACGCTGTGCTATAATGCCATGCCGAACTGAATCAATTTGACTTAATTCAAAATCAGCACTGTGATAGCATGGCGTTTTGAGTTTGGCACGGCACCATCCTTTGGCTCGATTGGATCGTTCGGGCTACGGTAATTGACCTATCACGGTAGAATCGTGTTAGTAAATCTCGTCGGCGCAGTTTGTGAAATATTGTCAAAAAAAAAAATGTACATGATACACGAATGGATGCGTACCGCGCAAAATCTGAGACAAACAAAAGTTAGCGTACACAATTGCCATAGGGTTGTCTAAGGGGCATGGCTAACTTGCAAACTCGCTAGAGTCAATTCCAAATGGCACTGTTTTAAATGGCCTACCATTGCCATGCCACACTCAATTCAAGTCGTTAAGAATGTGCATGCTCACGATGACATCTTTGCATCCACATTACAGGGAATGAATGTGTGGAGTGACGATGGCCTGGAAAGCGCAGTGAACGGTTTGAAAGTTTTTTTACTTATGGCAAGCTACCGGTACTCTAGATGCATTTGGTTCAAGTAGTTACCTGTAAGCTGGCCATTAGAGCAACAGGGACAGATCTAGCTTTCAGGAAAGGGGAAGGGTTGATTCAGTGAAGGTGTGCTAAATGCTTGGGTTACACCTCTGTGTTTCGACACCGATACATGTATGTTCCGACACCCCTATGTTCCGACTGAACATATTCCTATTCCTAACCCTAACTGGGAGTAACACAATCTTATGTGCTGGTTGTCGGAACATAGGGGTGACACTGTCAGAATATACAGCAGTCACTAAATGCATGACCTGCAAGCGGTCCTGCCCCCAACCCCTCAAATTATTGAAAGCTACCGTATGATGCTTTCTCAGTCTATGGCAATTTAATATTACATTAAGAAACCCCCCTCTACCCCTACTGAGCAGTTGCTACTACTGAGCAACTGCTACACCCAGTTACAAGTACCCCCATCAGTTACAAAGTGAAAGTTGGGGGGAGGACCACTTGGAGGAACATTAAAAAAGTATTGCCAACGGTCCCAGACACTCATTTGCAAAGACTTTAAAGACTTGTGCCCATAGAATTTGACGTGCATACTTTGCACCACACTCTCATGCAAACCAATGCGCACGCTTGGTGTGTCCTGCCTTCTGGGGCTTTTGAAGGCAGTCGTAAAGCACCATCTTCATATACTGTTTGTGCAAGGAGTCCACAGCCAATTGCTGAGCTCAACAGCATGGCAGTAGCACAGCCTTTAAAATGGATTTAAGGTGTGACTAAAGAGCTGTCCACAGGATTCTTGCTAACTAGTGTGAAAAGGGTTTTTGCAATCACCATATAGTTTAGTGTGTTCAACCGTTAAGCTAGGGCCTCAGCTGTGTGACGTTCGTCCCAACCATGCAAAAGGCCCATGTACCGGCATGCCTGGGGGTGCAGACCAGTAAATCGGTCCGAAATTGCCTGCGCCGGCCAAATCACGATTTGCATGCCCTCAAAATCTTCGGTATTTGAGCATGCTGTGGGCCATGAACTTGAGGGTTTGTAAAAAATATGGGTGGAAGCCGTGCACAGTACTGGGAGCTTGCAGTTCTGTGTAATTTTGATGTAATTTGGACCCTAAAAGCGCTCTATTTTGCAATGGAGTGAAGGCATCGTTTTTTCAAAATGGCGATGGGCTTCAGGACTATTTTCAGGGGTGATCATCTTCAGATGGAAATTTCTCCTAAAAGTCATCAGTTGACCCCCCGAAAATTGAAAAGAAAATGAAAGATGATGAAATAAGCTTTAATTTGATGTGTGTCTCGAACACCTTTGAGAGTTGTGAGTATTTTTCCCGAATTTTTGGAGTGGGAGCATTTACCATTGGGGTCTATGGAAGTTTATTTACTGGTCTGCTACCCTGGGTAGCTATCTCCAGAGATTGGCAATACTGCCCTCTGTGGTCCACTCATGAATTGCCAGCATTAAGGCCTATACACAGTGTATTAGCATTAGTCACGGACCCTGGATGTTTCAAGCAGAAAGGTCAACAAACATCCCTGATGCATTTTGTACACACCTACCTGGTACTGGTACCTGCATATAGCATGCATACTGTAGTGATGTTACAACCAGCTGTTGTGCAATCCTTGCATGCTGTGTTGAACCATTGAGCTATAAACAGTCGAACTCATTTCCTGCTACTGGTATTTTGACTGTGTACAGTGGTTGCACAACAACTTGAGGAAGTACAATCTACTGTACATGTACTGTACATTATGTGTGTAAATTAAGCTGACCTTTGCCAAGTTTTTACCATTTTGGTGACATCTACCGGTACACATAAATCAGGTACGTATAATCATGGAATTATGATTGTAAACATGTATGGTACGTATAATCATGGAGCTATAACTCCATGGTATAGACCCTAATGTTTGCTAAAAGCAGGGTACTGGTACCTCCATGGTTTAAGCATGGAGCAAGGAACAGATGGTTTAAGTCAACCTTACTTTTTTTCCTTTGGAATAATGGAAGCATGGGAAAATAAAAAGCTACATGTATACTGTGGGAGTGGGATGTACATATGTACCGGTATGTTGTAAAAGTCTCAGGGCAACTCAACGCGATGTGGTATGAAAAATGTGTAAACCAGGAAATCAGACTTTTACCAGATTAGGTTGTATGTAGATTTACCAGATTAGGTTGTTAAGTGTATGGAATATTTTTATTATAGAATGACCAGGAATCATCTGCTATTGGTTCAAAATATTGAGAAGTAGGGACACTAGCTACCAGTAGATGTGGTCAGCTACAGATCATGACTGGTCAAACAAGTCTATTGAGTTTGAATCTTGAAATATAACAAATTGGCAACCTGACTTACATTTTTGTACATAAGCATTAAAAAAACACCACACTGGCAAACTAAATTTAATTCCACGCTAATGGGCCCAAAAGTGTGACATTTGAGAAGAGCTTTTGAGTTTTCATAATAAAAAAAACTATGATGTTGGTCTCTCAATTTTTGCTGTAAACATTGCAAGCTTTGAACAAATATCCTCACCTGCAAAGGATATAACTGGTTTGGTACATGTATTTTAGAAAATACGGTGGATATTGTGTTTAAAAGTGTTACGTACATGTACCTAACGAAGGACAGACATTTTCAATAAAGTCAAAAAGTAAGCATAACATTTAATGATCCACAAATGTTGTCTGATTTAAAAAGATGTACCCAGGAGGAATGCAAACAGTAAAAAACTAGAAAACTCAGAGTCAGTGTGAAGAATTATTTGATAATATAATCAGGTACATGTATGTACGAACAGACTGGACATTTGTCACAAAATGTCTGTCCCTGTGCATACGTAACCCTAATCACATCATAACTTTAAAGCCAATGCAAAAAAATGTTATATTTTCACTTAATAGCAATGTAAAAGACCTGTTATTTTCTCAAATGAAAAAGATATCTTGTACTTTCTTGTCGTAATCACTTTCAACTTAGCAAGGTATAGAAAAAAAACTATAGAAAACACTAGCTCTTTTTTAACCATATACATGTATGCAACATCCATAAACTTATCTTAATGGCCCATTAGAGTGGAATTGCCCAATTGTCAATCACAGTCAAATCAAAAGGATGGTAACAAGTACATTGTACTAAAAAGATGATGACATGCAATGGCAAGGATTCCTGATTGCAATTTGATTGGCTGCCACTTGAGGACATACAGTACATGTACTTCGGATGATTTGAGACCAAGTTATGATTGTATATATTTGTGACTGAATTGTTATAAACTGTGAGGACTTATTAATATAGATCTATACATGTTTATGTATGTACGGGTGCATATGTACATATGTACAACTTTGCCTAAATCGGACAGGTCACTTCATTTGGCATGTTTCTATTACATGTATTAGAAGAAAAGAATTTGGAGAGAACTTCGATTTAGGACACTGCAAAACTTGATTGAGACAATGATTTGATTATGATGAGAAACTTCTTGCAAATTGTGACGGTACATTTTGCTTTTTCCTGTATACGATAGTTGTTTTTCCCATGTAAAAACATACCAGGTATACACTTTTAATTTAGCCCAATCTTCTTTTTTGCAACACATACATGTACATTTTCATAAGTTTTATACATATTTGTGCACTAAATAGTTTTGTACAGTATATAGTATGAAAAACAAAAGTGATTGTGACCATGGAGCTATCTGTTACATGTGACCTATTGTGTAGGCCTGCGCGCCTCCATAGAAGTGTGAATTATGCACACTCCATGTAGTTAAGGTCAAGGTTATTTATATTTAAAATGCTGGCCCTACCCATCCCGTCATTGCAAAAACCCTGGAGCTGTATACAAATGCCTAGTGCAATGACCTGGTTCAGCTTTTTGACCCTGAATACATGTAGTTAGAGTGAATAGGAATTGCTGTGTTGTAAATGACAATACTGGTACCTTGAACTACATGACGTGTGGAACGGAATTCTGTTGACAATACTTGTTCCGTGGAATAAGGACAAAAAATTGTACAAAAGAGTCCTGTGATTCTGTCTGTGTGTCCAAGCTACAAAGAGTGGTGGCTTGCTGTTGGTGTGAATTGTGTCTTCAGAAACTGGATGATAATCTTGTCAAAGCGGATTCTGTTACAATGTAAGTCATTACATGTACCGGTATGTGATATTCAGAAAATGTACACATTGTAATTGGTATGCTGTAAGCTTTTGTACAGACACAACTGTACATGTACATGTACTAGTGCCACTAGTGGGTGTTCGTTGGCATTCATGCACATGCATGACATGTACGGTACTGTACTATGTACATACTGTGTGTGTACACGTATGTACATGTACATGTACATTGTACATCCCATGTACAACTAAATGTACGTACCCTACATATATTGTGAACAGCTGAGCTATTAAATAACCACTTCTGTTTTAAGCTTAAAAGTAAATAAAGTACCTGTATGTCTGATAATGAGGCAATATGGAGCCACACTAATGGGCCAATTAGATAAGCTTATGGATGTTCCATATAAACGGTAAAAGATGAGCTAGTGTTTTCTTTGTTTTATCCTATACCTTGCTAAGTTGAAAGTGATAAGGAAAGAAAATACAAGACATGATACAAGTCTTTTTCTGTGTAAATACGTACGGTAACATGGAGAGACACACTGCAAGGAAAAGGGTGTTTAGGACAAATTCAGTTTCTAATAGTAATACATTAACACACTTTCATTTGAAATATCAACCCATTTACATTGCTATCAAGCGATAATAGAACAGTTTTTGCACCGGCTATGTATGAACAGGGACAGACATTTTGTGACAAATGTCCAGTCTGTTCATTTGTATTTAAATCATGATTATAAAAGATCAAAAAATTCTTCACACAAATTGACTCTTGAGTTTTCTAGGTTTTAACTGATGGCATTGCTCCTGGGTACATCTTCTTAAATCAGACAACATTAGGGGATCATTGTATTAGGGGATCATGTATTAATGCTTACTTTGTGACTTTATCTAAAATGTCTCTCCTTCGTTACGTACCAGTACATAACACTTTTAAAAACAATATATCCACCGTATTTTCTAAAATACAAAACCAGTTATCCATTCCTTTGCAGGTGAGAATATTTGTTCAAAGCTTGCAATGTTTACAGCGAAAAGTGCGAGACCAAGATTCGATATTTATTATCAAAAGTCAAAAGGCCTTCTCAATATGTCACACTTTTGGGCCATTAAATGGAATTGCCCATATTGAAACTTTGTAGAAAGATGTTCAAGAACAAGAAAGATGTTCAAGAGCACGTTTTACATTAAGTACAAAAATGTACTTAATCTTATAATAGTTTATGGGGGACCCGCTGCTATGTACATCAGATTCGAACCAGCCAACCGATCCCGTTACCTCGGAGGTCGAGTGGTACCGGTAAGACATCTGCATTAGGAAGCAGGAGGTCGTGGGTTCGAGTCCCACCCGAGTGATATTTTTCCAACTTTCACTCGGGAGGTAACACACTGATACAGTGTTCAAACGTCGGTGAAGTGCAAAAACCTAATTTGATGTATATCACCCCGACGCAAAATTCCATCTTACAAAAATGTAATCATGACCTGCTTACTGTTTGTGTTTATAATTTATTGTACCGGTACACAATGTATACACATTTAAACACAGATGAGAAAAGCTATGATTGTAACAATGTGCATAGTGTACGCGCAATACATGTATGTAACATTTGCACATTTCACTGCATACCGTACATTGCACTTTGTACTACCGCAGTTCTTAATATCTTGTCAAGTATGCTTTCATCTCAAATGTCAATATCTAAAACTGATATTTAAAGTAGCTCAGGATGAAGATAAACGGATTGAATGGGTGACCTCTGCACTCTTCATGTTATTGTTAGCTCAACATTGTGCAAGCAGTGTGTGGTGAAAATGCGTATCATACATACATGCAGCAGTATAGTGCAGACAATCTCTTGTAAAACTTGTGTGATAAAAACGCCCACGTTTTAGAGTACTGGTAAGTACAGTATATGTATTTCTGGTGTATGTATAGGGTTTGGGTTTACCAATCTTTACTTTCAAATTACATGTACTACATGTATGTAAATGTAGCTGGCAGCTGGTGAAAGGGAAGCAAGGCTGGATGCACTTTTGTTTATTTATGTACTCTCCTGAGATTTTCCTATGTACATGTAGATGAAAATGTATGAAGTACAGGCCTACATGCACTCTCGCATTAACCTTAGCCTCCCCAAATGGTTTTTGCAAAATGGAGCATTTTGCAGCATAATTGAGGATACATGGCAACAATGTGTGACTGATTTTGGAGGATGCACTGTGTCGGGGTCTTGGGCCGGACCTTGTGTTGTTAACATCATATGTATGCATGTACATGTACATGCATGCTCAGCCGTGTATAAATTTAGGTCTACATTATGCTTGAAATCCTCTGCACTGCTCCTGGATGTCACTGGCTCTGCCTCAACATATTGGCAGAGATAGTCAGAGGACTTTGGAGGATTAAGGCAGTGGCCACCCCTCCAAGGACCATAACATTCAAGAAATAACGGAGGATTTTGCAGGATTCATAAGGCTGCATGCAATTTTTACGTGGAGGCAGTTGGAGGATATTGCAGGATTGAGGTTGCTTCAGAGCAAAAATGCCTAGGGAGTTGGGGTTAATTAATCTTCAATTTGACTTCCTGATCCTGATTGACTGATCCACAGTAATTTATTACACATAACAATAATGTGGTATTGTCCTGTAGGCTGTATCACATGATAACCACTGAAAGGTGACTGTAACAAGGGCTGTAACATGTCAGGCTTCCTGTTCCTCATAGTCATTGACTGGGTGATGAGGACGACAGTTGAAGGGGCAAGAACTGGTATAAGATGGAAGATGACAACAACCCTGGAGGACTTAGACATTGCGGATGACCTAGCGCTTGTCTCCAGCACGAATAACACATGCACACGTGCATTTTACATACAGTGTACATACATCAAGTTCGTTTAAAGATAAACTTGTTATCCCACTCGTACTTGTTTTAAATGCGAAAAAAGTACAAGAGCTCTCACATACAGTGTACATACATCAAGTTCGTTTAAAGATAAATTTGTTATCCCACTCGTACTTGTTTTAAATGCGAAAAAAGTACAAGAGCTCTCACTTATAAATGTGCAGCGCCTTATTCATGTACATGAGGGAGGGGGGAGAGATTTCACAAGATTCCCTAGACATTGTTCCTGGTGGTTCGTGGGTGATAGCGGTTTGCCATCTTGTGACGGCAGGTTATCGTGGCGGCGGGTTATCGCGTATCAAAGCACAACAATGTCTTGCCTAGACTACTGCATGTCCCTGGCCAGAAACAAAATACAACAGTTGTCAACGTTAGAAGCCTGCTCAGTGTTACAAGATCTGATCTAGGTGAAAACCCCAAAACTGAACTGTAACAAAAATTACTACCGTATCGTCTCAGAATTGAGTTATTGCATTTGTGTTGATGGCTACCTTTAGGTGCATTAAAACCGGCCCCTAGAGTGATATACTAGGAACCTTAAGTTTCCCCACTCCTGCAATTTCCAACACCATATGGTAAACCCTACACCCAAAATGTTGGACAAAAAGGTGGTACATACATGTATGCCTGAGCCCATTTACTAGTGCAGTATTCACTCCAACACATTACAAAGAACCATGGTGTTAGGCATGTTGGAGCTTGACTGAATTGGGATTGTTAGGGTTAAAGTCCCACAGAGATTTACTTTTACACACTGTTGTGTTATTTTTTCCCTGTCTAACAGAGAAGAGCCCCACTAAGATAGCCCCCTTCTCTCCGACGCGCCACATCCAGCCCTTCCCCAAGCACAAGCCAAGCAACATGGACAAGACCTACGAGGAGCTGGCCAAGAAGGTCTTCCGCAACAGCCGCTATGACGAGTCTCGCTGCCCTAACTATGAGTTCCCCGATGAGATCCCCATTGAGAGTGAACAGGAGAAGAAGAAGGGAGTGGAGAAGCAGATTAGTTATGCCAGGTAAAAATGGAGTCTTTAATATAAGGTGACTTTACTAATACACTGGAAACACTTTACTCTTTGAGTCACTGCTAACTCTTTGCAGTACTGTACATACATGTACATGTAGCTACATTTGTACATGTGCATACAATGTCTGTATGTACAATGTACATTGTATGTGTTTGTGCTCCCTGCCAATATGGCTCATCAGGTCAGCATACATGTATCTTCGGTGTCTGTACATGTGCGTGGCATACAAAACGACTTTGATGTCATAAATTTGATGCCAACCCAGTGCAGGTTACTCCCCAGCTGCAAGCATACCCCTGGTTGAGGAGAGGTAAATGGGGTGGTGTGGCTTGCCCAAGGACACAACATGTGGTCAGCAGCACGGTTTGAACCCCGACCCTCTGATTCTGAAGCACAAACTGTAATCACCAGGCCACACTCCCCCGTAATGGAAGTTGTGGTGCTGTAGCTGAACAATATTCCATGTTTCTTAAAGCTACTGCTTCTAACAAAGAACGAAAAGAAATCCTAACACTACAGTTCTGCAGCCTTTGTTAAATTTGTTGGGGGAAGAAACCCTGTTGTTTACAACTTGGAGGAAGTCACAATCTTCGCTTCATATTTTTAGCAGGGCATGTCTGTGCATTAAAAAACATATCTATTTTTGGCATCCATGAAGCAGTTTGAAGGTTTTAAAAATGATTCATAGAGAACTACACACGTTCACACTTTTGTGATGATTTCCAGAGCGCTACTGGCATGTACCACTGTATGTAGTTATTTCAAACATCAAGTACGTGTACAAAGTGCTGACAGCATTATATACCAAATGTAAATTGGGATCTTTAATTGCTCACCCATTCAAAGTATGTCACCATTTAAATACAATGACCCTAAAACTACATTTGGCCAAAAATGTTATTTCAAGAATCATCGTCACAATTGTCTTCAAACATCACCAGCGATAAAACCTCAGTTTAAAAGTGAAATAATATTCAACAAAGGCCCTTTGAAGGCCCATCTTTTGAAAAAAAAAGGTGGATTTTATAGACCGTATTGTTTGCCTAAAGCCCGGTTCATGCTTCAAGCGAATGCGAATTTGACGTCATGAAACATTTGCTGTGAAATTCGCCCGAGTTGAAATATGTTCAACTTTTATGTATTCGCAGCGCGAATACTTGCCACGACGTCACAAATTCGCGTTCGCTTTCGCGCAGAGTATGAACCGGGCTTTAGCAGGGATGTTAACAAAGATATTGTGTACAACGGTTGTTGACTATTGTTGAAACAAGTATCCTGTGTCATTTTCTTTGTTGTTCCAAACTCAGAACACACAATAATTTTGGGTTTTTTTTGGAAGAAACAGGTTTTAGGTTGATGGTATTTAAATGGTGAAATTATTTGAACGGATTGAGCAATTTAATATTTTTTTTTAAATATGAATTATATTTTTGGGGGTTTGGCTTCCGCTTTGTTTGACTCACCCTGTATTTTGTCTATTTTTGATGTTCCAACCTTTGAAAACTCTCACTTTTGGGTAAGGGTTTCTTAAAATAACATTTAACTCCTGAAGTGTTATTGCTTTGAACTTAACCCTCCTTATAAATCTGGTAAATCCTCTACTTTAAAAAGAAATGGCGACACCTTCATTTTTCTTTATCTTTAAACATGTTAAAAGGGGCATCAAACCAAACTGTAAGTGTAAGGTTTTTTGACGTGTTCATCAAATACAAAAAATCATTCCAAAACCCTCTTGGAGAATTTTGAAGGATCTCAAGTACCAAAATCTCTGCAAATCCTATCAAGACAATAAGTTTCTACACAAATTATCTGCTGCAAACATTTTTTGGATAAAAAAATAATGCATGTAGCGCAATGTGTCCTAATCCTTACAAGCAACATGGCACGTAATATGACAAGAGTACAAATGAAATTGATGGAAAAATACCTTTTATTTTTCACCTGAACTGGTATCTTATCCTTTTTAGTCTTATTTTAAACCTTTTCAGATGTATGTCAAAATATTTAAGAAATTGCACATATGAAAGATGATTGCACAATTGGCTTACAGTAATGTTTCACTATTTGAAGCACCATTGGAAATGATGAAAATCACTTCTTTTACATAATTGGCATTTTCTCAGCAACCCAATGTGCTGTTTTTGTGATTGTTTCTAACTGATGGATTTGAAGGAAAAAAATCTCAGCTTTAATCCAAAACATAAAATTTACAGATCACGTTTTTGGAAAAAGGCAAATGTTTCAGGGTTGCATTTTTCTGCTTCAGGTGCATACATACATGTAGACGCGATACACAAGAAAATCTTCAAATTAAGGCAAACATGACAGACAACCTGTGCATTGAGGAGGGGGTGACAAAGTTCCCAAGTTATGTATGCATACATACGTACATAATCTGGAGGAAATGTGCATACTTTGTGCATGCGTAATTCCGTTACCGTTTCGTAATTCCGTTACCACTTGGAAAAATGCCAAGAAATTACTATTTTAAAGTTTTTATTTTTCATTTATGTTTATAGTAGGGTCTTTTCTCAACATACATGATTTGAAGAAAAAAAACAAGAACATTTGTGAAATAAGTAACTTTTGCCATTTTTTTGGTAACGGAATTACGTGCTAATTTTGACATTTTTAAATGAAGGCCTACACTATATATATTTATATATTTATATTTTTAGATTTTTTTTTAATGACCCTGAGTAATGTTAGTAACTTGTAACATCATAAAATAAATCAAATCTTTTCCCTATAATTCAGAAAGTAATACATACACAAAATTTTATTTTTTTACCAAATCTGAACGTTTTTAATCATAAATTGCAAAAATCACTGTTTTTAACAGAAATATGTATTTTTTTTCAATTTCGTTTTTTGAACTGAATTCCCCATTTAATTGAGGTCTGGAAAAAGTACAAAAAAGGTTTAATATGTAAATATTTATTTTTGACATTTTTTGCTCTCCCATGGAGAATTGCCCATATACTTGTACACATGTACAGTGGCTGACCTAGGATTTTAGAAAAGGGCGGTAGATGGGCGGGGATTGAAAAATCCAAGATTTGTTAAGGGGGAGGTGCATGAGGCGTTAAGCATAAAACAACCAAAGGCCTAAATCATTGGATCATTACCGGTATTTGCAATATGGGTGATGACCACTGTTGCGTTAAATGATTAACACAAATTTGCATTTTGATAAACCAAGGATGAGGTTGCATGCGCATCCCATAGACAAGCTGACCAGATGTGCATTATGGAATTATTGTCCTTGATTAGCTTCCAAATTGCGTTTATACTTACATGTATAGCGCTGCCAGTTTTTTTTTTGCAAGTGCTGTGACTGGACATTGCTAGTGCCATATGGGCGGACTTTACCACATACTGAGAGCATAATGACCACACCGAAACCATACTAGCACAAATAAGACATTGCATGGTTTGAGTTTGCCCCATAGAGTGCACGCTCCAATAGCAAAAGGCTTTCACGTACCGTACCGTAGGAGAACCGGTACATGCATGACCCCTTCACAAGGATACGCATCGTCGTCTTTATTCATCTCTGTCCAAAAATGAAGTCACATCGTGCATAATTTGCATACCCGATTGGCATGAAAAAAGCAATACATACACATGTATACAGTATGCTCAACATAAATTTACTGGAATGCTCTTTCATATATTTGCCTGCCAAACGTTCATCTGGTCAAGAAGTGTTACCGGTACCGGTATTTTCAGGCATTTCACCGGCTTTGTGACAAAAGTTTTCTAAGTTAAGGTTAACTAATTACATGTACCGGTAGTACACAAATTTGTAGACGGAATTTCATCGTGGAAGGCAAATTGTACTTGGACATGTTGGATGTATTTTTATGTACGCGTGGATATTGTAGACCACAAACATGTAAGTTTCTTCTTGTTGATGGAGATTATAAACACTGGTTTTTTTTTTAGGAAGAACGGAGACGTTTTTAATCTAAAAAGGGACGTAGTAGATTTTACTAAGTACGTGTATGTATGTGTACACAGGTAAATCATTACAGCCTGAACATAAGGTTTTTTTATTTGATGTGGTGAATGAAAGTAAAGGGGAAAAAATGGTGCTTATCCCTTTTATACAACATGTACAAACTGATGCAAGAATATGTGTGAAGCAATTGGCAGTATAAAAAAGTTAAGTAACTTTTATGATTCCCAACTTTCAGACCCGTACTTGTTATTTTTTTTGGTTTCGTTTGCTTGTTTGCTTTACTTTTTTGGGGGTTAATTTTCGTTCTGCCTGTCTTTGTGAATTGCACATTAGAGTTTGGGTGTGTGGTTCAGAAACTAAAGCGATTGGCTACATGCAATATTAGCAAATGTTAGCTATTTTATTCAAAACAGCCGCTTACATTTGTAATTTTTAAATACATTGTAGTCATCATAGTAAATCCCATTTTAGCCGTCACATATGTCATGTACATGGTTTGAGTAGATATATCAATACAGGCATTTCCCAATACAGTGGGTCACCCAGAGGTTGTTACGGAGAGCCTATTTTTGAAGTTAACGGTTGACAAAAGCATTGAACTACCCCATGTCGGCAGACAACGTGAGGATATTTGCCATAGATCATGTAGATTGGGGCATAGCATTCTGCCGCTTTACAAAAAACACCTTGATGAAAAGAAGAGAAAACTAGTCTCTGTTGTTAGTTCTGTTTCTATAGGCCTTACAAAAATGCACCTTTAATTTGACGTCATGTGATGACGTCATCGTGACATTGCTTCATTTTTACATCTACAGGTATAGCACCTCCTGCTTGTCTTGGTGTGTGCCAAGTATAACGGCAATCAGATTGATTTTATAGTACCCAAAGTGCCATGCATGATGAAAATGTGTACAAGTGCTGTGGGAAACGACTGAAAAAGAAGGGGAAAAAAAAGAGACAATTAGGCCCCCCCAAAAAAGTCTCCGGTTTCTGGTATGGAGCTTGCCCAAAAAGTGGTGCGGCGACGCGGCTTTTTTTTTTTTTTTACCTGTTTTTTTTTGCTTCAAATGTCGGCTGATGACTGCAAATGGTGCCAGACTAAACTTAGTGCAAATATATGGGAGTCCAGAGAGGCCACATAAAGCTTATTCTCGATCATATCCCCCATCTAAAAACACGTTAAAATTGTGCAGCAGCAGGATTCCAGTCAAACCAGTGAGTTTGGCAGTTTTGAGACATCATCTTTTATTGAAAAAAAACTTTTTCATTTTGCCGACACGCATGGCTACGGTGACGCGCGCACATACCAGAAACTGGAGACTTATTTTTTTTTGGCCTTATCAAAATACAAAGGCTGTTTCGGCAAGTTGCCCAAATAGCCAAAAATATACTCGAATCATATGCTTACAAAACTACTGACCGGACAAACAAACAGCTTTAAGTGTCCTGGGCTGTGGCACATTTGTCTTCCGTCTCCCACAATGCACTGCGACTGTGAAAAAGGACTGTCCGTGGCAACCTCTGGGTGGCACACTGTATTGGGAATCGCCGTATTGTAATAACCGAACAGACTTTTCTGTCAAACATTTGGCCACAGAATTTCAGCAGCAAAAAATCACTACCTGAACATTATGCTTTGCATCGCCAAATCTTTTACTTTTCTTTTGCTTTTGTGCGTTGCCCAAATTGACAGTGAAAATCACTTTTCACAATCTGTGTGAGCTTTTGCCACATCACCCTGTGTTTCATGAAATTATGATTCCAAGATGACATCCGATGACATCCGATGACATCCGATTGAAAAACCGAAACAAAAAAAACAAACAAAAAGATTAAAAAACTGATCAAGTTCAATGAAAATTTCATGGTGTTTGGTGTTCTGACATGTTTGCCTGAAGGGAACTCTGCCTACAAAATTTCTCCTTTTCTCCTTTGGAATCTTTTTATGTTTAGTATTTTTAACATTTGGTTTTTGAAAAACAAGTTGCATTATTGTGTTTGGCTAACCGTTTGCAAATTTTCTTTCCTCCCTTTTCCCTCTTTTTTTTCTCTTTCTTATGCCCCTCCCAATTACCCACCCCCTCCTCTGCCCACATAATGGCTTTATCCATCTTGAACTTTTCATCTGGGTGACCTCCTGTGTGTTTTGTGTGCCTCCATTTACAACACGTGTGCAGTGCTAAAAAGCACCATCACCACGGCGATAAATTAGCTCATTTGAACCATCTCCATGACAACACCGCTTTGAGAACCAACGAAGCTAGCGAGTGAGTTAATTCCATTTCGGTGCTAAACGTGAATGTACAGTACATGTAATGTGTGGTTTGTTTTTAGATGTTGGAGCGCCCTCTGTTGACAACATTCAGAATTGGCTGGCGAGAATGCAATTCTACATTGTACAGTGTATAGGGCTCGTTCAATGACGGCCATCTCTGTAGGAGAAATGCAACTGTGTATTTTACCAATCAAGCATGCATTGCGCAGTGTTGAAAATGTTCCAAACACGCGTGCTTATTGCTCGAAATGTGTTCGAAATACGACGCAGCCGATGCGCGTTATGCAAGTTGACGCTCAAAATGCTGATGCACTTGGATGGTCCGTAGGAAATGACGTCATTTGAACGAGACCTACATGTATTTGTGTGTGTGTGGTTTAATTAAACCCATCTTATTGATGCATGTGTCACATACCCGTACATGTACATCTAATGTATTTCAATCACAATACCGTAGGAACATTAAACAGCACTTGAATTCCCAGTTGGAACAAGCAGTGTTTTCCCAGTGTTATTAAAAACACGTAGACTTGCACGAAATAATGCCTCATGTAGGCTAAGAAAATGCTACAGCTCAACCGCCCATGCGGATGTGCCAATGACGGGGCCCCTCCACGGGTAGCAGGGCCGAGCGGGACCATACCGTGAAGTCGCTCAGCCGAAGCGATCAGACGTGATTTGCAGGTATGCAACATCCCCCCGGGGCTGACAAGCTTACCCCGGGGAGGGACCACCGTCCCCTTAACCTACTTGTTCATAAAACAGTTAAAAACAAAGATGGAGCCTTTGATGGCGTTCTGCGACAAGATACTAAGTTGGCTCTTACTAAGCTTAAGGCCACAGTACTTGAGTTTACTACTAAGTATCGCCCCTCGAGCACCGATCGGTATGCCCTCAACTGAGGTAGACGCTACTCCGAACCGGTTCTTAATGGCCGTAGAGATGGGGCCAGCCTTTTACCCCCTGTACTGCCCCTTACCAAACTAGACTGCTATATTAGCATGTGCATAGCAGTTCAATAGCATTTAAACAGCATGTGCATGCTATTATAGCATCCACATAGCATTCACAGAAGATGATGACTTGATGACTGCTAACTTTAGCAGTCCATATAACATTCTCAATAGCATGCAGAATGAAAATAGCATTCCAAATAGCATGCGAGCTTCAAAGCATTCTGCAAAGCATGCAAGTGAAAGAGGGAGGACTGCAAATTGAGTATAGCATTCCAATTTAGCAGTCGGTTGTAAAATAATTTTAAAGTATAGCATTCCTTGGCTAAGCATAGCCTGCACAATAGCATTTCAATAGCGCCCCAAACTGCCCAAGAACTCAGTATCTATCAGTGTTCTCCAACCTGTAAAAATAACCTGGTGCCCTGCCAAGCTTTCTGAGGCACCCGCCATAAAGCTTCAAAAGCTGCCGTCAAGCTTTCAAAATTGCCTGCCATGCTTTAAAAAAGGACAAAATAATAAAAAAGACAAACAAGTGGGACCACCCTGACCTGGTATATTTTGGCCAGAAACTCTGCCAAAAGCAGTAACATGCAACACTTGTCAAACTGACAAGCCTGCCCATTGTAGCAATCAATCAGGTCAAAAGTCTTAAGGCCAAACTGCCTCAGAGTCCCTGGTCACTGATGTGTTAAAAAAGATGATGCTGAGCCAGTATTTTACTTAACTGTTAGTGTTACTGTGTGAGAAATGGCCTAAAAGCTGTTATCCGTGTTCATCTGCGAATAGCGCTCCCTAGCATAAAGAAATGTATGACTGCAAATAGCGCCCCAACATAATTATAGCGCACCCCTCCTCCGCCTTTTGACGGCGCATCGACCTTTTATTTTCGAAGTTTGAGAACACTCATCTATGCACTCTGCGTTGCAAGCATTCACCAGATGGCGCTCCAACTGTTTATATTGTTTGTGCAAACTAGTGCCTTAAGTTGTAGCCTTCATGTCTAACGTGTCATAGCCACATGCATCTCACATTTTCTCAGTGTTACTTTCAGATTCTTACAACAAATATCACCAGAAGTTAGGCGGGCAATTCCAGCATTACATGTAAAGGGCCTGTCACATTATATACGATCTCATAGGAGACCCTATACGATCTCATAGGAGACCCTACGGCGACCAAAAATATTTTATAAATTTAACAATCGCAGCGAGGACGCAAGAAAATGACAACTTTCTGTCTCAAAGAAGCTCAAGCTACATGTACGCTCATACTGTGCTCTTCCCACGCTTACGATGCGTTCAACTCGCTCTCTATGCGCCCCTGTCAAGCTCAATTACTCGATCTAGTCGCTGCGGCTGTGCTGTCACTGCGCTCACACTACGCTCTGCTTGCTGTTGATACGTCCTAGTAGCTCGCGTCACGCTCTCTATTCGACCAAAATACGCTCATGTGACGTCACTTGCGCTGCATAAATACCACGACAAAACGGTCAATGCACAGTCCAGTTTCAAAATTATTCTACAAGTTCATCGCAGTCGAGTTACTTTCTCATGGAGACTACATTGGCTGTCTTGCGCCTAGGCTGCTTCAATGCCACTTCAATGTCGCACGATTCACGCTCGCACAGCGCCCGAGTTGCGTCGTTACGGCGCCCTGGCCAGAGCGCAGAGGTGTTGCGATTGTTTTGAGCATGTTCAAAGACCTTGGCGCTCATCGGAGACCATTAAGACCCTCTGGCGCCCATCTGGCGACCTATGTAGTTGTCGCTGCGATCTAGTAGTTGTTTTTGCGCCCCAGCTATTTTTCAAGGACGCAGTGAGAGCGCATATAAGATCACAGACAGTGTGACAGGGCCTTAAATGTCTACGACAGAGCTAAATAAAGAGCTCAGTGAACAAACCTAAAAATGTATATTTCTGTCTTTAATACATGATCACATCCATCATCACACCTCGCTGCATAAATAAACTCTTGTTATGCTACTCAGAATTTGTGCATGTTGCGGCACTTCTTTTCATTATCTATTTGGTTAATAGCAAATAATTTTCCAGACCTAATCTTAACCATATAATTCTTGTAACATCCAAACATTTGCTGGCTGTTACTCAAAATACAGCCCCCAAACTTACCCACCAGTGTACATGTATGGTTTTGTGATTTATTAGGGACCGTTCTCACTCCTGCAAATTCCAACACCATAATGGTAAACTCTTCACCCAAACTGTTGGACTCTGATTATGGTGGTACATGTATGCTTAACCCCTTGTAAAGCACCAGTTTACTAGTGCAGTACTCAACCCAACAGATTCCAACAAACCCTGGTATTGGAGTTTGACTGGATGGGGATTGTTAGGGTTAAAATCAAGAAGTAAATATAATAATGCAAGTATGCAAGTGCCTTGGAAATCAACTTTTGATTTTCCTTAATAATTATTTTTTTGCTTTGTAGAGGCACACCTTAAATTTCTAGTTTAACTTACAAATGTATACTTTTTGCATGCTTATCCTGTTTGCATGTTGCAGTAGCATGTTGTTTACTTGAAATCGTTTTACTTTGTCTTTTTGGTCTGTTTCAGTAACTGCCACTTTTTGGGTCATGAGTAACTGTCACTTTTTTGGTCATGATTTTCTGTTCAGGTGATGATACAATGTTGTACTTTCCTCACGGCCTGAATGGGAAACTTTTGCAAAGCTGCAGAAACCTTGAGAAACATATTTTTTAAACATGTGAAACTACACATGGTCCTTTATAAAAAACAACACTACTGGTTCACCTTCCCCACCCTCACTTGTTTCTTTTCCTGAGAAATGCAGATCTGTGCATGTACACATCCACGAAATTGGTACAGAAATAATTGTTTGTACAGTTTGATTTTATTTTTAATTTGTTCATCAAGTCACTGCACAACCTGCTTGTACAACACATCTGTCTTAACCCTCAACTCCCTATAATTGACTGTTACTAAGTTAGAAACCATGTCCGTCAAAATCCATCACTCACTCTGCTTCCAATACGTAATGAAATCCACCAATGAAGTGCTGGTGAATATGTACATGTGTAACAGTACACAACACCAGTACAGGATGCTAGGCAAAATCAATCAGATTCCACTAGCACTGCTTCAGGCCTCCAGGCCCAAGTCCATCGAACTCCATAGAAATTAAGTCAAACTAGGCCAGCAGGATCAAGTCTCCCAATCTCCACCGGAATGGGAAAGGGGGAGGGGTGGATTTTGATGGAGTTTGGAAGGTTACAGTTAAAAAAAATGTCCTTTGCATGTATAAATTTGCCAGGGACCCTCCCTCTACAATGCTCTAGGACAGATCCAGAGGGGGAGGGGTGGTTGTGGGGGCTAACCACCCCTTGCAACTGACCATGTTAAGTTTTTACAGATTTATCCATTTTTTAAGTTCCATAATGTCATGACTCATTATTGTAAATTTGAGTCCTTGTTTCAGGTCTTTGCAACTATTATCAGACTCATGGGCATCGCCCATGTTTGATCTGCTGACTCTGGACTTGTTGGAGAATGTAGCCACACTATCCAGCTCTCTGTCCATGTAAAATATGAGCCTCTATGACCAAGTACTGATAATAATAATAGCATCTTCATTCATTGTTATTCGCATATGGGGTTGTCACTGAAATGACAAGTAAAGCAAGACAACAAATAAAGAAAATCATTGTTGCTCAAAGGCGTTCACTCAGCCCCAGCTGATGAGCATATTGTAGCCTGGGTTGCTGTTTGCACATCATGTAGTACGTTTGAGGGCATAGTGTACATGTATGGCTACTGTTGTTCGGGGCAAACCATCGCTTATCGGACTCTATGTTCAAACACCTTGACCATGGCTACTGATAGGGCAACATGGTGAATGGCCAGTCCAGGTTTGATTTTTGACCCAGCTCAAGACATGCTGGCCTTTTTCTCTGCTTTTTGTGTTCAGGACTAGGTCCCGGACCATGGATTACGATTCCTGTCCACTGCCGCAGGAGGACGAAGCCTCCCTTACAGACTCGCTGAAAAACGACTTAGACAGTGGAGATGATGCATCAGCTGTCTTTGATCTGGAATTCCAACGAGTGTCCATCAGTGGAGACGACAAAAGTGGGGTGAGATACGTAGTGATATAGACAGGGCGATGCAATAGTTTTCTTAGGGTACGGACTTTGTGCGTGAGCTTTGAGGGCACTTTTAGCCTAGCAGGGAGGTTGAAATAGTTTCAATGGTAGAAATGGTCTCGATATCTCATTCATCAGATCTATATTAACTCTAACCTTCCCAAATCCTCCAAAATCCTCTTTGCAAAATGGGGGATTTTGCAGGATTGAGGCTATATGTCAAAAATGGTTAGCTGATTTTGTAGGATGCACTGTGTCAAGATCTTAGGCCGGACCTTGTGTTGTTTGTGCTCAGCCATGCATAAATTTAGGCCATGATTATACTTGAGATCCTCCGCTGCGCTGCTCCAGGATGTCACTGGCTCTGCCTCAAAATATTGACACTGATTTCTGGAGGATTTTGCAGGAATGAGACAGTGGTCACCCCTTCAAGGACCACAATCAAGGAGGATTTAGGCTGTGTGCAATTTTTACATGGAGGCAGTTGCAGGATTTTGCAGGATTGAGGTTGCTAAAACAGCCTAAAGGCGTGGCCTTTCCAAAATTCTAATGTGAAGAAATTTCCAATTGTATATGAGCCTAACCCTCAGTTTCACCCTTTCTTTCCCCTCTATTCCCTGACTTTAGGTGCCACCCCAGGACCTCTACGATGCCTCTAGGTCCCTGATTGATGCCCTTGTGGTCCGGGAGAAGTACATGAAGATGGCATTGCAGTCCTTCCCACGCAAGGCCGCGTCATACTTGCGTAAGATTGACGGAAAGCCCATGGACAACGGGGACTCCATCAGCCCAGTGCATGATGCGCAGAGTATGTATTTATTTTTACATCCCGCATTCAGTTTCATTTGTCTAGTTTCATCACACCCCATGTACCGGTAGTTCTTGAGTACAGTGGAACGCCGCTATACCGAACACCGCTATACCGAACATTTGGCTATACCTAACATCATCCTTGGCTCCCGGTTTTAATGTACAAAACGTACCAAACGTTGTTGTTGAAAAAAGTCAACAGATTAACAAACAAAAATAGTTACATCGTGTTTGAATGTTGAAGAGTGATAGATGGCTATAACTTCCTTAAGGAATAGAAGGGAAAACCACCCGTTGCTAAAGTTTCGTGATGACTCCTCGTGCTGCCGAGGGATGTGGAAATGCCACTTCACTATTGGTAAAAAGAGGGTACCGGCGGTTCAAAATCGCTATACCATGTATACCGAACGATCGTTATTACGAACACTTTCTGTGGATCCAACGATGTTCATTATAGCGGCATTCCACTGTATCAGCAATAAGCTTTTTTTTCCCACTATTTCAACTGCACGTGATGATGTGAGCACATCAGCTTCCATGAAGCAAGGTACCAATGAAATAAAAAAAAGTTCTTGTTTTGAGGTTAAAGCATGGGTTAACATGTTTTGTATGCTCCAATATTTGTACAAACAAAAGTTTGCATCTTCTTTTTCATAAAATGAAAAATTGCAGAATGCGGATTCAGTTACCATGTCCCCGTAGACTTGTGTGCATTCATCTGCTTAGTTTATCTCCCGAAAGTAAATCGTTAAACCTGATTTGAACAGGGGCACTTAAAATGGAAAAAAGGATTATACTGCAAGATTTATGTGCTTACCTGTATCTTGTTCCCAATTTGCACATGCACCTGCATGTTGACGCTGGATCAAGCTTGTTCCAGGTGGGACAACATTGAGAGCTTGTTGCTTGTTCTGATCAGGAATGCACTCTGCTCTAAATTGGGCTGTGAAATGAACAAGAACAAACATGCCAAGGTTAATCTTCAAGTGAAGGTTTTTGGCTGCATGTTGAATTGTAAACATGTTCTTGTATGTACATTGCAATTTAGTACATTAACCATATCCCCCTTGGCCCTTTTTGCTAGAAAACATTCTCAATCCTCCAAAATTCTCCAAAAAATTTTACACTTCAAATGAAGGATACCCAGCGCCTCAATCCTTTAAAATCATCAGACAGTCCTGCCTCAAAAATGCATTCATCCTCAATCCTCCAAACTCCTCATGTGCTTCAACACCATTCACCCTCAATCCTCCAAAATCCTTCTAGTGGAAGGACTCTCTCAAGTGACAAATGGTATTATTGAGAAAATGTTGGTCACTGCCAGGGGGCGGTTGCCCCTTCCGCACCTCTGGATATCCGCCACTGACTACATTGTATACATTACATTTGTAGTCAGTATACATTTGTATACATTACATTTGTATATGACAAACATACAATGTGCTGTACTTGTTTCTCATATAAATTGTTACCCTTAAACAGGTGCATCCACAGCAGAGGCTGATGAAAAGGCTGGAAGTATGTACATTGACAGTGTGTCGTGTCATTGATTGACTGATTGATTGATTCCATGACTGACTAACTGAATCATTTTTTGATTGATTTGAATAAAGTCCCTGACTAATCTTAACTTTATAACGAAATGATGTAAACGCTCACATTGTTTGCCGCACTGTTCAACAATGAAGTGAATATACAATCTCATTTGTCAAGTACACTGTATAAAGCTGCTGCTCCCTGTGTTGTGGTGCTTGTTTTTAACCAAATTAAAAACATCTTGTTGAAGAAGATGATGATTTCTAGCACAAGTGTTTCCGTCACATTTTAACTGAAACTGTTGCACCTGCACATTTTACACAAGGTGTGTTGGCATTTTTGCTCACAAACTATCTACATGTAAAAGTCTGTCTTCCATCTGTCCATCTATTCATTCTAAATAGTGCAGGTTGGTTAATGCACTTGTTTCATCAAACATGGTACAGGGGAACGCTGGTATAACCAACATCGCGGGATCCACAGAAATTGTCCGTAATAGCGATCGTTCGGTATAGCAATTTTAAGCTGCCGGTGCTCCGGTACTCACTTTTCAATAAATAGCACCCTTCAGAACTTCACCAGCCCACACCCTGGTAGTTACTGAAAGATGGTAGTTACCGAAAGACGACTTTGAACACGTGCGGACTATTGAATTATGTTATCACACAGTTTTTGATCGTACTATCTACAGCAATGGTTGGCTTTCAGCTTCTATTCCTTAATAATAGCCACTTGTCGATCTTCTGTTGACTTTTTTCAACAACACTGTTCGGTACATTTTGTACATAAAAATCGGTAGCCAAGGACGATGTTCGGTATAACCAAATGTTCGGTGTAGCCGAATGTTCGGTATAGCGGTGTTCGATATAGCGACGTTCCACTGTACCGTACTATGAGTTTCTTATCAGTTGTTGCCCTTATTAACAGGTGCATCCACTGCAGAGGCTGATGATGAGGGAGATGACAGTATGTATATTGATTGATTAGTTTGTCACCCATTGAATGAGTGATTTTCCGATTGATCAATTGAGTCAAGCCAGTGAGTGATTATGATGTGACTGCAAAAAGCTTGATGACTGACTTGACTCTGTACAAATTGACAGAAAAGAGATTTAGATGGTTTGAATTACTTGGATGAGCAGGGTCAGTTTGCCAGTGAGCAGGAAGGTTGTCTGGCCAGTTAGAAGGTTGACCTACTGGTAGATCTATACACTGGCAGGGTTGAAATCTACCTTGTCATGTAGATGGCGTCCTGGCTTGTAGGCTGACTTGCTGGTTGGCTAGTTGGAAAAACTGGCTTCCTGGCAGCAAAGGCATTTTTGCAAGCTACAAGTAGAATGTGGCCTGGGTTTGTGAGGCTGGCTTAGCTTGATGCACGCATATTGGCTGACATGCCACCAGGCAGATGGGCACAGTCTTTGAAGACCTTCTAGATGTTCGAGAATTGGCAAGCAGATTTGGTCAGTTGGAAATCGGCTTGCTCTGTGGAAAGCGGACTGGCTTCTTACCAGGCAGCCTGGCTGACTAGTTGAAGGTTACCTTGCGGTTCACAAAGATCGCTTAGTGTCTTGTCGAAAAAAAACTAGGAGCCTGGCAAAATGGATGGCTGACTCTCAGTCAGGCGAGCTTGCTAGTCTCCTGCCTGCCTTGTCAGGTGGAAGGCGGGCTTGCAGTCTTGCTGGCAGGCAAGCAAGCAATTGGAGAGGTGGTACACTTGGATGCTCAGTGTGAAGAGGAGCATGAACAGCTGTTGCAATTTGGAAGCTAGTTGTGTGGCTGCTGCCTTCCTGGTCAGACGTCCTAGCTTGCATGCTGGCTTGCTGGCTGGCACGCTTTGATAGCTGACTGTCCGACGGAGAGGCTATCTTGCTGGCAGGCCAACAGGTGATCTGATCAAAGACTGGTTTTGTTATGCTTTGTAAAATATGGTTTCCCCCTGTTTTGCCTGAACTTCTGATGGACTCAACCACAACACTGGCATCGGGAGGCTGACTTGCTGCTGAGGTGAAAGACTATGTACAAGGTTGTGTCAGATGTGTCCTTTGCTAGCCCGGGGGCAGCCTTGCCTTCTGGCCTGCTGCTTCCAATTGACTTTCAAGTGGCACTGCTGTGTGGTCCAATTTGCAGAGGGGGAGGGAACTTGGGGTGGGTGGAGGGAACAAGTGGGAGGGGCACAGCCCTTGAGCTGTCGCACTGGATCCCCGACTGGCCGACAAGCTGGCTTGAAAAATACGCAAAGCTCAAAAAGCTGGTGGCCTGCTGTCTGTTAAATGACTGACATAACTGCCTGATGACTGAATTACAGCGACTTGTTTGCGGTGAAATGTATCATACTAATTTGCTTTACGAAAGATTGAGGTGTAGATTTGTATGCACAGTTTTTCTCCATCACATCAACAATGCTTCATTAATTGTATATGTACATGTATTATCTGTACTACATGCATTGTATTACATTGTATTACATTGTATTTATTACCTGGCAAACTCATGAAATCATACATGTAGAGTGCACGGATGGTGTTGGGCAGCTAGTACCCGGAGTGCTAGGCAAGGTTGATGTTGATGGTACATTTGTACAAGTATTAATCGGTTTAAAGAAATAACCAAATTTGTCATTTTGTCTAGATTTGGACAGTTTGATGTGTTCACTAAGGGAAATGTTTCCTGAACTTGGTCTGCATTTTTGTTTTCACTGAAATATGGTGTGTTTTTACCCACTTCCATATTTTACACAAAGTGTGTCTATCACATGACATGCCAAAAATGAAAGTGAGTGAGAATCTTTGCTGTGACTTTGCTGTGGAAGTTTTACACTTTTGTAATCTTCAAGGATGACTGTGTGTGTGCTAAGTATTTTGACTCTGTGTATAACTGCACCTTTGACTCTTTTTCAGTAGAAATATTTTTTTTCACGAGTCTGTGCAAACAAATCACGTTTTAAGTTGGTCAATTTTTTTCAAATCACATTTTCGCGTACATGTACATTTCTCCCCCAGAATTGAAAAATATTTAACTTACGCAATACCCTAGTAGTTAACATGTCCCCCCCCCCAAAAAAAATCTGTTTTAATTAGGAGACATTATCCTAAAGATATTCGTAGCTTCATCAAAACAGAAATTCTAGATCTTCACAAACATGTGGCATACCGTACATGTATGTTTGTACACAGTGCACGTGTGTATAAAATGTATACATTTTAGAACAGATTCGTCACTTCGTCAAAACGCAAATCGTGGAGGCTACATCAATCTCAATATAGGACACATGTAAAATCAACGAGACTAAGTGAGAATAGAGACACATTACTTCGTCAAAATGAAAAATTGAGTGTGTTGTACATTTTTTAAATACTCTGTGTACTTAGTATATTTAACAAACAACATGGATTTTGTGCCTCGGAATGTGGTAATTATGTAGAGGACAATCATAAAATAAATATCCAAAAAAATATATCAATATCCAAGCATGTCAGATTACTTAAAATCTGGGTTTTGGATGGATTCATCAGTTCGTCAAAACGATGAAGATATGCTCCAGCTAACCAGTTTGTGCAAATTGCAAGCTTTCACTAGCTCTTATGAATAAAGCTCAATAGGCACTAACATGTATGTGATGTACATGTAAATGTACTCTACAAAGCAAGTAGTACTGTGCGACAAGTAAAATATAGTTGCTACTACCCGACTTGTCGCAACTATTTGCCATATAGTTGGATCACTACACTGATACAGCATTATCTATGTATGCTTTGGACAATGTCACACCCAGTCAGTTTCTAGTGTTGGTGGAGTTATATTTAAGTTGTAACGAAGCATCAATGGGTCACGGCACCACGAGTAGTCATGACACAACTAATCCTGGTGCTACGACTAGTCGACTATAAAAAAAGTTGAGGTTGCTACTACATGTACAAATAAAAGTCACCAGTGACGACTAGTCACAATATTCGCACAGTGCCACGAGCAAGATGGTTCGAACATGCCAATAGAAAAAAGGGTATTCTCATGCAAGTACATGTACAAGCACATGAACTATACCAAGGAAGACTGTACCACTAAGACTCAATCTCCACCCTCCCCTTTCTTAGACCACCCTATCCATCCGCCAACCATGGTGGGTGACCCTTTTGCCTGCGAGCTGCCAGATCCCATCCAGTGCGAGTTTCAAATGAAGGGTGGCATCATACAAGTCTACGAGAATCAAGAAGACGTGGAGAAGAGCAAGCCGATTGACCTGCCTTATGTGGACAAGACAACGTTCCTGGCTGACTCCAACAAGCTGATGGCACTCATTGCAAATGGCCCGATGTAAGTTCATGCATGTCCTGCAGCTACATTTACAACCACTTTATATTTGCTGGTTGTAGAAGGCCAGGCAGTGTACATATCTCACTGTCTGACTTACTGACCTCCATGGGCTCTGTGCACAAGTACCCCAGCAACAGCCAGAAAAGGAGAGTTGGAGGTGACCTAGACTGGTTCCCGGTCCATCCACTGCATATTTCGAATGATTAAAGTTATTGGGGGCAGGGATTAGTCTCGGAGACCATCACAAGTTCAATTCAAACGTATTCGCGCGCTGATGACTGAAGACGCTCCGGCTTCTCTTTATGCATATTCAGGATAACTAAGTCATGCGTACTTCGCGCGTGAACCAATCCCATACGCACACGTGGTGTCCTGTCCAAATGGCTCTAAAAGTGGTAAATACGTGCCCTCTTTTGTAGGCGCACAGATCCCATAACGCCTTTGAATTGGCTAAATCTTGCCCATTATTTAGACAAGAGGCATGAAAAGACTTCAAATTGAATAGTCATTCCGAATCAAGTGAATAAAATTTCGCAAGCTCTGGGACCAGCTTTACTGGGCTTGCCATGTTTTATTTTCTTACCTATGGGCTCTGTGCGCCAACAAAAGAGGGCGCGTTTTTATTACTTTTGAAAGCCTCTTGGACGGGACACCACGTGTGCGTACTGTACTGGTTCCTGCGCGAAGTTCGCACGACGTATTTATACGGAATGTGCACAATGCTAAGCAATAGCGTCTTCGTGCATGAGCGTCAGGCGTCGTCTGTGCACGAATACATTGGAATATAACTTGCGATGGTCTCCCAGACTAATCCAAGCCCCAAATAACTTTGGATTATTCGTAATACCCAGTGGTTGGACCGGGAACTAGTCTAGGTCTACCCCAACTCTCCTTTTCTGGCCGTTGAAGGGGTACTTGTGCACGGAGCCCATAGTGTTCCCTGCAGTCATTTCGTGGAACTGTACCACATGTAACCGTTGCCATATTATGTTTATTGCGCAACCCATAATAACACATTTCGGGAAGTATGGGCTCTACTAAAGTCCGCAACTTAAGTGTACATGTACATGTACCGGTAACTTGCAGTCTTTTTAGGTGTCAGTAGATATTACTGCCTATTAATTTATCAAGACTTTTTTTTGATGAAATGATGATCTGGGGAATTCTGTACAACTAGAAAAGCCCATGTGGTACTGAAAGGGTTAATACTACAAATTATGGTGTCGCAAAAACCCGATTCGATAATGTTGTTTCTATACTGCCCTCTGGTGGATATGAAATTCCATGGGATACGATCGCGCATGCGCAAAACCAGTAATGAACGCACTGACGCAGACCAGACGTCTGTGAACAAAATAGGGCACAGAAGTGCCAGGAATTCAACGGTTTTTCGCTGTAAAACTGAGAAAATCCCTACGAACCCATGGTGAAGGGTGATACATGTAGATAAAAGTGCAGCCAATGGGCACAAAACAAGACACCACAAAAACTGGAAAAGACAATGTCGTTCCCAGGGCGAGCACGGGAAATGTGGCCAAAAAGAATATAGTCGTGTTCCCTAACGTGGCGCACTTCGAAGCTTACCCAACTTTCCTCGTGTAGTGTTGCCAAACCTCTTTGTTGATAAACCTCAAATTCATGCAGTGAAATACTGGTACTTTTACCTTTTTTAATGCTTGCTATTTAACCTCTGTGAACAATTTCGGTTTCATAAAATTTAATCCGAAATGCAAAAACGGTCGCGTCCGGAAATTGGGCACAAATTGGCGGAGTGTTCCCTAAACGTGGCGCACTTGAATAAATCTCAGAAAATTCCAAATTAACATTTAAGAATTTCTGTAAACTTGATAAATTCTGATAAATCATTATTATCTTTACTTACAAACCCAGCCAGATGTTTGTCAGAAAATTATTTCCTTATTTTTCGGGGCATTTTCAAAGGGTTCACTTTGCACTTGAAAATAAAATCGGAAAATCACGCCAAAATAATTTTTTCTTTTAATTTTGTAACTGGTAAATAAACTCGCGATTTATGAACGGGAGTGTTTAGAACTTGATGAAATTTCACTTTCTGTGAAATTTCAGTTAAAACTTTTGCTCTAGCTAGGCGCTACAGGCGAAAAATTAAAGTGCGCCACGTTAGGGGCCGCGCCACGTTAGGGTACATCAACAATACACATCTAACTACTTGTCTGTCAATTGTTTTCATCATCAGAAAATCGTTTTCGTACCGGCGGCTGTCATACCTATCCTCCCGGTTCCACCTGCACAGTCTGCTGAATGAGATGAAGGAATTGGCTGCTCAGAAATCTGTGCCTCACCGAGACTTCTACAACATCCGAAAGGTATGTAAGACTTTTCATAAGATTGCATTTTTTGCGTCGGGTGATGTAAATCAAATTAGGTTTTGCCCTTCACTGACGTATAAACACTGTATACTCAGCGTGTGACCTCCCGAGTGCAAGTTGGAAAAAATCACTCGGGTGGGACTCGAACCCACGACATCCTGCTTTCTAGTGCAGATGTCTTACCACTCGACCACTGAGCTAACGGGATTGGTTAGCTGGTTCGAATCTGATGTACATAGCAGCGGGTATCGCAGTAACTATTCACAAGATTGAATTTTTTGCGTCGGGTGATGAAAATCAAATTACGTTTTGCCCATGTAAGACTTGGGAGTTTGCATGGTGGAAAGTCATTCGATGTGAGGTTTGCGGGAGCACCATGTTGTCAAATCTCTCGTGTGAATTTGTGGGCGTATTCAAAACCCTGTGCACGAGTGACTCGCGAACAGTGTTTTCGGGTTGCTGATTACAAAGGCCCAAGTGCGTGTGGGGTGCAGCTTGCCAAAATTCAAGATGGCAGCTGCCGTATAAAACTCTGAATTAAATGAAAGGAAAATAACCTTACGAAAGTAATTTAAACCCCAAAACAGCTATACAAATTGGCAATGACAAGCTCACTCTATGATAACGTACAATTTTTTATCGTTTAAACTACTCCTGCATTGGATGAGTGCTTTCAAGTTTATCCACAAGATTAAGTTGTGGTAGGGGCCAACCACAACTTTGTTCTTGATGTTCTTCATCTTCTCCCCAATAAATGGGGAGTGAAAATCCCGTTCGCAAACACTGGTGGCATGTTCGCTCGTCATTCGAAGCCTCATTCTCGTGTTCATTCAACACGAGCACGAGGTTTCGAATGCGCCCAAGGGACTCTGAAAATTGTTTCGGCAACTCAACGTTTCAAACAGTATGTGCACAAAGATCCCCTCAACGTTTACAAAGAGAGAGTTAAGGGAAACCACTGAAAGGAACATTCAAACGGGAGACCGATAGAAGGGACATTGTAATGCATTACTTCATCAACTGAAAATAACGTGAGGACGCAACTAGTTTGTGCACGTTCAGAATAAAATAAGCTGTGCGTACTTCGCGCTACAGATATCCGCATGTATTGATATTCTGCTGACCTCTGATGATAAGGGATGAACTTCCTATATCTCTACTTGCACAAATAGCCAGCGCATTCCGCATGTTAATTTACAAAATACGGGTTGACCACTTGTGCAATTTTTCCCAACGTTCGCTGTCCTTTTGTGCACTTACGGGAAATCATTTGCAAATGTGGGCCATGTTTGCATAAAGGGAACGTACACACCTCTCAGTATAAACACTATGAAACAGTTACAATATGAAAATTGTTATCATTACATGTTTTTTTCTTTCGCTAGGTGGATACCCACATCCACTGCTCATCTGGAATGAACCAAAAGCATCTTCTCCGCTTCATCAAGAAAAAGATGAAAACCGAAGTAGACAGGCCTGTCTGCAAGAATAAAGACGGTTCCACACTGACACTAAAACAGGTCAGAAAAATTATCTGCATGTAGTTGCCAACTTTAACCCTAACCCCCTAGGCTCTTGCACTAGAAAGTATACCAAACCTAACAAATTTCAACAGCTGCATACAGGTCTGTAAGTAGTGGTACCAAAACTGCCAAACTCCAACAGGCCTTGTACGGGGAACAGTACTAAACCTGCCAAACTCCAACTGTTGGAGTTTGATTGACCTGGTATGGATAGGCCTATGCATTGTCGAGTGATTGGATAGGGATGGTACCAAACCTAACAAAATAAAGCAATATGTACATGCACATTTGACCACAAACTGTGCTGAGGACCGTGGGTGAGCATACCCACGAAGAAATGCCAGTGAACTCCCTCAAACTCCAACGTGTTCACAAATCTCATGCCCTTCTGCCCCGAACCTCACAAAATTCAACAGGGTCTCACTGGGCCTTTGGTACCCAGTCAATCAAAGTCCAACACCAGCTGGCCAGTGTTCGGTACCAACCCTGCCAAAATCAAGCAAAACCCGCTGTTGGAGCTTGATGGGCTCAGGGTTGTTAGGGTTAAAGGTAGAGTACATCATGTGTGCCTTTTATTCGTTTGAAGCAACAAAAGTGCTCGAAATCTAAAGAAGGGTGCTGAAGAACTAACCTAATGAAGTTTTAGTCCAGTGAATGCCGCATATTTTGAGGAAAACAATATTCTAGGATCTCAATTTCAATTCAATAGTTGCCGAGTCATGTTTGAATTACGCCCGAAATCAGCGTCTGGAACACGCTCTCATACAGCTGATGACAGCTGTACGATGTCACGCACTGAACCGACGAATTGTAACAACTGCGCGCATGTGTGCATCTTATCAATGCTTGCGGCACCAGTTGCCGAATTAACAAGTTATTACTAATGGAAATTTCCAAAAATACGCATTGTTGGAAATGACCTTGTTTTATTGTTTTCTTCAAAATGACAGCATGCCAGAAAAAATAATTTCACAGGGAGTTTTCCATTACTATCTTTAAACCAAGTAAGCTTTTCAACAATAATGTTGTCAGTTATTTTTCGGATAGCTGCAAAAGATGGACTCTACCTGTTTCAATCATTACATGAAAATGAATTTCTACAATGGTCTGGTACCCTAGCCCCAACTTGTCATTGTTGACATGGTATACAGCAACTCAAGTCAAAGTTCCATAATGATACAAAACAGAGAAACAGTCTCTCCTCCTCATATGAAACACTTCAAGAATGGTTCAAGTTCAACAATGGCCTAACAAGTACGTGACTTGACTTGTGTCAGACATAACCTCCTGAACACTACCTCTTTTCAACGGGCAAACACTCCTGAAACCTTTTAAACTCCCTGGGAAGCATGCCCGGCCGGCCGGCAGCCATTTCGGCACTCTTGGCCGTATTTAACCTCTCACAATAACCAACCCTGCCCTCACAGGTACCCATCTACTCCAGGGTGGAGAGAAGCAATGAGTGACAAAGTGCCTTGCTCAAGGGCACACGCACCATAACCCCGGGCAGGTCCCAAACCCACAACCTGCAGAATTACCCACAGACCACAAATTCAATGCTCCAGAGTCCAGACCAGAGCAATTCAGTGCTCCAGACCTCTGGGCCACGGCACTCTGTTCAGGGTCGAGTTACATGTACAAATTTAACCCCCTATAGATACAAACATACATTCTGTGCAAGGTTGTCCCTTGAGTCAAAATCAATTAAGTGACAGTTTTAAACTTTTTAAGAGCTCCAAGCCTACATAAAGCAGGATTGACTGGCTGTGACTGTTATGGTAAATTGATTCAGCTACATGTACATGTATATGCTTTGACTGTAGGTGATTCCTAAGCCAGCTGACTTGCCTACTTTTGTCTGCTGACTGAATTTGACTTGTCACAGTGCTTGCTCAAAATATGATCTTACTATTTGTGACTAGCCTGTGTAAAAGGCATGGCAGAGGAAGAGGATTGCTTTTTTGACTGTCTGACTTTTCACACAGCATGTAGGTTACAGAAGAAACTCATTGTAATATTTTTTTTTACTTATTTGCAATTTTGTCATGTTGTAATTTTTTTGTAGGTGTTTGATAGCCTGAACTTGACAGCCTATGACATTAATGTCGACACCCTGGATGTACATGCTGTAAGATATCACTATTTGTTTAATTAAATACTAATTTAAATAAAACTTCTCCGCCTCAACCAAAGTGACACCACCGCCCTGACTAGGAAACTCAGTCCCCAACAGAATCCACACAACAACCAACAATACAACCAACACAACAATACCAAAACCAGTAACGACCCAGGTTAACATAAGCTCCTAACCTTGTTACCAATTATTCTCACAGTGTACCTCACTGAGGTGCACTCACTTACCAAATCAACCACACTTTATCGCTCTTTATTACAAGTTCACAACTTTAATACAACAATTGAAATTCTACAATCACAAAGTATGCCACTTCTGACACCATTTGTGGCGAAACCGGGGGTTGGCAAAACCCAGGGGGAATGGTCTTATTTATCCCAGGACTCCAACTCACACCTATTACATGTATCTCACAAAAATATTTATTAGCCTAACAAAAGGGTGAATGGCTACCCAAACGAAAGGGGGGACAATTAACGAACGGTGGACTAAGCCTAGGGGCTGTTCGTTTGGTGGAAATTTACCACCGTTTTGTAATTGAGTAATTAATTGAATACTAATTTAAATAAAACTTAATAAAAAAATTAAACTTGCTTCAAGTACTCTGTTGATAAAGAATTCTCATTGTTTCATCAGCCTTTTCTATTTTGGGTTGGATACATGTCTTGTAGAAGATGACATGGACTGAACTGCATTTATACTACAACCTTTACAGTAAAAGGCAAAAAATATTAATATCTACATGTATGGCCAAAATACCCATGCTATCTACATGTATGGCTAAAATACCCATGCTATCTACATGTTGGTCAAAATACCCATACATGCATTCCTTTGAAGTAATGATGCTGCAGGTTTGCGCTCTCAATGAATTGTGAAATTGCTCATGATTATACCATGTTTCATTCACGTGTAGATACACATATGAGAAAGACACTGGTGTGGGTGTGTCTGAAGTACTTGCTTACCGGTAGTACCGGTATGCAGGGCTACTGTTATTCCAAATCTGCCCAAAGCTGTGGCGTCTTTTTGTGAGCGTCTGATGCCATCAACAGCAGTGTGGTTTTTTTTTTTTTTGGTATTATTGGAAAGCCAATGATTTGTGCTTTAACATGATGTACATAATGTGAAAAGTAAAAGTTGGGGGGTTATTCCTTATTATGCTATGGCAGGTCACATATGCAGGGCCCCATTATATGCATGGCTGAAAATAAACAATGCTGGGTACAGGCTACGAACTTGACACAGTTCAATGCATCCTCCAAATCAACTGACACTTTTCGCCATTCAGCCTGAATCCTCCAAAATCCTCCAAAACCACCTGGAGGATATTTGAGGATTGAGAAGGGTTCTTGTTAAATCCTTCCTTGGCTCTCACGATTTGATCACACAGTCCCATGATCTACAGTTCCTGAATGCAGCCATACTGTTCATTAAATCTTCTTCTATAAACCATCAAAGATGAGAATACATATTGTCCTAAGTCATATCCCCTGTTCATTATGAGATACATTTGAATCAAGTCTCAGCAATCGCCTGGAACAACTCAAATACCGTCTTGACAGTCCACACGAACTTCAAGTTTATACAATTTGCCCAGGCATCTTGTAGCCAACTCAACTTATACCCCACAGAAGTGTGATGTCACGCAGGGTCGTCTCCCAGAGCAAAGTTTCCAAACAATTTCCTCTCTGTCATATTTGCTATACAAATAAACTGAATCACAACTCATCCAAAATAAATTAAGCATCAAAAAAGGGCCAGTGCTTCGTGGCAGACTGCAGACACCAATCTAGAGCAAAGTTTCCAAACAATTTCCTCTCTGTCATATTTGCTATACAAATAAACTGAATCACAACTCATCCAAAATAAATTAAGCATCAAAAAAGGGCCAGTGCTTCGTGGCAGACTGCAGACACCAATCTAGTTGTGACAAATTATGGCCATAAATTTGCATTTCCAACCAACCACAAGAGGCTTGAAAACAACCTATCCACATATTATGTACGGTACACGTATACACAGTAACAAGTGTTTGGACACATCACCCTTGGCAATGCACAGTGTATGACATTACCACTTCTGCACTGTATCATCCCAAAAAGTCGTATGAAATTCTTTACAACCAGCATCTTGATATCAGGAGCTTTGGAAGAGTAACTTTTGTAATTGCCTTGTGTGAATACTAAAGGTTTTCACAAGCTGATTCCTTAGTATTGCCTCTTTAATTCCTGTTGTGTTGTACATGCCATTTGTAGGATCGTAACACCTTTCATCGCTTTGACAAGTTCAACTCCAAGTACAACCCCATCGGGGAGAGTAAAGTCCGGGAGATCTTCATGAAGACTGACAATCACATCGAAGGTCTCTTCTTTGCACAGCTCGTCAAGGTAAGAACTGATTGATACAAAAACCCCTTTTGCCAGCACTTAACACTTCAAATCCTTTGTGTGATGGTAAAGCTTGGGGCAAGCAGGGAGGTTCGGTCACGCCCAATACTGGGCCCAATTTCATAGAGCTGCTTAAGCAGAAAATTTGCTTAAGCAGGAAAAAACATTGCTTAGTAAAATTAGGTTACCGGCCAAAACTCCATGTGATGTACATTGCTTGTGACTGGTATTTAGCTGTTGTTTACTTAGCATAACAATCGCATGGAGTTTTGGCCGGTAACCTGATTTGATTAAGCAAGACGTTTTTGTGCTTAAGCAAATTTTGTGCTTAAGCAAATTTTGTGCTTAAGCAGCTCTATGAAATTGGCCCCTGCTCTCCACATTGTGCAATGTGTTGAGCAGTAACTCTCTGTGAGACACTGTACACTTCATATCCCTTCACTGGCAACTGACATGCAGGAGTTTAAAGGTTTTACGTATTGCTCTGAACCAGTAGGAGTGTTCATTAACTTTAATAATATTCTCAACAACACTTGGCACACTAAATTTTCTTGTTTTATGTTGTTCGGGGAATGTGATTACTTGGATGTTTGGATTGATTTGTAGGAGATGTGTAACGATTTGGAGGAGAGCAAGTATCAGAATGCCGAGTATCGGTTATCCATCTACGGACGCAGTAAATCAGAATGGGACAAGCTTGCTAAATGGGCTGTCGACAACCAGGTCTACTCAGACAACGTCAGATGGCTGATACAGATTCCCAGGCTATAGTGAGTAATGCAAAGAGCAGGGCAATATAAATACCGGTTGGCCAGTACCATACAGCCAGGCAATGTAACAGGTCAATTGAACAGATCACTGCAAGTCTTCTCTGACAATGTTAGATGGCTAATACAGATTCCTAGGCTGTAGTGAGTAATGCAAGAGCATGGCAATATAATTACCGGTAGGGCAATATACTACCATCTGGTCAATATACTACCATCCAGGCAATGTACAAATACAGCCAGGCAATGTAACAGGTCAATTGAACAAATCACTGCAAGTCTTCTCTGACAACGTCAGATGGCTGAAACAGATTCCTAGGCTGTAGGGAGTAATGCAAAGAGCAGGGCAATATAATTACCGGTAGGGCAATATATACTACCATCTGGTCAATATACTACCATCCAGGCAATGTACAAATACAGCCAGGCAATGTAACAGGTCAATTGAACAAATCACTGCAAGTCTTCTCTGACAATGTCAGATGGCCAATACAGATTCCTAGGCTGTAGTGAGTAATGCAAAGAGCAGGACAGTATTAGTAGGGCAATAGGTATCATCTAGTCAATATACTGCCATCCAGGTAATGTACATGACTACCAGCCAGGAAATTGAACAGATCAGGTCTTCTCTGACGTCAGATGGCTGATACAGGTTCCCAGGCTAGAGTGAGTAATGCAAAGAGCAGGGCAATATAATTACCGTTAGGGCAATATATTACCACCTGGCATGCCTGGTCAATACTGCCATCCAGGCAATGTATAAATACAGCCAGGCAATATAACAGGTTAATTGAACAGATCACTGTGAATTCAATATTGGGTTTTGCCCTCCACCGATGTATAAACATTGTATACTCAGTTTGTTACCCCTGAAGTGAAAATGAGAACAATCACTGGGGTGGGACCCGAACCTACAACCTCCTGCTTTCTAGTGCAGATGTCATGACCTCTCGACCACCGAGCTTGCTGGGATTGGCTGGCTGGTTCGAATCCGATGTACAGTGTAGCAGCGGGTACTGCAATGAAACTATTCATAAGATGGAATTCCATAATATGGTATTATGGCGATTATAATCAGTACTTGGCATACTATTTTTTCCAGCACCACAACATTACCACAGCTTTAATAGCGAACATACCTACCATAAAGGAGTAATTAAATACATTTCCTTTTTGTCACTCAGTGATATCTACAAATCCAACAAGATGGTGGCCAACTTTGCTGAGATTCTGGACAACATCTTCATGCCGCTGTTTGAGGCAACGAGGGACCCAAACTCGCACCCGGAGATGCACAAGTTCCTCCAATATGTTAGTATCCATCAAGCATGGGACTCTACCTGAAAACTAGATGTAATTAGTTGAACACCATCCACACTGGTTGATCTTTCTTTGGCAGCCTGGGATAGGAATCCAGTCAGCGGGGCTGATTGCCTGTGGAAGCTGTCACAGCGACGGCTGTGGATCAACTAGATTAGAGAGAGTTGATTTGCTAATAATGTGCCTGTTTCTCTTCTGGCTGTTTAACCCGTTAGCACCTGCACTACATTGTATTACATTGTGTTTATTCACTAGAGAATCATTAATACCATAGAGTGGTTGGGCGGTTTCGGGTGCTACAGTGAGTAATGGGGTTCATTTTAGATTCCCAAACCAGAGAATATGGTTGTCAACAACAGTCGCCAAGATTGCTGACTGGATCCACCAGAAAGGGAAGAGTTGATTTCTTGACATGCAAGTTTTTCTGGTCCAGGTCATAGAGTTGGAAGTTCGAGGAAGGTGACCTGTTGCAGCCAAGCATACATGATCAGTGCACAGCCTCTCAACTCTCCTTGCTTTATATTAGTTGATCTTGTTCCATTTTTGTGGAGCTCTTGAGTAATTTTCTTGTTGATTGATCGGTTGATCAACTAGGTGTCTGGCTTCGACAGTGTGGATGATGAATCCAAACCAGAGGATCTGATCTTCACCAGGGACAGTCCTGACCCTGAACAGTGGACGTCTCCCGACAATCCCCCCTATGCCTACTGGCTGTACTACATGTATGTCAATCTGGTGGTGCTCAACCATTTCAGAAGGTAAGCCAATTGTATTACTCCCCTTGCACAGCAATGGTCTATGATATGTGAGCGGGTTTGACGATTACTTACATGTATGCAAAACAAGACTGCATCTTGACCTCGAGATTCTGATCATTCAGTGGGCATCTTGTACATCTATATCGGGTCTTCAGTAACCCGAACTTGTATTACGAAAACATGGCATTCCATTCGACCAATCAACAGCTTAGTCCACATTTCTGATTGCAATGACATCACATGCATTTCTAAAGTTGACTCTGATGGGCTGGCGCACAGGGGTTGCATGCAATATGCATGTTAGGATATATCAGGCGTGCGACGTGGCTAATGCACACGTGAATGTCTGATCCTCAAGACTATTTTTATATCTCCATTGGCTTGAAATATTATACAAATATTGAATGCTTCGAGTGGTGTAGTAAAACTAGCCTCACGAGGTGATTCATGGACATTCTATTTTCCCGAGGCGAGGCCGAGGGAAAATAGAATGGTCCATGGATCACCGAGGGAGGCTAGTTTTACTTCACCACGAGATAAAGCATTCAATATTTCTTTTATAACACTTCAACCACAGATTCTGCTTGATTTTAATATTTTAAATTATTTAAATCTGAACACAGTTGAAATAAACTTCAATTTCAATACAAAATTGGTGGAAAATGTATTTCTGTCTTAAAAACTACCCCTTTACGAAATGTTTGAACCCAAGTCTGCGGCGCGCTCTCTTTGGAATAATACGTGCTACGCACAACGCGCAAACCAGCATGCATTTGCACACAAATACCACGCCGTGGAAATAGTTCTTTGGTTGCTAATGGTATAGTACTTTGGTTGCTATGCGCATAGTACTTTTGGCCGTGCACAGAAAGATAGCAAAATTAGAAAGTAACATGTGACTCGCTCTCGGCCAATCAAGACACAGAATCTGTGGGTGAGGTGTTATAAACCCAACTATATACATGTAAGATCCTCAGACTCAATTACATGTCTATCTTCGTTGGCTTGAAATCTACCAACTACCTATAAGAGCTAGCAGTTGAGTGCTACATGTACTTGACAGGAAGTATTCCAACTAAAATAAGGTCACCAACTCATTTTCATGAAGACTGATGAGCAAAAACGTCCGCCTCCGACTGATTGTTTCCAGATCCGATCCCAAGCCCTGCCCACCTCACAAAAGGGCACAATAACACATCCTCCAATACCACACTGCTCACATTACTTACACTACATTATGTAATTAGAACATAGAATCAAGCCAACATTTACATTTTGGCCAGGGCTCAAGTCAAGTCAAGTCAAGAAATAAACCTGATCTTAATACTCTCCTACTAAAGTGAATATATAAAATATATATTTAAAAAAAATATCCCCAACAGTTTGAAACTGAAGAACGTTCTCCACTGCCGTGAATAAAAGCCCTAGAACGATCTTTTCTTGTGGCCGTTGGTGCTGACTCTCGACCGCAAACTTGTAGTTCCAGAAAGCAGTGTGGCTAATAACAGGTGGTAGTTCATTTAACCTTCAAGTGATTTATGTGGGACAGTGGAGCAGGGATCAGAGTTTGTTTACTTAAGGACCCCCCCCATAGAGGTCCAAAATGGTTTGCGAAACTAGCCACTTTCCTAAGAGGGCGGGTTTTCGTCATGGAGTTGATACCAAACAGACATGTGACTCCTGGATGAAATTTGAATCAATTTCAAGAATATTGAGCCACCAGAACTATCAACACCTTGTCCAAGACATCCCACAACCCCTGTATGTTATTTCTTATTTCTCCTCTCTCAGGGAACGTGGGTTTAACACCTTTGTCTTGAGACCTCACTGTGGAGAGGCAGGCCCTGTTCATCATCTTGTCACTGCCTTCATGTTGGCCGAGAACATCTCCCATGGATTGCTATTAAGAAAGGTATTGCTCCTAAAATTCTATTGGTTGCCAGGCATCTGACAATGCTACCTTCCCTGTTGTCTGATTGGCCTAGGTTTCAATTATTCATACATGTAAATTTTAAACATTTAATTAAGGTTGCCAAGTTAAGGTTATAATTAAGGACAACGACTGAGCTGAGTTGAATGATGAACCCTAACCCCTTGAGTGATTTACTTGGAACCTTCCTCACTCTAGCAAAATCCAACACCATATGGTAGCTCAACACCCAAACTGTTGGGCTCTGATTTATGGTGGTATGCCTAACCCCATGTAAAGCATAATCAGTTATACTAGTGCAGTACTCACTCCAACAGCATTAAGAAAAACATGCAGTTGGATTTTGAATGGTTGGGGATTGTTAGGGTTAATGGTGTGTCATGTTGAGTCACCAACAATTGTTGCACAAGTCTGAATTATGTTGAGTGGCTTGTGTCCGACTAGAGTGGCATGTGTTAGACTCAAATGGAGTGACTTTGTCTAACACCACTGGATGAGTTGACCACTGGATGAGTCGAGTCTGACTAACTTGACTCAATGTGTAGTTGTCTCAAGTTGAGTCTGATTACGGTAAGGCCAAGAAGAAAAACATTTCTGTTTCCGAACGCGACTACATGCCTTTCAAAAAGAGGGTAGGTACATGTAGGTCGGAAAATGTTTTTATTTTGCCCATTTTTTTTGTGCTGATTCAATGTGGTATTCAAGTATATGCAATTTCAGCTTGCACCATTTTCATTTGCCACGAAAGCTATCAAATATGGCCACAAAAAGTGATTAAAAAACTTCCTTATTTAAGAAATCTTCTTTCTTTATCAATGTTTATTTGGCATTTTTACGATGTCAAATTCTGGCCATATACTGGTTGCCGCTCTTCTATCATGCCTTTGGCCGTTTTAGTGCGCGATGGGAACCACTCCACCATTGCTGTATTGCATTGCATGCATTATGCATGCCATGTGTTTTCATCACCACGATAGCGAATCGCGAAGGGATCTTGCTAATCGCAAAGCAACGGTGGTTTCTATGATGCAAGTAGGCAAACAACTAAACACGGACAGCAGAAATATTGCCAGCATTTTTGACGCAACAAGGTTGTTGAGAAGCTTTTTCGTGAGAACAGAAAAATACAACATGAAACCTGTCGATAAAAAGTTTGTGCCATAAAATCAGGGTAGGTTGGGTAACCGGAAGCAGAAGTGTTTTTGGAGGGCCTAATTTAACCCTTACTCTCTGAGGGTAGTTTACTGCATGTCAGTTGGTTATGCCAATGCCCTACAGCTGCAGTTTATTGGCAGATAGTTTGTCTTAACAGTGAAGGCTCCAATTGGCAGGAGTTGGAGGCCCTGGAGGGTGCCTGATACTGACCAGCTGGGGGCACTCACTTTGTTATCAGAGGACTCTCATTGTTCTCTGTGGCATGTATTGGAGTGCCTGTCCAGTTACCCTTGAAATGACATGGCAGATATTGGAGGGCCGTGCAAAAAACATAGGAGATTTTCTTGAGGCACATATATTGGCATGCGTTGGAGGGTCTAGTAGGGTAAGGGTTAAACACTGATTTGAAACTAACGTGTCTTTCCGTATATTTTTTTCATCAGACACCAGTATTACAGTACCTGTACTATCTCTCCCAAATCGGCATCGCAATGTCTCCGCTGTCCAATAACTCCTTATTCTTGAACTACCATCGCAATCCTCTACCAGAGTTCCATGCTAGGGGACTGTGTGTGTCGCTGTCCACCGATGACCCAATGCAGTTCCACTTCACCAAGGTAGCAACAGTCAGGTTTTCTTTCTTTTCTGTCAAGTAGAAGATACACAACAAGTGAACACTATTGATATGAGCCTTATTTTTGCACTTATGGTACATGTATTTGCACTTATTGTACATGTACAAATGTAGTAGAGACCTCATGTCCGAGACAGAGACATTCGAGATGGAGACCAAGACCAGCTCTTTCGAGACCTAGACCAAGACTTCTTGTCTGTGTTGTCTAGCAGTAGAGCACAGGATTCATGATCGTGAGGTTGTGGGTTCGAGCCCCGCCGTGGCCATGCATGTTGTGCCCTTGAGTAAGGCGCTTTACCTCAATTACTCCTCTCAACCCAGGTGTTAAATGGGTACCGGCATTATTCAATGCCGGTAAGGTAACAGACTTGCTGTGGAGGAGGTGTGGCGATCCCCCCACAGCAGCATATATGAGTCTGGCCCAATCGCTAATGAAAGAGAGATGGGCACTCCGTTCCTGTGAACACAGGTTCGTCCCCTTTACCTTTACCTTTAAGACTTCTGATACAGAGACAAGACTTCCAAGACCGAGACGGAGACAAAGCATGAATAGATATGTATGGTGTTGAAGCTCATTTCCCTCATTCTGTGTTACAGTGCCCTGCTTTATTTTTAACCCTAATCTCACCTAAAGCTACAAAATACTACTACTAGGCCTTGTAGTAAACTGTAGTATGCAGTTCTTCAGCATATGAACGGGCACAGCACTCATAGTATTTTTTAGTATTTGCGTACTACATGTATTTTTTTGTGTAGTACTTTGTGGTACAGGGTGAGTCAGAATGATCTGGACTCAAATTGTAAAGAAAATATTGAAAATATGTAGCAATTATCAAAACAAGTGCAAATGAGTTATGTTATAGGCTGGTATTTTGGACATATTTGGTGAAAGTTTCACGTCCATTGTATCATTTTGAAGAATAGCGCTAGCAAAGAACACACGCTAAATAACACTCTGACCACAGTTCCATGGTTCAACAAATTTATGGAAATCGCGTACGGACGTGACTGCATTTCAAACAATGAAACCTGAGATTGAGACTTTGATAGGACAAGACCAAGACCACCAAAAAAGGTCTCAAGATGGTATTGAGGCCGAGACCAGATCATGAGACCTACAAAACTGCTACATCTATCAAAGTCCCCTAAAGTCGTCAATTCCACTACCAGTTTTGTGGAGGTTTTCAGAGCTACATGTAGTTCAGTACAGCTGAAATAACAGTACATGTACATGTAATCATGAGACTTTTATCGAACAATAAGTTCATGAGGTCTCCAAAAAGCAGAGCTTGTAAACCGGCCATCCCCTTAAATTGTGAACTTACACACTTTGTAAATTACATATAAATTATTATGACAATAAGCATACACGACATGTAAGTTGTTTTAAGTTAATGCTACACATAAAGAGAAATAGGACAAATAGCCAAATACCCTGGTGGGATAGGGTTCAAATACATAAGTACTAACAGTGACGAGAAAAATGCCTAAATATTCGGAAGTATTCTAATTTATGTAAATGTATGCGTACATTCCCAAATAGGAGCCGTTGATGGAGGAGTACAGCATTGCTGCCCAGGTCTGGAAGCTGACAACTTGCGACATGAGTGAGCTTGCAAGAAACAGTGTCGTCATGAGTGGCTTTCCAGAAGAGGTAATTGGATGAAAATTCGAACACATGCACCCTTTACACTCGTTCAGTTTATGTAACGCAGTGTGTATGAGATAATTTATATGCAAAGCAAGGTATATTAGGTGATGTATGCAATAGGGCTGTTCCAAAAATACTGAATATTCAAATATTCGAACATCAACAGAATATTCGAATAGCTTTTTGCACATTATAATTATACATTGTAATCGTAAAATTTCATTTTTTGTATTGTCGGATGCCACTTTTTGTCGACAATAAATATTTTGTCGATGCGTATTAATTGGTACCATTGTTTTAGTTGGGTAAAGTCCATTGACAGTACTTACCGCAAGGCCCTCTAGCGGTCCATATTATACATCGCCGAGTGCAAATTTTAACTGACGCACTTTGTATGCAACTTTTGACCAGCGAGGAAGGCAGCTGCAGCTGGCATGTGTAAAAATTGATCAGCGAGTTTGTAACATTGGGTCATGTGTAGTTTTTAATCGAGTACTAAATTATTCAAAAATGGACAGTCCTTCATGGGTGTTATCAATACATTGTTTAATTTGTTTTATCTAATCTTTGTAACCCTTGACGTTCCGAGCATACTGACCGGAACGTCGAGTTTATACCTCTGGTTCTTTTCAGAACCATTCTCTTGAGAAATTATTCGCACATGGTGTTTCCGCAAACCTCTCATTATTTAGTATCTCCACCATGCAAAGCCTCAAATCTTACTTTGTAACCCTGGCCTGTTACCCAAAATGTTTGTATTGTATTTTGTGTCTGTATGTGTTCTTACCTGAGAAATAATAAATAATAAATTAAAAAATGAAGTAAATCATTTTTATAGACTGGACATTTGGCCATTTTGGATCAATGGAGTTGCCGTGGCCAAGACACGATATAACAACACAATTTACCACAGCTGTATGTACCGTAAATGATGAATAAACCTGACCAAGGGTAAAAACGATCTCGTGTTTCCACTCACAGTTCAAGGACCATTGGCTGGGGCCCAACTGGCGCAAGGAAGGCCCTCCAGGCAACGACATCACCCGCACCAACATTCCAGACATTCGCGTCGCCTTCAGGGACGAGACGCTCACCGAAGAGTTGACCACCATCTGCCGATCTGTGAAGGAGATGGCACATCGGAAGAGCGTCATCACTGCACCCAAGTTCTGAAATGGGACCAAGTTGGAAGTTTGAGTTCGGAGAGTGGCATAAATCTGTGTTGGCGAGTGGTGGGATGGGGGATTACCATAATGGTAAAATCCTAAAATTGCCTGGTTTTAGGTGCTACGGTGACGAAAGGGCTTAGCTTAATGGACAAACAGATCTGTAAAGCTTGAAACACGGAGAAGCGCCAATGTCTGAAACACTAATCGGCGACACAGAAAAACTGATTAATTTCGATGCCACTATCCTACCAGAAGTACAGCATAGCACCTTAAAGACAGAATGTATAGAAAGATATCTGGCTAAGCATATTGTCACATGGCATTTAAGCATACGCCGCATCATGCAAAACATGTATTTATGTATTTTAGAGAGTAGATATTTGATATAGGGGAAACTCAGTTTGCACAAATCCAAATACACCAAGGAATTACACAGAATACATACGTTGTACTGTTGCCGAGAAGCTACTATAGTGTGTTAAAATATTTAGGAACATGCACTGACCGCCCTCACTTGACAGTAGACTCCAGCATACATTTGAAGACCGGAATTGTCTTAGACTCCTGGCACCAGACCAAGATGTTTATGACATTAACCCTAACGTACCTCAATCCATCAAAATCCACCCCCCCCCCCTGTTTTGGGGGGATTTCGGCAGATTCAGGATACCTCCATATTGCACAAACTGGGGGATTTTGATGGATTCAGGATTGTAAGCCTAGCAGAACTGCAGGATTTTGATGGATTCAGGATACCTCCATATTGAGCTGTTATGGGGGACTTTGGCGGATTCAGGATCTCAACAGAATAACTCTTTGGCTATGTTTGTGGTCAAGTAAATACTGCTTGTAGCCCTGCCAGGTCTGTCACATGCTGTACAAAAATGTATGTACTGGGCGGTTGGGAGCTTGTGACTGCGGCTTATTAGGCCTTGGCATGTAAACAATGGATTATGTACATAACCCATCCAGACAAACCAATGCTGGGGTCGGACAATGGCTCATTGAAATAGCCCTTCCAGACAATGCAAACATCATGGTATACATGTACATAATTACCCAAAGCCCAAATCGAAAGGAAAAACAACCCACATCATATCTACCAGCAGTTGAACCATGCATTTGGTGTATTTTGATGGATCCTATGCAACAACACACATCACAATTTTCATGCGAGCATGGTATCCTGAATCCGTCAAAATCCACCAGAGATTTAGGTGATGGATTTTGAAAACTGTATGGAAAAACGTGCTGTATTTTTTTTTATGCCACCATGGTATCCCGAATCCGCCAGAATCCATCGAGACTTTTGCTGGTGGACTTTGGCGGATTCAGGATACCTCCAGTATCTACACTGGGGGATTCTGATGGACTCAGGATACCAGCATTTTTTGCGTGACAAAATTGGTGGATTTTGGCGGATTCAGGATACTTTCTAGTAAAAGAGCCCCAGGAGTTGGGGTTAAACATGGAGGACTTATTAGATGAGACAAGTTTGCATGTACATGTACATGATCACTTCACGGGTTGTGTTGATTTTTAAGGGATTACTGAATGCTTTACCCTAGCCCTGCTAATTGCGACAGAATGCAACAGTGGTAAAAAGTTGTTGCCAGTTGTTGCATTTAGCAGGCAACTCAAGTCCCTGTGCTCTGTTGCATCTTGTTGCATTTAGCAGGGTAACTGCTCATAGTGCCAAGGCAATACAAGAGTATCCACTGTTGCAGTTTGTTGCATTTAGCAGGGTGTTGCCAAGGCTGGTGTGCACTGGGCTCACTGCACAATGCAACAGAATCCGTTGTTGCAATTTGTTGCATTTAGCAGGGTTCTCATTTGAGTTGAGTTGAATATTGTTGCATTTTGCAGGGTGCCTGAAGAATACCTGATGGGGTTAGGTTTAAGTGTTGTACCCATGCATCTGTGCGCACACATATCATTGGAAACCTCAGGTTTTACTGTAAAACAATGAAGCATTCACATGTATTTTGAACCAAAGCCTTCAAAATGCTTTCTAGGTATCCCAAATGTTGGTCACGCACAGAATTAAGTGTGGTATGTTGCAATCTTTAGTGTATGTGCCACACTTTTTAAAAGTAGCTTGTTGCTTTGTCTTTCTCTTTAATTTGTGGTAGCTCTTTTTTTTGTCAGAACTTTTATTCCCTATTGCTTTTAATTGTTGAATTATTATGTATACATATCAATAATTGGCATCTATTCTTCAGAATTTCTTAGTTGTTAATATATTAAGTCAATATATTTAATCATGAGTTATCATTGAGTTGTCTTAAAGCGGTAATACCTTAAGTGCATTATGCTGTACATGAAATAGAAGTGTATAATTTGAAGCATACATGGTTTTATGTGTTAATATGATAATATTTAGACATGGATATCGCACAAAATATATGTATGTAATTAATATTAGATAAATTTAAAGGAAATTTATTATCTTGTTTATTGCAAATGCATGTCATGGTCGTAAAATGCCTTCACATTTGTCTTCACATGAACATTCAAGTTTCGAAAAAGCAAAGACAACACTGCTGTTTTTGATCATTTTATAATATCTTTAGGCTGAAAAGATTGTCATAAAACTCATATAAGTCAGAGTTATGCATAAAAAACTCCGAGCTAATCATGCACAGAAATATTGTAAATGAAGCATTACTTGAATTTTTGCATGAAGTGCCTGCATGTGTTAAACTAAACAAAAACATGTATCTGTTCTGCACACACATTACCATATTTATCTAGGATGAGTAGTTTGGCACCAAATTTTTTTTCACAACAGAAGTCTGTTTGGAAAGAATGTTGCAGCCTGCATGGGAAAGATTCCCATATCTGGCCATCATAATTAGTGATGCATCACTAATTATTTTCAAGAATGTTGCAACTTTATTATAAAGAATGTTGCAACCTGCATGGGAAAGATTCCCATATCTGTCCATTATAATTAGTGATGCATCACTGATTATGTTCAAGAATGTTGCAACCTTATTATAAAGAATGTTGCAACCTGCATGGGAAAGATTCCCATATCTGGCCATCATAATTAGTGATGCATCACTAATTATTTTCAAGAATGTTGCAACTTTATTATTAAGAATGTTGCAACCTGCATGGGAAAGATTCCCATATCTGGCCATCATAATTAGTGATGCATCACTAATTATTTTCAAGAATGTTGCAACTTTATTATAAAGAATGTTGCAACCTGCATGGGAAAGATTCCCATATCTGGCCATCATAAAGAATGTTGCAACTTTATTATAAAGAATGTTGCAACCTGCATGGGAAAGATTCCCATATCTGGCCATCATAATTAGTGATGCATCACTAATTATTTTCACTTCAGTGACCTGTCAGCCATCAGAAAGTGATAATATGTCCTAAAAAGTCAAAATTAGCAGGGAAAAATATTGAAGTATTTACTAAGATATTTATTTATTAGATATTTTCAGACCAGTCTCATACTCATAGGGTTTGTGCACAGGGTGACAAGTGATGGCCAGATATGGGAATCTTTCACTGCATGACTCCACTTTTTTCTTCATTATGCATGTATCGCCTCAATAAAGGTCAGTCATTGCAAAAAATGTGAACTAGACATTAATCTGTGACTGAAACATTTCCAATTTTGTTGAGAAATACTTGACTCTCTTGATTCTCCATAGACTTTGTACACAACCACTGAAGTGGCGTCTGGATACTACATTCTTTCCGTATGTTTCTTAAATACTGAATGATCAGACTGATGGTCAGACTTAATGTAAAAAAAAATCATGAATTCGAGACAGAGAAACACTGCCAAGATTTCCCCTTAAAAAAAAATACTGTAATTTTCTCCTATACTTATGTGCGCTAATCAGCCTACCTTTGCAGACTAGGCCTAGTTTGTATACATGGTATATGCGGTCGCCGACTGACTCATATTACAATTGGTGGCTTTTGTTTCTCCGTTTTAAAGTTGTCAATTTGGTATTTTGTGTTGCCTTTACAAGATACGTATGGTCACATGTAGTGGTAATTCATTTAGACCTAATAAGTGTACCTACATATATGTAGTTTGGTTGCAAACGGCTGATTTTCTCCCTAATGCGACCTCATGTCGACAACCAGAAAGCGAGTCCAGCAGAACGCTGGTACTATGGTCCGGGTTGATCCTTTTCCTGTATAGAATTCTAAGTGGAAACGCAAACCAGCGAAAATGGCGTAATGCCATTGCGTGTGGGTTCACATCCCGTCACGCGTGCACACTAACCACGCGTGCAGAAGTAACAGCGCCCTCTTCCTGCGATGCTGTGTGACATTCAAAGTGAATTACATGTATAATTTAAACCAACCTTACGAAGATTTTAAACAGCATTCAAATTATGAACACAATAAAGGAACACGTGCAAGAAATTCGAATGCTGTGCTGTGTTGGTTGCAATTTTTAATGAATATACTGTGTAATTTGAAAACAGAAGCATTGTACTACAATACTAATACATCAAATGTTAAGTGAGCAATGCAAAATTCAAAATAATCACGATGACGTCATAACATGAAAAGGCGCCCTCTAGCGGCACACAAAACAAACCGAAACGGTCATAGTCATCAAAACGTACACCAAGGTGCCCCTACACACTATTTGGACATTAAAATATACATTGCCAGTATCAGGATGACGTCAATCCCATATTTATAGGAAGAATTTGAAGCCATGATGTTCAAATTAAAATGCATGATTCGGTTACAAGTTTTTTTGCGGTTCACTGTTGCCAAAATAATGATGTAAGCCACATTAATAGTGTCGATGGACACCTTAGTGACGCTAATAAAATTGCATTATATTAACCCTAAAAGGGCCTGAGGAATCCGCCCCCCCCCCTTCAACTTTTCCGCGATACCCTTTTTTCCTCGACCCGAGCTTTCCTGAATTTTTAGCGTCGAGTCTTGCGCATCTTTTGATACCATAAACATAAAATTCCGACCATGGGTACCGCACAATTGGCACGCGTGCGCGTAGGATACACATAGTTGCCATTTAGTTTTAATATTAGGCTCTTACATACTTTCAACTAATTTTCAGATTATATTTTGACTTCCCCCTAAAAAATATTCCTTGCCCCCGAAACAAACTTTTATCAAGTCTGACGCCGCCACTGTTTGTACTGCAGTTGCAAACAGTCGCGGCGTGAGACTTTAAAAATGTTGAATGAAAACGACAGAAAAACGCATGTGTAAACCCGTCGTGTTCGATGTAAACAAACGGCTTTTTTAAATTCCGTCTTTTCTCGGGAACGGTAAGACCAGTGGCGTAGCCACGGGGGGGGGGGGGGGGGGGGGGGGGGGAGGGGGGCGTGGGGGCAACAGCCCCCTATGAAACCTTGTCCCCCCCCACACCGAGATTTTAAAAAAGTTTCTAAAAAAATTATCATTGATCTACATGATGCCCCCTCCCCATGAAATGTTCCAGCCCCCCCCCCCCCAAGCCCCCCCCCCCCGAAAAATTCCCTGCTACGCCACTGGGTAAGACAATAGGTTAGTTTATTTTCAACTAGACCTATAAAATACATGTACTATAAACAATCCAAAAACATGACATTTTGGGTGATTTTAGGCCGAAATGCCCTTTAAAATCACGATTGTTTGAAACATCTATTTCAATTTAAATCACGATTGTTTAAATCAATTAAACAAAGAAGGACAATACATTTATAATACTTGCAATATATATTGCAAATTCAAATTCATTCTCTTAGTTGAGAAATTATTCGCACATGGTGTTTCCGCAAACCTTTCATTATTTAGTATCTTCACCATGCAAAGCCTCAAATCTTACTTAAATTCAAAAAGGGAAGGAAGCGGGCGAGGACGAGAACTTTTTTTTTTACATGTACTTTGCATTATTACAACAGCTATTAATATGTGCACAACAGTGGATAAAATTGCTGCGTTTGCACTATCGACTAAATGTCCTTTTTTGCCGTGAAGCCATCTTTTGTTCTTTAAAAGACTCGATAATTTGCTGAAGTGGATCGCAGTGGGGCCGAGCGGCACGGGAAAACCAGATGCATCACTGGAATTAGCCGAGTGAGACCAATCAATGGAATTAGATTGTCACTGCACTCTCACTGCAGGATAAAATTGACACCTCTTTCGCCTGATAGGGTCGTTGCAAACAATTCCTTTTTTTGAAATGGACTATTCTTTGCGAAAGTGGGCAGGGAAGGGCAAACAGAGCGTGCAAAAAGCGTGGCCAAGCAAAACAACTCTCATCAAAACCACTCAGGGGTGCAGTGAACTAATTCAAGTGAGAATTTCTACGCGAGCTGATCAGCATAAAAAGTGACCCCACAGTTTCTTTTGAAAAAGGAGACAATTTGGCTTTAAAAAACGGTGGAATTGTGTAAATGTAGCCAATGATCAACTCGCCTGATAGGGTCTTTGCAAACAATTCCTTTTTTGAAAGTGGGCAGGGAAGGGCAAACAGAGCGTGCAAAAAGCGTGGCCAAGCAAAACAACTCTCATCAAAACCACTCTGGGGTGCAGTGAACTAATTCAAGTGAGAATTTCTACGCGAGCTGATCAGCATAAAAAGTGACCCCACAGTTTCTTTTGAAAACGGAGACCGTTAGGCTGTAAAAACGGTGGAATTGTGTAAATGTAGCCAAGGATCAACTCCCTGGTTTTTGGGCTTCCATCTGAGGGCAGGCTTGATAAAATTACGGTTGACAAATTGGTCCTATCTGCCGGAGAAAGTGGAAGGGTGCCACTTGTAAAACGGCTACGTGCAGGCTTGGGAACTATCACTTTTCGGGAGGTGATTTTGTTTTGGTGTGAATATTTAAACATGTTATCAGCTAATCTACCCAAAATTGAAAAGAAATGAAAAGATGAAGTACAAGACAATAATTTAATTTTTGTTTGAGAAACCCCAGTGATGTCGGCTTGCATGTTATTTTGCCCTGAACTTTGTTGATTTTACACTGTTTTCATTGGGGCTTGAATAGGTTCAGTAGACCCTCAGACTATATTAACAAGAACAGGTAATATGTTATGTTTATACGATATTTAGTAAAAAATTAAAATGATATAAAAAAACACACCAGGACTGACCATGCACCCACTATTCTTTGACATGTCATTGTGAGCAGGTACTAAAAAATGTCAGCCTTTGGTAAGGAATAATCGTATTATGTAGCACATAATCTAAAACAAACGCAAAGTATTTTTTTCTAACTCTGTGTATCATTTAAAAAGTTTCAAGAAGTTCCCCCCAAAAAACCCACGTAACCCAAATGTTGGGACTTTTGTTTAAGTAAAGTGCTGCATGTAGCACTTATAAAATCTAGGATATGAAAACCAATTCATAAGCTTTCTTGTAGGACAAGAATCATTCAAATCACTCGTGTACTCAGTTTTTAAGTTACGGATTTTTAAAGTTCTCTCCGCGGATCACAATAAGGTGTGCGTTCTTTCAGCAAAACGAAACTCACACACATCCCTAGTGATTTGTTGTCGTTTTTCTGAAAGAACGCTTACCTTGTTGTGATCTGTGGACAGAACTTTAAAACATTGGTCGTGTTTAAAATTCCGCAACTTGAAAATTACATAAGTGATTTGAAAGATTCTTGTACTAAAAGAAAGCTTATGAATTGGGCTTTCATGTCCTAGATTTTGAAAGTGCTACATACAGAAGTTTACAAAAACATTGGTCCCCACATTTGGGTTTCGTTGGTTTTTTTACTCACCCTGTATTGTTCCCTTCTTAAATATGTTTTATTTCAAAGACATCCTGTTTCCACTGTATATAAATAATTCCTCATTCAGTACAATTCCATCATTTAATCAGCTAGTTCCCTTTTCCTAAAATCACCTTTCAACCAGTTCAGTTAATCAAACTATATTAAAGGGCCCATGTAATGTATTTTTTTAATGCAGATATACACATTGCTACCACAGATTGGGTAGATGATTCGAAAAATTTCGAAAATGTGCAATTTTGTCCCTGTTACACACGTGCCAGTGGCCCGACCACGTTGTAGCCGCGTCCTTCGCAATTCAGCACACCAGCTGCGAGTAAGGATGATTAGCCTCCCAAATTATTATTATATTATTATTGAACCACCTTTGTGTCCCTCACCTTTGTGATGTCATATGAGGCAGAAACTGAAAGTTGTTGGTGCTCAAAATGTTGCCAGAAATTTGGATATTTTGCCGTCGTAAAGTTTCTTTTCTGTAGTGATGCGTTGTTGTTTCAGTTTATGAAAGTAAGCCAATGAGCGAACTTTTCTCACAAATGTTTTCATAAAATGTGCACATTTTTGGGTTCACAATTTCAAAAGAACTTGTACTATGTCTTATTAGAACAAATGTACCATTAGGGAGACACATCGTAATTTCTTCCACAATAGGGAGACTCTGGTCATTAGGGAGACATTTTCATGTCTCCCTAATTCCACAGCCCCCCTTTAGACTGAGGCAAAATGTTACCGTCGCAATCAGGTTATATTTGTTGCTCATAGTCTAATTAGTAAAAATACCGAAATTCGTGGAAAAAGGACAAGGGAATATTGGGTTAGGGCACATTTAAGTTTGAAACATTTTGTACACAAGTCTATGGGAATGTCTCCCAAATGACCCATTCGCGGTAATAATTAATACTATGTCATAATTTCTTATGTCATCACAGCGCCCTCATGTGTCAGGAAAAGTATGGAAACTTTATGAAATGTCGAAAGAAGTTCACTTATCAAAAAAATTTGACAAAAAATGGATGTCAATTAGTTTTCATAAACTTAAGAGGATTAGAAAGTGGCGCAAACTAATTTAAAGTATTGACTTCGTGAGCCCTTTAAAATTTGTTGTGGAATAAAGTCACGGTAAGCACAGTCCTCAACTAAGTATGCATTGACTATCTATTCTCCCAACAAGATCATCAGCCGAGCCGAGCGTTTGCATGTCACCCCTCGGTGTGACGTGGCTAGTAGCAGGGTGTGTAGATTCGCACCTCGAGTGGCTCACCAACTACGCCCGTCATCTCGATGCTCAAGATGCCGACAGGGTTGGTTTGGGTTGCACGCACCAGCGCTGTGGTGTCTCCGTATTTGCCCAACTGAATCTCACCGTCCGTGAGCGACACCCAGAAACGGCCACTGCTACCTTCCAGCCGGCAATCTCGATGGAAGGCTGTTTCGTATGTGTCCTTCTCAAGTGCACAAACCTGCGGGCTAAATTCTGAAAGGTAAAAAAAAAAGAAACACAAAACCACACGTTGTATAACATTTTATATTCAATATCTTACTTCTATCGAGGAGGAAGTTATTATTTTTATTATTATTATTATTTATTCGACATTAAAAACACAAACAACAAACAATCACAAAATAAAAGAAAACCAAAAACCAAGAAAAAAACAACCGAATATGACGAAAGCCAGGGGCATATGCCCGGAATTAAAACAGTTCATGCTGATTGTGACTGAAATGAATCAGAAATCACACTGAGAAAAGTTGGCAATTTTGCAATGAAATGAAAGTGAGGCTTATTGGAACGAACGCCAATCATAAATAGTCGGGCACCATCCCATTCAACAGTTTGAATTTGTAAAATACATTCCAGGAACACGATCAAAAAAGGCTTCCTCGTTAATGTGCATCAATTGTTATTAACAATTGAGGCAATTTCACAGCAATGTTGCCCCCACCCACCCCACCCCACCCCCACCCCCCATCTAATGTTTGTTTCTTGCTTTGTTGGGCTTGTTGGGTTGGTATTTGTTTGTTGTTGGGCTGTTCGTTGGGCTGTATGTTTGTTTGTTTGTTTTCGAAATTCCTCACCAACAAACTGCCCATAAGTGGTAGTCTTGTTGCAATTCTGCAATAGGCTGGTTCCGCGGTATAGTTGCATTCTGGGTATATCTACCTAAGCCTGCATATAATTTGCATAAATTTAAGAGAAAAACCTACTTATGTATTTAGTAGTCATTGCCCGCTACCTGTCCCTACAACCTACATTCGAGGTCCAAAGGATAATGATGGGACCGGGAACAAGTCTATTTGAAAACAAGTTGCTATACAAAGCCCGACTCACCAAAAGAGTATACGGGTGTATGTAACCATGGGTTCTCGTCTCCCATGAGATGGATGTCGAAAGTTGCCGTGTTGTTGATGCTGATGTTGAAATCCAACCGCTCCAAGGACGAGGCGAATAGTCCTTTGGTAGGATATCGAAATGGGTGTTGATACGACTCCGTCTTGAAGGTGACACAGCCTATGATCGATGAGCGATAGGATAGAACAGATAGAGCAAATCAGCCAACCCTAGTCGTATCTATCGATATAGGCTATAGGACACAGAATCACATCACGTTGGATAAAACAGAGCCCAAAAGTTGCTCCCTTGTACACTGTTATTTCGGTTGTGTACTATATGAACCTAGCAACCAGTTGTGTCAAAAAAATTAAACAAGTTGTGTAGTAAGTTGTGTAAACAACAATTTACACAACGGGTTGCTAGGTTCGTGTAGTACACAACCATTTGATTTTTACACAACCGAAATAACAGTGTGCGCGTTTAATTCCGGACCCCTAGGAAAATTAGCGCGTAAAAGTCGGGTTGTTTAAAAATTATTTTGGGCACATGGGCTTCTTCTTGAGAAAATGACCCCCAGAGGGCCTTTGCAAAATTGTTTATGGAAACTGAACAATTGCACGACGTGAAATCGTGCAAAGAATTGACCTCTCACTTCCGAAAGTCAAAATACATGACAATATATCAACTAATTTGTGGCGGTCATTTGGGTAACTGAACTGAAACTCAAAGGAAACATGTAGTTGAAATTCAGCTCATCTTGTTTTCATGCACATCGCTATGTGTTGCAACAATACATACATGGTTTTAATACTTGTTTTCATTGGAAGTGACAAGAAAGTGGTAGTATTTCAATTGGCAAATACTTTCATCAATACATTTAAGAGGGCGCTATTTTGCTTTTGTCCATGGGCGTCGCGGGGGGGGGCAAGGGGGGCACTTGCCCCCCCCCTGGAAAACGAAAAAAAAAGGAAAAAAGGAAAGAAAAAAAAAAGGAAAAAGAGGTGCGAAGCTATATTGCTGTTAATTTGATGGGGGGGGGGGGTAGGGCAAATGCTCCCCTGCTCACGCTCGGAAAAATGATAAATTGATAATATAATGAAAAAGTTGAGGAAATTTGGGAAAAAAATTTGCTTTGCCCCCCCCCCCCCCGGAAATAATCCTGGCGACGCCCATGCTTTTGTCACATAAGGTACTCCTTGTCAAAAGTGCATATGAACAGTACAAAATAAGTCCTTCATAATTACCCACAAACAAAGTTTTGAAGAAATAGTGGCCACTATATACTACTGTCAAAACAAGCTGTTTAACATGACAAGTAAAAAGTGGAACCTACTCCAAGAAAATGAAGGTCTAATATATATTTTTACACAGAGCTATGGAGCCACTACTATTCTGCCTTAAAAGACATCACGCTTTTGCTCATGAATATGGATATTTTCATTAGCATAACGTTGAAATTTCTCCCTTTTACTGCTACAAAGGAGGTGGAAAGTCATAGTTACATGGCAAGAAAGCTGTTTTAAATGTATTTTAAGTCATAAAATCCTATTCCTAATCCTAGTGCACGTTTCCTTTAAATAGAAACCTAAAACGTATTTTGGGACACTCAGTTTTTAACTAAACTTGAAGGACAAATTCTCATACATTTGCAAACGAATCTAAAATGACTGTATTCAAGCAAGCCCGAGTAAATCTAGAATCCATAGGATGTAGGTAGGTAAATCTTCGCGTCGTTATCTTTTTTGTTCTCACGCAAGTACACGATGTGAAAAAAAGTGATCCACAAGGAGACCTAGGCACAGCGGCGGCAGAACGATTTTCAAACTGGGGGGGGGGGGCATCACCGAAAAGGGGCACTTGCACATCGTGCTGAAATGTTGACACGTTTTTTTTCAAACTTTTTTTTCACTGGACACTTGGCCTCCGTAAAATCAAATAGTGTGTGGGGATATCCGGATGTGAAGGTTGCAGGCAAATGCGTTTTTACCCATTTCCAACTGATGTCTCATCATATTTTAAGGTATGCGTTATTTCGGCAAAACGAAAACAATTCACACACATTCCTGTGTGATTTGGTTTCGTTTTGCTGAAAGAACACTTACCTTCTTGTGATCAGTGGACAGAACTTTAAAACGGTGGCTGTGTTTAAAATTCCTTAACTTCACAAGTACATGCGTGATTTGAATGATTTATGTACTAAACGAAAGCTTATGGATTCGGCTTTTATATCCTAGATTTTGAAAGTGCTACATGCAGAACTTCACTAAAACAGTAGTCCCGACATTTGGGTTTCGCTTTTTTTTTTTATTCACCCTGTATAGTTCAAGTCACACTACGATGGCATACGATGGCTCATCGTTAGTCAGTTTGATGATCGGGCCAACAGTTAAACCTCAATAAAACGATGTCATGTCACCCCTGATGACGTCACGGTGACAAAAAAACTATTCGGGACACTTCAGATGATGGTTAATGAATACAGCCCTATTCATTAGAAGTTCTAGTCCACGGTAAATAGGACTTCCATTGCACGGTCACACTTTTGGTGGCTCTGACCAAACAGATGACGAGGATTTATTCACCTGTTGTACAGGGTGTTTCAATAAAAAGGAAACCCAACTTTGAAGAACCAGAATGTACAGACTTAATGTTTACTGGCTATAAACATGTTATCATCTGAAAGCGTAATCTCTATGCTTTTCAATGATACCTTGTTTACATTTCCAGGGTCATGCATCACTGAGCGCCACTATCATGAGATTTTGATGCAAAAGTGCAGTTGGTTCACTTTCATGTCAAACACAATAAGCATGGTGTGCATGAGAATAAGTATTCAAGAATAAGACACGAGTGCATAAAAATGCAATGTTCCATTATTGCAACTGCCACCTCGTGAAAATGTTCTTACCATTGCACTCACAAAAACATTTTTGTTGTATACCGTACTATGCTTTGTATATTAAGTTTGAAGTGATACCGTCAAAATGGTCTACAACAAGCCATTAAACTACCAAAAGTGCAGTAACAATTGCACCACGTGCTTTTATATTGATGCATTTAGGGTACACTCCCTTACCTTTGTCACGGTCAATCCTCGGGCATCGATCCTCTCTCCCTGGCATGGATGATTTCAACCACAGACGTTTGTCGAATTCCTCCCCGGGAGCCGGCGGCGGCACGGGGCCGAAGTACAGCGTCCTCATCTTGCTCTCCGCGTGTATCAGTCGCACTGAAAAAAAAACAACGAAATGAGCTTAACAGATCACTAAACTAAAAATTAGACACTTTGGCAAACTAAAACTACGAGCTCTTTATTTAGGTTCCAAAAAGGTACCTGCCCATTTACTTGAGAATTATTTTGCAGTATTTTTTTTCAAAATAAAGTTGTTTTTTTTTCCCTTCAAAATAAAGTTCATCAAGCCAACGCAGCTGTAACTATTGTAACTATTGTCCTGTCTGTCTCACGTATTGTTTTGTTTGTCCCTTGGTCGTACGTTTGTCCATAGGTACGGGCACAAAAGCGTTCTGCTTAACCTTATACCTAAATGTTGTCATTTAATTTCACACTTTATAATTAATCACTGTGTACATAACTATAAAATATACTAGTGACTTTTTCTAATGTATACATGTTTGTACATAATTGTAATGAATGACATCATTGAAATAAATGTTACTATACTACTACTAAGACAGACACACTTTCACTGGAAATATAGTCCTTCGTTTCTGATCGAGGGTAAGGCCAAATGAAGTGCATGAGTAGACTTTTATAATTTCTATATGTATTTGCCTTTGATGGAAAGGAATTATGAGACTGCACACCAAGTTAGCATTAAATTTTGACAAGCAAGCTGTACAAACTTTGTACACTCTCAAAACGCTGGTTAAAATTTTGTTGGTTAAAAAAATGTTTGTTAAAATTTTAACCAACGCTGTGTAAAATTGTCCAATTTTGCCCAACGTTTGCCCAACGTTGGTTATTTTTGTTTTTTAACCAACCGCTGGGCTGTTCACCTGTTCAGCAAAAGTTGGTTAAAGTAGTAAATTTACCCAACGATGGTTGATATCGGGTACATTTAACCAGTGTTGGGTAAAAGGACAACTTTTAACCAACTGTTGCTTACAGGTGAACAGCCCAACGGTTGGTTAAAAAAAATTAACCAACGCTGGTCAAACTATGCCCAAAGTTGGGCAAACGTTGGGCAAATTGGAAAATTTTAACCAACTTTTTAACCAACAAAATTTTAACCAGCGTTTTGAGAGTGTAGGCCTACATTAGCAACACCTTCGTTCGTACTCGGTCTAAAATTAATGTTGCGTTCGTATTGTTTGAAAGCAATACGACAAAGGCCTCGGTCAAAAGAAATCAACTGTAAACCAAGGTAACTTATGCAGCCTGGGTAAAGCCTCACCCCGCACGCACTGCATTATTATTGCGAGATAAATACTGTCATTTTTTTATACAATCGATTTTATAAAGGTCATTTCTTTACACAAATAATTATTTCTGTTCTTCAAAGGTTATACGCATCATTATTGTTACATTATGTACAAGATTTGTTAACATTATCAATTTCTTTCAATTCCGATATCCTGCTGGTATTCCTTCACGCGGACAAGAAAGCAGAAAATGTCGAGGTATGGTTGTGTGAACGTTCATATTTTACTTTTTACTGATCTTTTCAAATATTTGCATTTCGTGGTAAACCCGTTTCGGAGCCCAATTGGCGCATCCCCCCCCCAAAAAAGTGCTCCCTTACAAAGTGAAGCTCTTAACTCTTCATCCAGTCTTTACAAACCACGTATACTTTATTAGCCGTTTTCGCGTTTTTAAAGCCGAATAGGGCGAGGGCGAAAAAAATCGTCACAGGATCTTTGTCAAGCATTGACAGTTTAGGCTAAAAGGAAATTTTGTGTGCAGGTGAAGACGACATTTGTGCAATTTATTTTAGAAACATTTGATAGGAACTTTCCCTATACACTGTCAATGACAAATAACATTTTACGCCGACCCACTTTTGGAAATTCTAAAAGGACGACAGGTCCGAATTGTGTCTAAACTTTATTCAGCTCAATTTCATTTAATCTTTAAAAATGCAAACGATCGTGAAGCACAGGGGCGGATCCAGGAATTTTTGCGGGGGGGGGGGGTGTTCATCAGCAAATCAATGCTGAAATGTAGACAGTTTTTTTCTCCGACACTTGGACTCCGTAAGGCGTAAAACCAATAAGTGTGTGGGGGGGGGGGGGTTAACCCCCAACCCCCTCCCCCTCTGGATCCGCGCCTGAGCATTAATTGTTATCTTACCTTGATAATTGACAAGAGCAACGAGCAACATCGCTAACATCAGGAAACACTCCATTTTGGCAGGAACAATCGAGGCTAGTGAGTCAAGACGCAGCGTGGATGCACACGTTATCTGTGCTCAGCTTATACCAAACTGCTGTCTATACCACCTTACTCCGGCCGCCCAGTTGTCCTTTTGTAACAGATCTCGTCATACAGACCTACTTTTCTCATTCGCTGCTGGTGCAATTAGGGTTTAGAGTCACACGGCATGCAGAGCGATATCCACCAATTACTATTATTGTCCATTTAGAAGGGTTCTGAATCGAGGACTGATGACATCGATCTGCTTCCAATTAGTTCATTAGGTTAATGCTATAAACTTGAAGCATTGAACCCGATCCCACTACTCTATAAAATTTTATCAAATTGCCAACAGAAAACAAAATTGGACCACGCACAAAAAATTTATGACTTTGCGAGGTTTCCGGATCATGACGTCACAAGACCGGAAGTTCATTGTAGGCAGAATTTGAAAATAATACATTTTGTCTTATTCAATTCCATCATTTGATCAGCATCGATATCCAGTGACGATAGTCGTAGACAAAATATAATCAGCTGCAATGTTGACCTCAGGCCCATTTCTGAATCCCAACGAAAAGGGCCCCAAGCTTGTCAATATGCTGCAGAAGTGGTTACGTCATACACCGCCTAGGTCACCCGTTGCCCGTGGTGGTATGTCCAAACACAACCTCGACCCCAGGGTGTCGAGCAGTACGCGCCCATCACTACCTGCTCTCTCACCCTGGTATTGGATCATTTGCATGTGCAAGATTTTTGAACACGTATGCAAATGAAGAATAGTCTGGTGCCTGCATGTGCGTTACATTATCGTTCGTTTTTTGTATGCGGTGTCTGGGGTAAAAACAGAGTCAATTTGTCGCAGCGCGAGCACAGTGTGAGTTACGAAAACACGTACGATTTATTTAATTAAACTGTTACGACCTTATCGAGACACTATGCACATCACATTTCATATTATATGAACAAATTTGAAATGAAATGAGTATTTTCGAGAAGGCGTGGACGAATGATCCCGAAAACACGTACTGCACGTTGTGAATAACAACACCAAGTAAATGATAAAAATCCATTACGAGCCAATTGCGATATCGAATCAGGATACAGGAAGAAAGTTTCCTATCCAGGGCTTACTATTGGAAACAACGTTGGAAATAAGTAAGCACTGGGGACGAGGTTGGTCCAAACACACATATGCCTAGCGTAGTGATGAGCATAAGTGCCCACTTTTGTCAAAAGTTGTTCATCTGTTGAAAAAAATAATGGCATCCCTCACATTTGATTGATGACTACAGTCAGCTACGAAGCATCGTCCCATTTTCCAGTCTTATTTACTCGTTTATTCAGGGAAATTTCAACTTGAAACTGTTTACGCAACTCGCCTGTGCAAATGCTATGTTAAAAATGGCGGACCAGACACTGTGTGGACTGACCACTGTGGGAGATGACCCTGCAGGCTGCACACTTTTACAGTGTATTGGATTCCCGTTCCTCATTTGGAACCCAGCTTGCACCAGTGAGTTCCCAGCCGATCGATCCATCAGCCTGTCGATTTGATCCAAGCCAGTTGATCGGATCAGAGCCTGTCGGTTCGATTTAAGTTTGCCGACCTGATTCCAGCTTACTTTTTGGACCACAACTCTTAACATAATTTCCAGCTATTCATATTGATTCATGTCAAACTGGTTGATGATGCCTAGCAGCGGTCCTACTAAAATGCGTCAACAAGCGTCAACAAGAGTCAACAAGAATCAACAAGAGTCAACGGTCGTCAACAAGCATCAACAAATTTTGTACATGCTTTTCAACATTAAAAGTAGCTTTATATGGAAGAAAAAGCAAATAAAGAACATCTTCTGCATATCAATTAAAGTAAAAACTATTTCGAAAATTGTTTTTTTTTCAACGCGAAGCGTGCGACGACTCTGTCGAGTTTGTGTTGGCCGCCATTTTGTTTATGTGAAGCTAGCCGTACTACGCATGCGTGAAGTGTACAGAGCCATACTACGCATGCACGAAGTGTACTGCGCCATCCAAACAAGATGGCGGCCAACACTAATCGACAAACTCGTCATACATTTCGCGCTAAAAAAACCCAAGTTTTAAAATAATTTTTACTTTAATTGATATGCAGAAGTTGTTCTTTATTGCTTTTTCTACCATATACAGCTACTTTTAATGTTCGAAAGCATATACAAAATTTGTTGATGCTTGTTGACGACCGTTGACTCTTGTTGACTCTTGTTGACTCTTGTTGACGCTTGTTGACGCAGTTTAGTAGGACCCCCTAGCGGCGATGTCCAGTCAACTTTCTGAGATTCTGGGATTCTCATCAGACTGGACCTAGTGACCAAGCAAACTGATTATGCTTTTCTGATGAGCCCTTGTTCCTTTAGCTATGGACAAAGAAACAAAATTTGAAACCAGGAACCTGGTCATTCTGTACATGTATATATTGAGGGCTCATTTATTTAGTTTTCACTACATTGTATATTACATGTAGAACTTTGAAGAGTTCAGAGTTGTGTGCTAAATAAAACATTGACTCCAATCTTGACCCTAACCCTGCTAAATGCCACAGAATGCACCAGTTGTAAAAAGTTGTTGCAAGTTGTTGCATTTAGCAGTGTCCTGATCTGCATGCATTCCATGCCTGCATTGCGTTGCATTTGGCAGGGTAGGTACTTGGTACCAAGGCTGGCACTGCACTCTGTTGCATTTGGCAGGGTGCCTAGAGAATACCCCGTGGGGGTTAGGATTACAATCGGTCCTTTTCCTCGCTGTCTGTGTCCTACAAAACGTGCATGTATGAAATTTATCAGACACAAAAGAATTTTTTTTAATGAAAAAAATGGTTCACCTGGAAAAGGCTGAATTTGGATTTTGTTTCCTGTTTGCACACACAAATATTCACAACTTACTTGTAAATGCAACCAAAGAAACAGTTTGGTTTTGGTTGTTTATGGTTCAGTTGGGACAACAGCACAAAGTGTCTACATGTACATGTACTCATAAGTTTATGAAAGTACAATTTTTTGCACAGGAAATTAGTTGTATGCAATTTGCATTACAACACACACAGAGTATTTTCTTGGCTTTCATGAGAAGGCCACACAGCGCCATCCTCGAAAGCTACCACAGAATGCAAACTCCTCAGTTGCTGCACAAACTCCTCAGTTCCTGCACAAAGTCCTCAGTTCCTGCAGAAATGCCTCAGTTTCTACACAAAGTCCTCAGTTCCTACACAAAGTCCTCAGTTCCTACACAAAGTCTTCAGTTCCTACACAAAGTCTTAAACTCCTGCGCAAAGTCCTCAGTTCCTGCACAAACTCCTTAATTTGTACACAAAGTCTTCAATTCCTGCACAAAGTCCTCAGTTTCTGAGCGAAGTCCTCATTTCCTGGCGCTAAGTCCTCATTTCCTGCAGAAAGTCCTCAGTTCTTGCACAAAGTCCTTGGTTAACAACAAAGTCCTCAGTTCTGGCACAAACTCCTCAGTTCCTGTGAAAAGTCATCAGTTACTGCACAAAATCCTTGGTTCTTGCACAAAGTCCTTCATGTTGATTCACAAATAAAGTTTGCAGTTCCTGCGAAAAAAAATCAGAGCCTGCGCAAAGTCCTCAGCTCCTGCACAAAGTTTTCAATTCCTGCACAAAGTCCATTTACAAAGTCCACAGATACAGACTCCACTTTCAAGTGGATTTAACTTCCGGAAAACTAAAAAGTTCTTAAATTTCTTTAATTAATTCCTGAAGTGTACATGCTCAGTCGCTCAGCTGACTCCAGGGCTGCTTTGAGATTGTCGTCAAAGAGTTGACACCTATATATGGAGGAAAACATAATCGTAATTCCTATTGAATAATACGCTCTTGCTCATGACTGTAACTGCTTTGTTGACTCAAAAAAAGTATCTTGCTGTTGATCGGTTTCGAATGATGAAGAGCAACAATGAAAATCTGTTTACGTGTACGTTGACCCATAGTGGAGCACTTCTGGACCCCTTGAATAGGAAACTTAACTCTTTCACTACTGAATTTAATTTCCTGATTTTTTTTCACGTTTGTACGTAATAAATCGCTGGCAATTCCGCCATGTGTCGATGTGGACGCCGCCATCTTTAAATGTCTCTCTGTAAACAACCTACTCAAAATAACCTGCAGCAGACCCCGGCGAGACGGAGAGCCGTTGGCAGCGGCTCAAACTAGGGTCAGAGGTCATACGATATAGATTATGTAAATAAGGCACACATCATGGGGATACCCCTGTTTATTTACAGTGACGTCACCGAGCCACTGCCAGCTGCTTGCTGTACGACATGTACAGTTCTTGTATGCCCCTGTCAGCAACTGGCCATAGCGAAAGAGCTAACGTGCAAAAATTCTATGCAATTATTTTTGGTACATGGATTTTCCTGTCTTTTTTAAGACACAATTTTTTTGAAGGCACATGTATTATAATCATTTACAAACAAATCTAAAATGACCACTGTTAAGAACTGTATTCGAGCAAACCTAACTAAACCTAGAACCCATCGGCTGTAGGTAGGTGAATCTTCGCGTCATTATCGTTTTCGTTCTCACGTAAGTACGTGATGTGAAAACAAACGTGATCGAACAAGGAGAACAACATGCCGGATATAAAAGGTAATACAAGTTCAAATCCAAGATGAATGTTCTTGGGGTGATTACGGATGATTAGGGCTGTGCATCGGAACCGGGTACCCGAGTACCCGACCGTTAATGGCAGGAATCCGTTCTTGATTATGGGATCGCGTACCCGTAACCAGCTTTACAAATTACTTAGTTACTTCTCAGACACTGAAAAAGAAAGGTTTTGAAGTCATTTGTAGGGGAATTTTCAAAATGAAAACCAGGCCATATGGGAAAACAAAACATATTTCACATTTATGACACTTGCGAAAGCTATGAAGCTCACTGTACACACTTGTATCTTGCTGTACTGATATGCCGATGAGGTAGTATTATCGTGTGGACCTTTGTAAACATTCACAAAAGCAACTTCCGAGATTTGAATTTTGGTATGTTTGTTGTTGGGTTTCTTTGACAGGTACCCGGGTACCCGTGTTTTTCTCAACCGGATAACCGGTTACTGTACTACCCGTAAATGCACATCCCTCGACCTGCGGTTTATAGAAATCATTCAGTCAGAAATTATAGCAAGAGAAAGGGCAATCCAATGTAAAATGCCCACAGGGTCCAGAACCGCAAAGACAAAATGGCGTACTATCAGGCTCTACATACCAGGAAGTTTTGGAGGATTTTTGAAAGATTGAGGGACACAGAGGCCATCGGCATTTACTTGCTACAGAGAGTGCATTCATTCATTTTCTACACATTGATCAATGTTCAATTTGTATGAAATTGCTAAGGAGATGACATTAACCCAAACCACCCTGAATCCTTCAAAAACTTCTTCGCCAAAGTTAAGGAATTTGGAGGATTGAGGTTACATGGCAAAAGTGCGTTACTAATTTCATAGGATGCACTATGTCAAGGTCTTGGGCCAGATCTTGTGTTATTTTTGCTCAACTACAGTGTATGCATAAATATAGGCCTGGATTATGCTTGAAATCATCCGTACTGCTCCAGGATGTCAATGGCAAAGCCTCAACATATTGACAGTCACTGCCGCAGGATTTTGCAGGATTCAGGCAGTGGTCATCCCCCCACGGACCATAATCGAGAAATGATGGAGGAATTTGCAGGATTGAGGCCATGCTATTTTTTCATGAGCCCAATTGGGGGATTTGCAGGACTGAGGCTACATCCTAGCAAAAAGGCCCAGGGAGTCATAGTTAATATTAAAGCTTACCTTATGGGCATGTCTATTGAATAGAAAGGGTTCTTCAGGGCAAAATCGGAGTACACCTCGTAGATTTTCCGGAGTAGAGCTTCGACGCCGCCTTGTTTGGGATCGGCCAACACTATGAGCTTGATACCTGGAGGAAAACATGCCAAAAGGTTACATGTGAACACTTCGTCGGGTGCCCAGCAGAAGGGCATATGAGCATTCTGACGCAGAAATCATTTTCAAGAAAATTGCATTGAAAGGTTTCATTGTTCCCCTGCCCGTATTTTCAATCAAATAGATGCAGTTTTCTTCCCTTTTGCTTGGAACATTTTGGTCATTACGCGCTATTGCATACATGTAAGGGCATATGCACATATGCCCTTCTGCCGGGCACACGACAACTTGCTCTATCACGTGTTCAAATTCACTTTAATCCCGACTATGCCAGACACAAGTTGGAATCAGTTGTGCATCAGTTGGAAAAGTCTAGTGCACTGTGATGCATGCAGCTACCAACACCAGTGCATAAACGGCCAGCTTCTCAGCAGGCCTGCTTTTGAGACATTTGAGAGCTAGTCCCATTGATCAATGTCTCATTTGTATCCTGCTGGGTTAGGAGACCACAGACTCTGAGGCAGTTTGGCCTTGAGACTTTTTGCCTGATGGATCTTGCTGAACAGGGCAGGCTTGCCACTTCGACAACTGTTGCATGTGTGTTTGGCAGGGGTTCTAGACAAAATAACCTGGGTTAACCCTAACCCTCCAGGGTATTTTGGCTAGAAACCCTGCCAAACGCAGCAACATGCAACACTTGTCTAAGTGACAAGCCTGCCCAGTGCAGCAAGATCCATCAGGCCAAAAGTCTCAAGGCCAAACTGCCTCAGAGTCTGTGGTCCCCGAACGCAGCAGGATACAACTGTGGCATTGTTCAATTGGACTAGCTCTCATTGTCTCTGAAGTGGCCGTTAATGCACTGCTGTTGGTAGCTGAATGCATCAAAGTGCACCAGACTTTTCCACCTGGTGCACTGTGTTGAGTCTGGCAGGGTTAGGGTTAGGGCTCTCACTGACCCGTGTGACCTGACATACATCTGGGAGGCAGGAAGTCTGGGTCGCAATTGAAGTAGGCGAAGACTGTATACAATGCAGCGTTGCAACAAAGTAGATGGCATACAAGCCTTCAAAGCTGTGATAAGGGGGACGAACCTGTGTTTACAGGAACTGAGTGCCCATCTCTCTTTCGAAGCGATTGGACCAGACTCAAATCCATGAATGCTGCTGTGGGGGGATCGCCAGACCTCCTCCACAGCGAGTCTGTTACCTTCAAGCATTGAATAATGCGGGTACCCATTTAACACCTGGGTTGAGAAAGGTAATTCTGGTGAAGCGCCTTGCTGAAGGGCACAACATGCACGGCCACGGCGGGGCTCGAACCCACAATCTCAAGAACATGAATGCTGTGCCCTACCGCTAGACCACACATGCCCATTGAAGCTGTCATGGATGGCAAAAACGGGAAGAAATATGCCGAACACACGCCCAGTGATTGGTCAGCACAATTATGACCATCTTGCACAACACAAGTGGTTACAATGTACATGTATGCTGCTTGACAAAGAATTTGTGGTTTAAAAGCTCTACTGACTAGTTTACAAAGCAATTTGTGGTTTAAAGCTCTACTGACTAGTTTACAAAGCATGACACGGTTACTAATCAAACGCTTGCCTACTGCAACGGTGGCCAATCACAGGAAAACAGGATGGTCACATGGTACTCTGTCGTCACACAATCGGACCCTATACTTGCCAATAGCGACTGTCCTACAGTTTTTGCTTTGCTGCCCAAAATATGCCACTATACCATTAGCTTGGCTTATGATTAGAGTTCAGAGGCATGTATGGTAATGAGCTCCTCAGGTCTTCCTGATCAAAATCAACCTGCGCGCTGACCAGAGACCTCCATTTTTTGGGGGGGCCTCTGCCAAGTACACTAGTTCGGTCAAGTATGGTTCCAGAACACAATTTTTTTTGGGGGGGGGGGGGGGCCAAACAAATGTTTGGTCCCCCCCAAAAAAAGTGGGTCAAAAAAATTACAGCGTGGGGTTCGGGGCCCGCTTAAGGGCCCCGAAATTTTTTTTGATTCTAGATGCTCTGTGGTGCGATCTGAGGCAATTTCTGACCACTTTAACCAATGTTTTTTTGAGGAAAAGATGGTGGTGTACTCATTGCCTGCCTTTATTGCGATGTCACATAAAAAAAAAAAAATTATTGGTTTCGTTTGGGGGGGGGGGGGCATGGCCCCCCCCTGGATCCACCCTTGAGTTCGGTTCACTTGTTTGGTAAGCCAAAGCATCCTCCAATTCACTTCAGTTGGAGTGCATTAGAATGTCCAAACACAAAAATTCCAACCACAACCCAACAATCCATGTGTACTTTATGGATGGTAGTATTCCATCTACTCTATCGTATGGAACCATTCCACAAAAAGCAGCCGCCAATTTTCCCCTCTTAACTGACCTGACAGTGTCTGAAGACAATGAAGCTTGAAGGAATCTGTCTCAAGGACCTGGATCCCGGACGACTTCTGCGCTGGAGAGAGCTGGCAACCAATGGCATACAGTCTGAGAAATGTGGAAAAAAGAGCGACATCAGCATTGGAAATAGGGCGACAACATCAAACAATGGAGTAATCACAGCCTAAATGAGTGCAAATGATCGGTGCAAGACAAGTTTTTATGGCTGTCTACTAAAGGGTCTCTCTCAAATGACATCACTTCCCAAATGTACACATTGTACACATTATAGCCTTTAGTCAAGTCCCATGCGCTTACCCAGACACGTGACGCACCCCGGATGCTGATACGTAAAAAGACTAGCACGAGCGGCAAAGCCACGAGGGCCTTTACCATCTCGTGGAGAACGCTTACGTTTTTCTTTACATTTGTCTACCGATTTGGTAGACATATAATGCATTACCCGTTGTGAATTGACCAATGAAAATGCAGAATTACTAACGTAAATCAGCCGTTGTCTAGCACAAGACAGCACACGCGCCATTGCGCGCGTGCTGTTGCTAGTAGTCACTAACAACCTAGATGATTGGTTTACATTGCTTGATTTATATTACGTGAATAAATGAATAAGTGATTAGTTCCACGAGATAGCTTCGCCGCTCGTGCTAGTCTTTTTATGTGCCAGCATCCGGGGTGCGTTACGTGTCCGGATGGTCCGGGTATAGGCGCGTGGGACTTGACTTAAGGCTACCGGAATCAGCATTTTGGGCAAAACATTTTTCATGATGCGCATCCAAATTTTGAGCAACACGCGTGCGTGTTTAAAACATTTTGCACACTGCCCGCACCTGATGGTGTTGAACACGCAGTTGCAATTTTCCTTTGAAGATATCGTTCTATAGGAGGATATCTGTAGTCAATCTGGTTCGAAGGTTACATACACGATCCTCTTTAAAAAAAAAAAGTGCAGAACATGTGCAATTAAAGGGAATAGATCATTTGCTTTTGCTGTAATTTTCAGAAATGGATGGAATTGGGGGGTTAGAAATATATAGCAAATATACCAGTAGTTACATTGACTTTTTGAGGTTTTGGGTTCGAAAATGCTAAAAGAACCCAAGAAAAACAATCATTTTCCTGTAGTCTGGTTCCCTGACTCCATTTAAGAAGAAACAGAGCAGTTTACATATATTGGGGAAATGTAAGGTCAGGGAACCAGTCTAGCTGGCTTGTACCCGTTCATGGGTGTGAAATCGATTGCAAACAAGTGCGATGGTCAACTGGGGCCAGTATTTGAAAAAAAAGCCATTTTTTTCCAACGCTGATCGGCCGATCAGCATTGGAAATTGATACAAAAATACCACTTTTCTTGAAAATGACAGTATACCAGGTGCCATGCCATTTTACAGGATGCTTTACACTGTCAGTCACTAACAGTCCAGCAAGGTATTTCAAAATGATTTGGTATTTTTATTTTTTGATGTTTGCAAATGTTGTATTTTCCCTTTAAAGCTGGATCAGCAACTGATAGGCCGGTAAATATTCAGAAACCTGATCTGAATTCTGAATACTCGAATATTCAATCCAGTTCAATATAAACTAGATATTCCGTACTTATCTGATCCCAAGATCTGGAACCGGTTCCTGAACCAGTTCCTAGTTGGGTATTCAATATTCAATCCAGTCCAATATAAACTAGATATTCCGTACTTATCTGATCCCATGATCTGGAACCGGTTCCGGAACCAGTTCCTAGTCGGGTACACAGGTTCTGATGCACACCCCTAAATACTTACGAGTGAAACATACTGGCCAGCATAATGCGCTCGTTTGTGGAGAGCTTGGGCCGGCCGAACTTAATGGCGATTGGGTAGTTGTCAGGATTTGCGATCATCTCCAGAACGTCGCGACCGTCCTCCAACTGACGCCCCCGCACTGGTTCCCCGTTGATTCCAAGTATGGTGTGCCCCACTGTACAGAATGAAACCAATTACAATATATTTCAGTTCATTATGGCCTTCCCCATAAACTCCATGTTAATACAATGTAATGGAAGTTTTTCATCAAAAACACACCCTGGTCTACATGGATGGACATCACTAATTTTTCCCTGCAGTGACATGTGATAAACGAAGGTGGAAACATACAGTGACATGTGAAAATTTACTACGTTCGCCAAACAGTCGCCTATAATTCTTTCTAATTAGTCTAAATAATTAAAGACTTAGGCCCTAGTCAACCTGTCTTTTAACAAAAGTTACAGTTCTCTCTGAGTCTCACATGAAAGTATACTCTCTGACATGTCTGAGGTAGGTCAAGGTAAGTCAAACATTTTTTTTTTCTGTTTCGAAATTGGCGTCTGGTTGCAACATTTGTTCTGTAATACTGAGGGAAAGATTCACATATCTGGCCATCACTTGTCACCCTATCCACAAACCCTATGACTGAAACTGGTCTGAAAATTTCAAAAGTGTTTTCTCAGTAAAAACTAAAATAGTTCAATATTTTTCCTGCTAGTACTAGTAGTACTGGCCTAGGCCTACTAGCATGACTAGTAATTTTGACTTTTTATGACATATTGATTACTTTAGTAACAATGCATGACACTTTCTGGTCAAATGGCTAATTGTTCCCTTCACTCAGCTGTTCAGTGACCTAGGCTTATCACAGTGATAGTTCACTGAAGCGAAAAATTAGTGATGGCCAGATATGGGAATCTTTCCATACTGAGTAGGATGGAACGCCGTATTATCGCGGTACTTATCACGTTTCTCGTTCGGAATAGAGTTTGCCCACTAACCTTCCTGAATTGTCCTGTCTTTTGTGCTGTATAACTCTTCCTTTTTAAATTAATATAAAAAAATCTGACAGTGGTGTGGTTATTTCCATGTACGATGCCTGTGAAAATAGACACGCGCGGAGTGTGCGTACGGAGGTGGACTCCCTATTATCGCGGTATGTGGGAAGTGGTTTTTATAATGATCCCAACTTTTTTGTTCATAGTTTATGTTTGACCAAAACATCCCCTGAAAAAGTCTGATATTCTCCCTGTAACGTTCAAGTTGATTACAGACTATATTTCTGCAGGATGATTTCTTAAAACCCTGCCCTTCCCCCGAAAGGAGAACACAAATCCCTGAGGCAAGTCTACTGATCGGCGATTGAGGGCGCCATTCACTTTACACGGTGTCCCGTTCGATTTTCGCTAACGCGCGGTGCTCATTTTGATCCCGTAAAAGTTGTTACGATTTCGCACTACAAATATCGTCCTTCGACTTCATTTTACATTTGCAGCTGAAGAATGGGAACCAGACAATGGACATTTCATGGACGGAGCACAATTAAAGATTTATGTTAAAATATAAACGGTACCTTTTAACAGACACGTTGAGGGAAAATTTTGCAAGTTTTGGAAAACGTTAATATTTGTTAAAATCGTTAAAAGTCCCGAAAGACACAACATTTTTTAATCGTCCTTTTTATAGAACTCGGTAGAAAATCCTTGAGGACTGGTGAACTGGATAATAAGCGCCACTTGAAGGAGTTTTGGCAACGCAAAAAGAGAAATTTCCCATGCCGCGATAATAGGGATGCCGCGATAATAGGGAGTCCGACTATACTACTAGTAATTACTAAAAAGTATTGGGAACGAAAGACCAACCTTTGATTCCATCCCGTTGTCCGAATGACACAACCACCCGCTCGTCGTAAATTTTCAACGTCAATTCCAGCGGGAAACTGAAGGTCTTTTCCACCTCCGTCTTCGGTTGAGTGTGGTCCATCTGGTAGATCAGGCCCCCGGCCCGATTGATCACGTACACACTATAGATTGGCATCTTGTTTTTCGAGGATTTTCGTTGGCCAAAAAAAGGTGCAGCAACACAGAAAACGCTAACTTTACAAGGAGGTGGTCGCCATCTTCCCTAATAGCGCCCTCTCTAGTTGGTATCTCTTTTACGTGAAACGGGCCCATAATAATGGTGCTATATTTAGCTCTATGGGTGCACCGCACTAATAAAGGTGACCGACCGCACCGAAAGCGGACAGAACTACAAGCTCACAGTCCTGTGCACGGCTTCCACTCATATTTTTCACAAACCCTCAAGTTTATGGCCCACTAGCATCAAATTAAAGCTTATTTCATCATATTTCATTTTCTTTTTAATTTTCTGGGGGTCAACTGATGACTTTTAGGAGAAATTTCCATCCGAAGATGACCACCCCTGAAATTGAAAAACGATGCCTACACTCCATTGCAAAATAGAACGCTTTAAGGGCCAACATTTCATCCAAATTGAACGGAACTACAAGCTCACAGTCCTGTGCACGGCTTCCACCCATATTTTTTACAAACCCTCAAGTTCAAGTCTTGATTTTGAGGGATTTTGAGGGCATGCAAATCGTGATTTGGCCGGCGTAGGTACTAAATCGGACCGATTTACTGGTCTGCAACCTTGTGGATGACCGCGTTTGTGTCACCATCGTCGTTTTTACCCCATATAATTTCCCTCAAAAATCAAAACCCTCCCCTCTTTCCAAATATGAGTCCTGCAGAGTGTCATCGTCATCTGCTTAGTGAGAAAGTTCAGTTTCGTTCTCTTATAGAAACCGACGGGGTCCGGAACTTCACACTCCCCAATAAAATTGGCCTCACAAACATCAAAAACGGACACCAACAAAACCGCTTTCAATATTAATAATCAACCCATGTTACACTGCAAAAACTGTTGTGTTAATTTAACACCATTCGGTATCTATACACACTAAAAATTGCGGGGTCAAATTGACCCCGATATGAGTCTTCTGCACATGAGTCCTTTTCAGGGTTAAACAAAAATTACGCTTTCTAGGTCAAAATGATCCAGAAAAATGTCATTTTTGACCCGAGAAAATCATTTTGACCAGAAAAGAGGAAATTTTGACCCTGTACAGGGCTGTGCAGATATAGACGCAGATTCTGGGTCAATGACCCAGGATTTTTAACAGTGTATAGGACAACACCAGTAAAATTAAACACCAGATGGTCATATATAGATACCAATGGTGTAAATTTAACACTGCAGTTTTTCAGTGTACCTAATTTTCGCATATTACTAGGGCCTACATGAACATCCAATGGGATACACCGTTTTTCGTCCTTTTTGTTGTTATTATTACATGCTCGGCGACGGAAGAGTTTCTCGAGACCACAGATGTAGGGCCTACTCTTCCCAGTGCCACTAGAATATTTGCAATATTAAGTAGCCTATCTAATAGTGGACTTTTTTTTCAGACTAGACAAATTTCACCGTCACTTCAAGGAACACACTTTACACACAACACCATTGATTTTAATCACTCATTGTTAGTCAGTGAAAATCTGGGTTGAAAAAATTGAGATTTTCAACTTGTGCGCCATTTTTAACGCTCTAGTGATTCTCGCATGACCGAGCAAACAATTTGATCCTGGGAAGAGCCAAGTCAATAAACAATGTACATGTAGCAAGTAAAGGAAAGGCTTGAGCGTTGTCAAAATAAACTTTGCATTAAATGTGTGCGTGTGTGCGGTAACTAGGGACGCTTAAATTCTGACCTTGTTTGTCAGTTAATTGTTCCCGAGCGAATTGCAAAATCCACTCTGGACAAATAAGGGGATTTCCCTTCTTTTATAATCGATAATAGTTGTGCAACCCGTACCGGGGTGGTCTTCAACAGTGACAATGAAGAACAACTTACTATGAACATGGAGGCTATGAAGGAATAAAAAAAATAATTGTTTGGAAGTTCCCCATGGAATTACCACTCCAGTATTTAATTTATCATGTTTCCCCCCTGCGGATTCGATTCGGGGGTTTCTTTTCTTGTTTTGCCCTGATTTTTTTTAATTCGATTTTTTTTTGTTTACTGCATAGGCCTACTGTACTGGCAATTGCCAAGTTTATTGAAAATTCACATAAGATACGGTGGCGCGAAAGTATTTTAATAATAGTACTGAGTATAGGTCTACACATTCTTTTTGCTTTACATTAAATTTGATTTATTTTATATTCGCCCCATCCTCATCCATTCCATCGTCTTGCAGGCCCAATTAGCAAGTAAGAAACAAACTCGCCACACCAGCAACCCACCCCCTCCAAAAAGATATAAAAACCTTAATAAACAGAAAAGAAACAACTGACACGACGCTTCATTGGTCAAAACGTTCCAGAGTATGCTCCTGCCCAAGAGCAAAAGTAAAACAAAACAACAAAAACAAAGAGGAAAATAACAGTTGTTGTCCTGATGCAGGGGCCACCGTTTATTACAAACTGGTTACAATACTTTTCAGTGGTCGTTTAATTTTTTTTCGGTTTAAAACCACACCAAGTCGGGCTCCCGACTAAACTGAAATATTCTGTCTGGATATTTTAGAATGCATAACAAAACGGAAACAGAAATCGCGCATAAATACAGGCAAAATACAATCAAGGCAAATTAACTAGAAAGCACTCTAAGAGGTTAAACAATTCCTCACCATACAGGGTGAGTCAAAAGGGAAACCCACATGTCGGGACTATTGTTTTAGTAAAGTTTTGCATGTAGCACTTTCAAAATCTAGGATAAGCAAACCAAATTCATTAGCTTTGTTTTAGTACAACAATCATTCAAATCACTAGTGTACTTTTCAAGTTACGATATTTTAAACACAACCACCGTTTCAAAGTTCTGTCCACGCATCACAAAAAAAAACCCGTGTGCGTTCTTTCAGCAAAACGAAAACAATTCACACACATCCCTATGTGATTTGTTTTCGTTTCGCTGAAAGAACACTTACCTTCGTGTAATCCGTGGACAGAACTTTAAAACGGTGTGTGTTTATAATTCCGTAACTTGAAAAGTAAATATTAGGTGATTTGAATGATTCTTGTACTAAACGAAAGCTTATATGAATTGGGCTTTCATATCCTAGATTTTGAAACATTAATTAGCTCTTTTTATTGTAAGTGTCTAGTTTTGAGGCTTTGAGTCTGTTTAAGTTGGTTATTGGCCTTTGTTGTTAGGTTTTGTTCTTTTGGTTTTATCTTAGCCTTTGTAAATACATTCTTTAACTTTGCTTGACTTTATTTCCATCCAAGATTGGTACAGCTACAATGATTAGCCACTTTATGATTATTATACAAAACTATGACAAAGTAAACACATTTTCGTGGTGTTAAGAAATATGAAGAAGGAATGGAGGGGACCCGCAAGAAGCAAAGCTTTTGGAGTGCGATTCCCCTGCAAAACATTAACAAGGAATTAAATGGTAAACAAATACATTACAAGGACAAGTCAAACAAATAAACTGGTGAACTAAGGGTGAAATTTAAAATTTACATCAACGCAAATGCTAGATTCTTACAAAGATATGAACATCCAACCACAACAATTCGTTAAAATGATTGATAAGCACATGAGTTACAACAATGAATTGAATTATAAAACATAAATGTTTGAAGAGAATCAAAAAGATTTTTTTTTTACATGAGCAAGAGTACTTGTTGAGAATTAACTGTTTAAATTTAGGCTTAAAGTTTGAAACAGATGCTAAACCTTGTAAGGATTTATCTAACGAATTCCAAAATCTGGGTCCTTCAAGTTTAATCCTTTTTTGTCAAAGGAAGTTCGGGAAATTGGTAAGTGAAACTGAGATGATTGACGGGTTAAATATGCATGAACAACATTGTTTCTGGAAAACATTTGGATAAGGTAGGTTGGCAAATCATTTTTTTGTTAGCTGGAATAAAAAAACAGTGCACTTCTTTTTTTTTTACAGGACGGTTGTGGCGTCTCGACGCCACAGATTTCCCAAAAAAATGCAGGCTTAGCCTAACTTAACATACTTAGGTCTATAGAGACATTTTCTTGACTGTTTGGAACTGTGACATCACTTGTAAACAATTCTGCCAATTTTGAGAGAGTTGGCGTGTTCTTTTTTCAAATTGATTAAAATTATCGTGGGCTTGCCTGCGAGCCAAGACTTGCAAGGGCTTCTAAATACCTTCGTATCGGGGTTGGGCGTCTGATGTTTCTGCGACTGGCTGTCGGATTGGCTATCGCCCGAGTACGGGACGAATTACCTTGAGCATTCGTGTTGCTGCGGATGAGGGTGTTTGCACCGTTGGTCTGTGACGTAACAAACATCTCCTGTATTTGACTTAAGCGGGCGAGGCCGACACCGGTCCCTTGCAGCTCGTGCGTGAACGTCGATCCGTTCCTCACGCGGATGGCCTGCAGTACGCGGTTGACGTCCGCTGCCGCGTCTCTCGGAATGTTCGACAAGTCCGGGGTCACAAACCCTCTGCAGAGCGGGTTGCAGTGATGGTTCTGGAAGAACTTGATCATGCCGAATACTCCAAGATCGGTGGGACCGTAGAAGCCGATCCCCTTGTTCAGGCTGTGGATGGCCGGGTCGGTGAACACGTAGCTCCGTTGACCGCGCACTCCCTGCAAATCGCACACCAGGATCGACCCGCGGGACTCGTGGAAAGTGAAGTGGCTGAAAGCCGCTGGGAGAAAGGCAGCCACGTTGTGGTTCACGTAGGACGAGTTGCTGAGGAACTTGACGTACTCGCCCTCCAGGTACCTCTCAATCGCCACGCTGGCTCCCTTGGGGATCATCTCGGTAGCGGAAGCCTTAGTTCCCGCCAACTTGCCTTTAACTTTCCTGGGGATCCGAATAAATCCCAGGAACTTGAAGGCTGCTGAGTTATCGATCTTGGAGACTTTGGGCAGGACGAACTGGATCGGTTTGTTGGTCCGATGCTTGCGGTTGAATATTTGAGCCATCTCGTGGGCTTTGAAAGACGCCCGGATATCGGCCTTGTAGGCTACCTCTCCCAGCATTTCACACCACTGCTCTTTATACAGTTTCACCACGCACATTTCCCCCTCTAGTTCGAGGTCACCGTGGTAGGTGCCCCTGTAGGCCAGCCTTGACACGCCCTGAGCGAACCAGTCGTCCTCAAATTTTACCCACACGGAGGTCCCGTCGATAGGGAGGCACCTGTTGCTCTGGTTAACGCCCATCTTGAGTCCAACTATTCTGAAACGAAGAACAAAACATAAGACACTCAAACAGAATGATTTTTAAAAGAACATGTCGATGTTTTTGCACGGACCAATCAAACGACACATCAATCTTAATATCATGATATTCATAGGCCGACTTATTGAAATTTAATAAATTTAAAACAAAAATACCCATTATAAAAAGATCTTAACAAGTTTTCCGTCAAGTTCAAAAAAGGTAACATCAACATATACAGTATTGACAGACAACATTTTCCCGGTAACGCTAACTTGCATGCGTAGGCCTAGAACTTACCTTAATTATTGTTCAACGCAAACAAACTGCTCTTCGGTGACTCCTCTTGACCAGCGAGGTTAACCGAACTAACACCACGGCATAATGAAGTAAAAAATATTCCACTAAACCACCACCCGCCGTGGCATCACGGAAATAGGCGATTGCGCAAGAAAAAAAAAAACTTTCTTTAAGGCCAAAAAAAAAAAGTCTCCGGTTTCTGGTATGGAGCTTGCCCAAAAAGTGGTGCGGCGACGCGGCTTTTTCATTTTTTTTACCTGATGTTTTTGCTTCAAATGTGTGCTGATGACTGCAAATGGTGCCCGACTAAACTTAGTGCAAATATGGGAGTCCAGAGAAGCCACATAAAGCTTATTCTCGACCATAACCCAATCTAAAAACACATTAAAATTGTGTAGCAGCAGTATTCCAGTCAAACCAGTGAGTTTGGCGGTTTTGGACATCATCTTTCATTAAAAAAAAACTGTTTCATTTTGCCGACGCGCATGGCTACGGCGACGCGCGCGCATACCAGAAACCGGAGACTTTTTTTTTTTTGGCCTAACAGGAGTTATTGATTTACATCATAGGGAATTTCCCTTCACTTTACCGCCATTAATTTGTGTCCAGATTGTCAACGCGCATGTCCAGCGAAGCAATTCTATAACTTGCCCCGACAATGAAAAGACAAGAGCAGGGGACTTGCCTCCCACGTCGGCCACGTGACCAGTTGATTTGGCTGCAAGTGCAAACACATAATACTTAAACGCCTCAAAGGAAAGTATTGAAAAAAAAAAAACGAGAGCAAATCTCGTTCAGAAAAAAAAGTAAAGTCTGTCACAAGCCAATGTGGCCCATCAGGCCGGCATTTATCTCTGGTATCAGTAGCATGAAACGACTGAGAATATTTCTATTCCCCCTGGACGGGATGCAAGTCCATTGCACGTTACCCCCTAGCCTTTCGCCAAGGCAATCGTGGCTTAAAGCGGCGGTACACTATAAGGTCCTTGTCAACCTTTGCGAACAAAGCAAAAATGAACTTTAAAAATACCATACAAAGACGTAAGCAGCATTTTGTTCAATCGTGAAGCAGGGGCCACGTTTATTACAAACTGGTTACAAAACTTTTCAGTGGTTGTTTGAAACCGGTTTAAAGCCACTCACAGGACGTTAAACGGGACCCCGACTAAACTGAAATATTCTGTCTGGGTGTTTTGTTAATGCATCTGAATGGAAAGTGAGATAACACAAAATACCGGCAAACTATAAACCGGAAAAATATATTTCATATTTATAAAAATATTTAGCACCAAAAATAATAAAGCCAATTTCATAAGCTACTTTCAGATGAAAAAAATACTGAAATTGTCAATCCGTTCAAAGATATCACCATTTAAACGCAATGACACTAAAACCTGTTTCGTAAAAAAACCTTATTGTGTATTCTGACTGTGGAAGAATAAAGAAAATGTCACCGAATACTGTTTCAACAACTGTCAACAACTGCAGTACACAATGTCTTTATTAACGACCCTGGTTAGGCGAACAATCTGATTTATAAAATCCCCTTTTTTTAAAAGACAGGCCTTCAAATGGACTCTGTTGAATATTTTAGACTTTTAAACTGAGGTTTTATCGCTGGTGATGTTTGAAGACAATGTGACGACGATTCTTGAAATTGCATTTTTGAACGAAAGAGGTTTTAGGGTCATTGTGTTTAAATGGTGGTATTCTGTGAACGGATTGAGCAATTTCTGTAAATTTTTCATCTTAAAGTAGCTTATGATTGGCTTTCCAGTCATTATTATGCTGTGCTACACATATTTTTAAATATGAAATATAATTTTTGGGATTTGGGTTCCGCTTTCGAGAAAATACGGTGAAGCGAATCAAAAATTCGTTACAAAACCCATCAATCTCTCAATGTAGCAGTCAATGTGAGCTATAACAATACTATACAATATAAAGCGCCTTATATCGAGGATGGCAAAACGCTTTACAAGAACTAAAAAAACTTCGTAAGCTACAATAACTGTACAATGATAAAAAACAATACAAGATATACTTTGCTAATAGTACTAAAAACTACTATTTACGAAAGTTACAAGGTACACGAAGGATTAATTAAACAACAAAGATAAATGTAAATGCAAAGACTTGGTGAGGACGAGTAAATCTTAATATAGGTGTATATACATTATTTTTTGTGCTTGTCGTTCGCTGCTGAAGAAACTATAGTTTTGGGCACTGCCTTAATTGGTCCCAATTTAAGGAATCAAGAAATCTGAGGACCCGTTTAACATCTCTGCGGTAAACCCGATTTACCCGTAGTGTGTCATAAAAACCAGTCCGCCAGTGCCTCAATTCGGACAATTCACAATGCAGTGCGCCACCAAGAGTTTGCCACGGGAGAGTTCATTTTCCCCAGTGCATTGTGGGAGATGGTCGACAATTCACAGCGCAGAACATTCGAAATTGTTTATTTTTCCGGTCAGTGGTTTCGTAAGCGTATGATTCGAGGATCTGTTTGCCCATTTCTTTTCTTATCAATATGGTGCTTTTTGTAAGGTGGCAGAACACTTATGCCCCAATCTATGACATATTAGCTCAATGATTGTCTACCGACACTCATTCAAATGGGCCATGTTTTGTCGACCGTAAACTTGAAAAATTAACTCTCCGTGGCAAACTCATGGCGGCGCACTGCATTGTGAATCGCCCGAATTGTGACACCGTCCTCACTTGTATACGCCACTTGCTCTATCCATCGTGCGCGCACTTGCCTTGTTCTCAACTGCCTCTATTAGTACCGCAGATTTGTGATGGGTTGTTCATTTGATGAAAAAAGCATTGAATTTGGCACACAGAGTATGCCATGAAGGTTGTTTGGCTATAGGGCCATCGCAGATCTGTCCTTTGAAAAAAATATGGGAAGAATAACATGCAATGGCAGCCAATTTGAAAAATTGCTTGTCATTCTACCTGTATTTAAGTACAAATCCTGCGATGTGCCGAATTCCGTGCTTTTATCAGCAAATGAACAATTTGCACCAGTCTGCCTATGAATGAATACTTATGAATACTTGCACCATCTGCTTGCGTGCCGCCACCAGCACCCCGACCCAACCCCGTTTTGTTTTTTTACATTGCTTTGCAGAACGGCAAATATACCTCAATATGCGTAGTGGCCATTAGAGGGCATGTGTGGTATCCTTGATCGGTTGCAATGAATGCACAGCACGTTCACGCGTGAACATTCCAGCAAAACAAAGGCACTGCTCCTCTAAGATGGCTGCTACGTAAAAGGTCTATTACCGCTACATTTTGGGAAATCCGTGTAATACGGTCTAAGATTTTTGTGGATTATCAGTATCGTTTCAGTTTGCAGTAATAACTACTGTCGCTCAGTAGATATTTAGTTCTGATAGGAACTTGTCCTGCTTTAAGTTCTAAAAGAACTTGTCTTTGGTCTCAACGATTCGACTAGCCTGCTCTTGTCATCGTCAGGAGACTACTGGCGAAAGTTGATAATAAGCAGGGCAAGTTCTTATCAGAACTAAATGTCTACTGAGCGACAGTAGTTATTACCATAGTGTTACTGCAAACGGAAACGATAATAATACGATCACCATCTTTTCAGGAACCCGTAACTGCCGGTATAAAAACGCCAGTTATTTCCGTTAACATAAAATACTCAAGAATCAAAATTAGGATAAAGAACATTTTCAAAGGGCATATACGGCATGGGATGTTTTGGATTGCTATATATAATTGAAGTTAAGGTCTGGTTGAAATAAAAAAACTAAACTAATGTTTCCGTTAAGTTCGAACACGAACACGAAAAAAACACGTTTGTTTACATCGGACGTGGAGAACAGTTTGTGGCATACATGTACGCCTATATCCAGCCATACATAAAGTCATGGAGTTAAGGGCTCCATCTTTGGGTTGTGACAGCATCAGACTGGTCCCCCAAAACGGTGGTAATTTGATTAATCTAAAACAAATGTGGTGGCTTGTCAACTAAAAACACTATAATTCACTCAACCGATGAACACACACGCGTCTTTAAGAAATGTTTTCAAAGGAACAAGTGCGATTCGAGGCACAATTAGTCAAAATTTTGACCACCGAAATTCGTTCTCACGCGCCATCGCAAGAATACCACAAAAACGCCCAGTTTGTAGAGAATAGTTGTGTGGCGTTTACATGCCACTTTTACATGTTCTTTTCGGATAAAATAATTTCGTTTGAAACAATACATTCTGTAAATGAAATGTGTACAAAGCCAGAACAAAGGCCTTGGATGTGTTTAAGAACGGACACACACTTTCCCCTGTCTCTACGTGTTGGATGGACAGGTTCTTCAATGGACTAGTCAATGTTCAATCTGTAGCCTGAAATGGTTGCGCATAGATTGGTTCCAGATTGAGATTGTTGTGAACTCGGTTCACGTCAGCGTTAGGTACGCCAGACGCCGCGCTCAACCAATACGTGTACGATGTGGCACTTTGAGATGGCATACTGGTTACGATTCTATCCAGATTGGACATATCGCTAGCACTTAGAGAAACGTTGGTAATTCTTGGTTTCCTGAGCCTTCTACACATATCATTGCACCTGTGGTTCTTAAAGAACTTTACAATGCCAAACTTCCCTAAATCAGTAGGGCCATAGAAACCGAGTTGCGTGCCGCTGCTGTTAACCGCTGGATCAGTGAACTTGTACCCAGAACTACTGCGCACCCCTTGCAAATCACAAACCAAAGCCTGGCCGTTGGATTCGTGATAAGTGAGATGACTGAAGGCAGCCGGGGTGGCGATATCTGCTCTTTCTGAGTAGCCAGAGTTGCTGTTAAATTTGACATACTTCCCCTCAAGGTACGGCTCGACAGCGAGGGTAGCGTTTGCCGGGATAATATTGGAAACGCTGTCGGAGGTGCCAGCGAGTTTCCCTTTTACCTTTCGTTCAAATGGAATGAAGCCCAGTAAATTGAACGCGGCACGGGTGCTTACTCGGGTGAATTCAGGTTTCACGAACTCGATCGGTTTGGTCGATGGCATCCTGGCGTTAAACAACTGCGCCATCTCGTGAGCTTTGCGATAGGCACGGTCGTCCGCGACCCAGGCATATTCCGACAGGCGGTCATACCACTCTTCTTTGTAGACTTTCACCACGCAGGGTTTCCCTTCAAAGTGGGGGTCCCCGTGAAATGTACCCCTGTAGGCATACCGGGAGGCCCCTTGAGCGAACCAGTCGTCTCGAAACTCCACCCACGTTGATGTTCTCCCGATCAGTGCAGAGGTGTTGCTTTGGCTACTACCCATATTGCAAAGACTTAGATAAGTCTGAAATGAAAACATTTCAGCTTCGTGAAAATATTTTGAACAAACAATATTTGTAAACAACAAACTGAAAGTTACTAGATGGGTATTATTACTGATTGCCGCGAATTCACGTAGGTGAGCTTACTGAAATATGAGGAATTTCGTGCTTCACGCAAAACAGGCACAGTAATTTTGACAATGAATGTAAATTCCGCGTTGAAAGTTTTCTCCTTTTTGTTAAACAGCTTATTTTTGGCGATTTATCTCGTGCGCGCGGCCAGTAATTACAATGGAACAGCGCCCCCACACTGTTGGCTTGGATGTCATGACCTCTGCCCCTAGCTGTTTACAGTTCAGGTCATGACATCCGGGGTCTTGTGTTCTATCGGTTAAGGTTTGTACACTTGTGATGAATGCGTGATGGTACAGGATATGGCATTTCATTAAAGTTAATTCAAATGTTATTCTTTAATGTTCAGTGTTTTGTTGTTCCATATGAGTAATGTATGTTTGCTTAAAACTGTGTATGAACGCGCTTAAAGGACACATGCAGTGGAAATTCAGCTCATGAAGTTGTTCTCATGCACATTAGGCCTACTATATGTGTTGCAACAAACAAGTGCTTAATACTTGTTTTCATTGGAAGTGACAAGAAAATGGTAAATTTTTAATTACACTGTAGTAGCAAATCCTTTCATCAATACACGTAAGAGGGTGCTATTCTGTCTGTCCCACAAGGTACTCCTGCTCAAACGTGCGTATGAACAGTACAAACATTAATTGTCTTTCCAAAATACCCACACAATTTTTTTTAGGAAATATTGGCCACTAACATTGTCCAAACAAGTTGTTTAACATGATAAACTATTTACCTGTTTATCATGTTAAACAGCTTGTTTGGACAAAGGTAGTGGCAAATATTTCTTCAAACTTTTTATTGTAGGTAATTTTGAAGGACATATTTTTGGACTGTTCATATGCAGTTTTGACAAGGAGTTCCTTGTGAGACAAAAGCAAAATAGCGCCCTCTTACATGTATTGATGAAAGGATTTGCTAATAATCGAAAAAATTAACCCTTTCTGGTCACTTCCAATGAAAACAAGTATTAAGATCTTGTATGTATTGTTGCAACACCTAGTAATGAGCATAAAACAAGGAGAACTGAATTTCCACTGCATGTTTCCTTTAAGTACAGAGCTATTTGTAATTTTACAAACTCACCGACTATACTGCGCACACTGGACGGTTGGCGAAGACTGCAACACGAACACGCTTACAAATATCTGCTGGATGGTAAAAAAATGCATATTTCATAGTAAACAAATAAATGAAGCTGTTTGTTTGATTCATTTACTAACATTTTATGATTATAATGGCATGGCCTAGCGGTTAAGAGCACCGGACTCATGCTCTGGTGTTTCAGATGCAATAGTAGCGTGAGTTTGAGCCCGGGCCCGGACCCTTGTGCCCTTAAGCCGGAGGTCCCGTATGTGTTGTATAAGGCCTAACGCACGTAAAAGAACCCAGTAACACTTATTGCTAAGAGAAGGGGGTTTGCCCCGGTGTTTGTGGCCTCCTAGTTATACTCCCTTGTGGAAGTCCTTAGGAGAAGAACCAACCAAGTACCAAGTAATACTATGAAAACTGAGTTGTACAACGTTTTGTTTCAACTGAAGAAAGATAAACACTGTTCGTTGTCAACAGTCAAACTGTGGATCACTGACCACTGACTTTGACATGAAAACAATTGTATTCGTTAAATGCAAAGCCTGGGTGTCGCTTCCACAAATTATTTCTCAAATTGGGATTAACAAAAATGAATGCGTTCAGAAGTAACCTTCTTTACAGCAATTTAGGTTTAAACTGCAATTTAAACGTACCTGAATTTTGGATTATATTGAGCAACAAATCACTGTTGTTTGTTGAATTCTTCAGCTCGGGTTCTTTTTTCACCTCAGAAATATCTGAAATTAATAAAATATGTACAAAAAAACTAGAGATCTATACAGCAGTTTTTGATCGATACAGCAGAATTATATAGAAATTAGGCCTTTTCTGTGGAGCAAAGGGTTTATACAGGCTTTTTTATATAGAATATTATAAAGAACTGTATAGAATTTTATAGAGGTTCTCTCCAATTTCTTAAAAAAAAAACATTTTATAGAGCTCTATAGAAAATTTGGAACTTTTTCTACGAACTATTTTATAGAACTCTATAGAATTTGCGAGCCTGTACAGTTCTACAGCACTGTATAAAACTTTCTAAAGAATTCTATAGAACTTTTTTTCTAAGTGGTGAATGTACGTGTAAAATAACGTGTTCTACATAACCCTCGAGGACCGACGCACACAGGGAGAACAACAGATCCTTTCAATCCTTGGGAGTTGGATTTTTTGTTGGAAACGGTCCTCTGTAGTAAGTTTGTGTGCTTATTAGTCTGTGGGATTGGGGGAGTGTTATATCATTGTCCTCGAGAGTATAGTAAAACAATAGTGGGTTTACCGCTGTGTGTACCTTAATTGAACACCTTGAAAACAAACGAGGACCCAGATACGTAATGATACTATAGATTTATTGTGAATTATGTGGATATACGTGATGTTTTAATCAAACATCCAGCAAGTACTGAACAACACTTTTTATATCAGTACAATTGCATATATTTTTCATTCTTTAACAACATCAGGACTGGGACTTGTTTGGAACTCATATAGAGGACTTCAGTAATATTTTTTTTCTAGAATATAAAACCTGCATGATATAATCAGCCTCCAAGGAACGAAATGAATAACTAATGCTGTACACAGCATTATACCATGTACATTGTTTACATAAATAAACTAAATAGAACAGTTCTTGTTTAATGTTTGACTGTTTAGTTTCATGACGCAAAATTTAACAACTCGTGTGTTTCAGCAGTCAACTTCCTATGTGTATATTTAACATCCCTACTTTTAAAGTGGACTAGGACCAAAGCCGTAATGCTTTCTCAAGGTTGAACGAAACAGTACAGCCGTGCTTTTAGCCGCACGTGAACATCACCCTACTTGTGAGACCTGTAGTAAATCATCACCCTGCTATCTTTAGAAAAAGGGGCAACAATTAATACCATCACGTACTTAACCACATGTCCTTCATACAGAATTATCCGCCCAGACCTTAAGATATAATCAATTCCTTGAATAATGCAACTGATCCATGGGAACCGGCGCACATCTATTTATTTTGATTTCTTAAGAAAACGTCTTAGGGGATTGAAAGACTATCCCCCCCCCCAAAAAAAAAACAGGACAGGAGGAAACTAGGCAAGCAATAAGTGGCAAAGAAACATTTGCTATACTAAGTTGTACACAGAAAGTGCAGTGAAGAAAAAAATGCCTGTTGTTAGCGTTTTCGTCTTGTAATTTTGCTATTTCGAGGTCGAAATCGAATGCTTTTGTTGGGTCGTTTATTGAGAAGTACATGTATCAGACCACAGATCCTACACGGGATTAACTCCTGGTTAGACCCCAGACATCGGCCCGTACTGGTGGCAAATACTATGAATACTGTCAACAACAAAGACCGCTGCGCGCGGTATGGCTTTCATATTTGCAGGGCTCTGCGTCTGGATCTGGTGTCGAAGTCTATCAAGCCAGCTTATTATTTGTTTTGAATATTCATGAACCTACATTTTTGGTCTTAATTACAACCATGTTAATGCCGAGCATAACATCTTTAGCTTTGAAATGAACAATGAAATGTCACTTTTGTTTCATCGGTTCGGGATCACATATCTCTCTCAATTTGTTTTAATAAAAGCCTTAAACGAAATTGGGGTAAACGGTGTTTTCCTCGAAATTTGACTTTTCATTCCCGGGTAAATACTTCATCTATGACGACAAAAACTGCACAGTACCATCTGTTATATCCTAAAGTATTTATTATTATTTATTTGTTTACCATTTTGGAACAATTATATCTTGCATAAGGAGTAGTTTTGCCTACAATTTTGTGAATACATTGTATTTCCGTTTTAGATGTCATGCAAAAACCCAACACAATGGCACACCTGGACAATTCGCGATTACGCGCCAACGGGTAGTAATGCACGCGTCTTATCAATTAAGGCAATTGCGATCAGCGCATTTTGTACTTAAGCTCAGAACAGTTGTTTATCCTTGTGTGTAGAATCCGTGATCATACCATGGCATCCTGATTGGATCAGTCCAGATCATGTCCAAATGTTAAAAAAAATCGACACATGTCGAGTCAAAGTAATAACACCTTTATTGGGGAAACACTTTATAGCCCCATAAATGTGGCCAATTTACTGGACTACCTCCGTAAATAAAGGCCACACTTCCAACATGTAAAAAACATGAAGCTAAACTTGTCAAATTTTGATTTTCACATTAAGGCTTAGTTTGCAGTTTATTTTTGCTTTAGAAGCATACTCACCCCCTTTATAGGCTAATCAGAAAGTGCTGCCTTTTTTCAGATGTCTAATTTTCGTGAAATTTCATGTTGAAATGTTGATACGCAAACGTGTGCACATACGAATCTGGAAATTTCACGAAAATAGACATCAGAAAAAGGCAGCACTTTCTGATTAGCCTATAATCAAAAAAGGATGAGTATGCTTCTAAATCAAAAATAAACTACAAACTAAGCCTTAATGTGAAAATCGAAATTTGACTAAGTTCTACATGGTTTTGTACATGGTGGAAGTGTACGTGGCCTAATATTTACGGAAGTAGTCCAGTAAATTGACCACATGTCTGGGGCTAGGGAAACACTGTACAAGGAACTTCAACCCGATAGGTTTATGTACAAACTGCATTATGGTTTGTGTGCACAAAGAAAGGATGTTTATCCATGGAGCTATAAACACAGCTCCATGGTTTATCACACAGCATGCAATATATGGATGTAAATTGTAAAATTATCCCAAACTTACGTGATTTCTGCGTCCAGAAGACGTGTCTTGTCGTTGCCCCTTCGATTTTTCCTTTTCCCTAGCGAGTATAGCGTGATTAAAAAACGTTCAAAAAAATGCACATCCGTCTCTGGCAACTACATCATGTACATGTGCTACGATCGAATCTGGGCTTATATAACACGCGGTTCAACCACTTTCTAGCCTTTGTTAGAGAGCTATAAATAGACAAATGGGAAAACCCATCGCACCGTGATGAAGCAATCCTCTGCGTAGTTTATAGACTGGCTTCCTGTCCCTCCATTATTGTCCTCCCTCTAAAAAAAGAAAATAACGGGGGCGCTGTTGAAAGCCTTTTTTTCGACATTGTCAATTTGTTAGAGCAAGGGGGTCGATCGCATTATTTTTAATGAATTATTATGAATAAATAATTTTGACAAAACTTGGGGCGGGGGGGGGGGGCTTGACCCTGGGAATACATATATACACTTCGGAAAACATAAGTTGTAAAGTTTATATCACAACAATGTGTAAATTATTGTGGTCCATAATCGCATTAGTGGCAATAATTGTGCATAAAAAATACCTCAAATTACATGCCTAATGTGAATCCAACTCTGAACAGTGAAACAAATGACACGTACAAGCCAATTTTATTTTATTTATATTTTTATTTACTTATTGTAAACTTTAACGAGGGTAGTCCATTTCAGTTTAAAAAAAAAATGCTTTCCAAAGGAGCCCTCACATTAAAATTACATGAAAACAGAATGAAACAAAGAAAATAGAATTACAAAAATATAGACAAGACTTAAAGAAAAAAAAACTTTACACAAAACAAACAGTATGAGTAATAACTAACAGAGAGCATAAAAACACTTATTGCACATTATACAATTATCACAGTCGACTCTCGTAAGTACAAACTCTGTCAACACAAAATTCTGGACACAAAAAAACCATAAGGCATTGGTCCCGACTGTGCATCCATGTGCACAACGCATGGGACCGATGTTCCCCCTAATACAAAATTCTGACACAACAAACAACCCGGCTAGGTTCGAACGAGTTTGCACCAACGAGACTCGACTGTGCATGGAATTACATGAAGTCCCCCAATAAACCTTAAAAAAAAGTGCAGTTAAAAAGCAAAACATCACAGTCATCTCGATTTACACGTCAAAAATAAAATGCGAAGAAAAAACAAAAGTGAAGCTGTAAAATAAAAGCCTTGTTATTCCTCAAAGATTTGCATAAAGTCCCACAACAGTGCATGTAACCTAACCTAACCAAATACCACATTTAAACCAACCAGATTACACACTTCGATAAATATAATCCCTGAGAAGTTAATGAACAGAAAGTACAGCCTACCGTAATAGGAGCTCCATTCCTTGGACATTCACACAAGCCCAGTTGTTCCTTAGTTGTACTAAAATATAAAGTAGTGATGTACACACGAGTCATATAAAATTCAACTTGGCCGGCCAAATCACGGAAGAAACTCAATACAAAATGCTATGGTCACAAAAAGATGCAGGAAGAAATGGCAATAGATATTCCTTGCCAAAGACCTAGTCCACTTACGGTTGAATGCACAAAGCACAATTTAAAGAATTCTATTGAAATTATAACAATGAACATGCCCAACAGCAGCTGGCAGATTAGTATCATCCACACCATGTGCGGCTTGTTACAAAAGGAACTTGCATGAAAATAACGTACTCTCTAAATGTACTCTCTAATTGTAAAAGAGTGAACTAAATGTCACTCTCCAAAAGAGTGCAGCCCTCATAAAAACTACCCCAAAACGACTCCAAAATGAAAGAAAAAACCACTGCCACCACTCCCAAAACGAGTGAAAAATTACTCCAAGCAGTGAAATTCCCACTCTTTCGATGCACCTATGGCTCCACGAAAGAGTGGAAATTTAATTAATTTTTATTATTTTGGAGTGATTTTGGAGTGGATTTGATAAGGGATTCACTTTTTTTAGAGAGTGACTTTTTAATTCACTCTTTTACATTTTGCCGAGTCCAGACGCCACCTCAGCGGTTGTGTATAAAGTATATGAAAGTCAAGAATATCTTCGAGGTATTTCCTTACAAAATTGTAAAAGAATGTTTCTTGGTCCCATGCAGACTCATGTCTTTTGTGGCAATGACTCACCTTTATTGAGCTGATATATGAAGAAAAAAAGAGGCGTCAGGTTGTAACATGCTTTCCCCTCAAGTTTTGATGAAATTTTCGAAAGGCACACAGTTTATTGTTCACCGTGTAGGTTGGTTTAACATTTTCACGTTAACGTTTTTTTCACTGACTAATAACTCTCACAACTGAGTGGAGCAACAATGAAAACTTGCTTATGTGTGAATAGGTCCTTTCAACCCAGTACGGGAACGAACTCACTGAGTCTTCCCGCAAACTCGTGGCATGGGCGCCGCCATTTTGTAACACACTGTAACTTATGGAACGTGTAGTTGGTGTCTTATTAACATGTCATTAATAGGCATACGTCATCTTCCTCTTTATGCTGTAATTAAACAGAACTGAATAAACACATTATTAACAAATATTATAGCGGTCAACAAGTGTCAACGTTTTCTAGCATAGCATCCCGGCTAGCACCACTGAGGGTTGGCCCACAGGCTTGGCCCAGGGGTGGCAAAATCAGCTGCATAAATTATGTTGTAAACGTTGTTGTCAATGTACAGGGTGCAACCCTGCCAAAAAAAAAATAGTGCTAAATGTGCATACTTCAAAATTCTTTTAAAAATACTCAGAACTCTCACAGGCATTCAAGCTGCACAGAAAAATGATGATCACGTGTCATCTTTCAGTTTTCTTTAAATTTTGTGGTGGGTTGACCATTGACTTTTCGAGATATTCTCACCCAACGAAGACGACCCCTATTTCCCCCAAAGCGGAAAAGCCATCTTGAAAAACGATCCCTCCACAACATGGCAAAATAGCATCCAAAATGCTCACAATTGGAGGCCCCAATGAAGTCCGGGCAGAGGTTCATTACCATATCTCTTCAATTCCACAATTTTATGGCTCTCTACTATATAATCTTTTGAGGGTCTAACTTTTTATTCATGAGCTCGGCGGACGGATTTTTGGCCTATTTACAGGTGTGCACCCTCAAGGCCACGTACATGTACATGGTTAGTTGCTGTCGGCGGATTGCACCGACAACTCATTCTCGGCAAAGGAACAGTCCTGTTCAGGATCAGTCTGGAGAACTTCTGCTCGCATCTGTTTAGGACTTGATCGGCAGACTTTAAAAAAAAGTGGCCGATCTCATTGCATATCCCTTGCAGTGTTGTCCCTTGGCTGGACATGTTATTAGCCTAGAAGCATAGCCTCAATTCTGCCAAAGGGCCCCACTCGACCTGAGGTACGATGCTCGCTGATCCCTTCTGATGGGAAGATTGTTAGAGTGTTGCTTCTGGCACCTGGTGAACTGATGTCCTGCTGATCCTTTGTGGTTGTTTAAAGCGTTTTGGCAAATTAAAGTGTTACTAAATAAACACACTGTGCATGCTGAAAGCCGTAATATAATTTAAGGAAATTGCAGTATGAAGAACACTCCGTATTTTATCGTCATGCAACAAAAGAGGCCGCGCTACACAAACACTGCTCACCGCGCTCCGACGTCTGACCGTTCGAAAAGGAAACACATTTGTTGTGAAAATGGGAACTCAAGATGAACACATTGTATTGCAATGAAATTTCCTCTAATATTATGAGGGCATAATTAAGAAATATATCGAATTTACACGGCCCAGCCAAGGTTTGCAATTCAACAGAATACAATGCTACAATCTCAATGGGATGTTGAGTGTGCTAATAAAATCGAAACCGCTCAGCAATCACCAGTCGTTTAGTTGGTCCGTAGATGAGATTTAAGTGAGCAGAACACAGAGTTCAGCGTGTTTTTTCATTATCCGCTACAGGTTCAAAGGCTATTCGAAGCATTGTACACGTTTTGCTTCTTCGGACGTGCAAGAAACCAAATTTGTGCACCCATACTGGAATTTGCATCCATGGGGAGTCATTTTCTTTGTTCTCGTGTACTAAAGTTTTCGAGTTTGAAAGTGTAGTTTCAAAGTGCTCCTACTTTAACCAGAATTAATTTCCTCGGCTGACATTCAGACTAAACATTCTTTGCCTAAAATACTTCAATTTGTGACATATCAACACACCTTGGAAATTCGTTTTTGAGTAAAATCTATCTATTTCGTGATTAACCGTGTGGAGAAAAATTCATCTATAGAAATTGCCCTCATTGGAGACGTATTCAGTTTTTTGTTCCCTATTATACCCATGTCTACACGGGGTACCGTGTAACAGTTCACTGGTGCTATGTGAAATTTATGTGACACACGACGTGTATCGTACATTGAATAAAAACGACAGGAAAAACGTCGTCGTGTCCGATGTGAACAACCGGTTTTTCGACTTTTCTTAGAAATGGTAGGATATTAGGTTGGTTTCCCTTTAACCAGATTTTAAAGAGAATAAGTTAACAATCTAAACACGAAACATACTGCATGCCGGCCGCATTCAACTCCTCAAAGGTCACTATAGGTCTCCACAATTCAAATGGTCTTCATCGCACAGCATGAAGAACCGACAAATATTCAGTTTAATGTTTTCAATAGTCACAAAGTGCACAGTTGTACCAGATATGACCTTATTCGGCCCCACTACTTGGCAGTTAATTTTTAACTTGGATTTCCCGGCACGGGATCTTTGATACATTTATCATTTATTGTCGCATCTGATCTGTACACATATAAATCTTGTCTGCTAGTAAACGTTTTGCCCTTAATTCAATACTGGCAAACAAGGTCAGTCCCCTATGGTTGCAGGCCAGTAAATCTGCCCAAAATTGCCTACGCCAGCCAAACCACGATTTGCATGCTCTCAATTCTTCGGTATTTGAGCACATTGCGGGCCATAAACTTGAGGGTTTTAAAAAATATGGGTTAAAACCGTGCTCAGGACTGTGAACTTGTAGTTCTGTGTAATTTGGATGAAATTGGAGCCCTAAAAGCGCTCTATTTTGCAATGGAGTGTAGGCATCTTTTTACAAAATGAAAGATGATGAAATAAGCTTTAATTTGATGTGTGTCTCGAACAAAGAGTTGCGAGTATTTTTCCCGAATTCCTGAAGTGGGGGCATTTATCATTGGGGTCTAGGCAGTTCATTTACTGGTCTGCAACCCTATGCATCTTTGCATATTTTAACGGTGCAACTAAATATAAAAGCACGTTACAACCTCTGAAATGTTTCTGTGATGTTTGAACATTCTTGGAAAGGTATCAAACAAATTCAGAATCGATTAAGCGAGAATCCAGGGGAGTCTGGGGGTTGGAGTACCCCCAATTTGAACCCCCCCCAAAAAAATATCAAAATTGTATTAATATCAATTACCTATATTGTCTACCTGTCTGCACCAATCGGACATAACACACATCTGACTGACTTGAACACCCCCCCCCCCCCCCCTGCATGAAGTCCTGGATCCGCCTTTGATGATCAAATGCTACCGACGAGACAAATTACAGTCCGTGAAACAAGAATTTCGGTGCTTGGTTATTTATTACCTTAATACTAAAAGCATATCTGGCATTATTCAGAAACAATTACTACACAAGACTATTAATACAGCACAATGCTAAGGTAAACTGTAACACTGACTACAGGCATTGACGAAGTTTTATAGTGGAGTTATGAACAGAAGGCGTTATAAACCTCTAGTAGTTCGAATTGATGATCGTCGCCGCGCTCAAAAGCAACATTGAAAGCAAATGGCGGCCAGCCTGCTCAGTTGCTCACTACGCTAATCTCTATGTAATGCTGGAAGAAGAAGTTTTGCACCGCTCTGTGGATATCGCCGTGGTAATACGCATGCGCAGTTGTCACATATAGGTCGCCAAAATGAATGATTTTGAAAGTGTTTAATCGGAGTTGGTTAATACTTGGTAACAATGTGGTTAATATTACTGAAACAATCATTTTATGACGAACAATATGCTTTATACCTTTAATGAGAAACCTTGTAGAAATGCTCCAAAATATCATATTTTATAAGTGATGTATTGCCAATTAACATTTTCGAAAAAACAACAAAAACATGATAACTTATCGGGAAAATAAAATCAATTTATCTTCAAATAAAAGACACAGGTAGCGCCTTCAAAGCCCAACAACTGCACATCGATAACATGAATTCGTAACTCACATCTAACAACTGTGCATTTGTTAAAACCTATCTTGCCGTGACAAATTTCTTTTTCCCCAAAAGAGCAACGATATGACATGACTTTCTATCCAGCACATAGGGAGGTTGTTGGTTACCAACTCAAAAGGCGGCGACGATCATCGTGTTCAAAGGCCGAATGAATGGTCCAGGCTTGAGGTCTCAGTGCTTGAGCTATGGACACTCTCCAGAGATAGCAATGTTCATGGTCAAAATCTAAATCGCCCAAGAGTTCCAACTATTTCTGTTCATATCTCCATGGTTTTATATACAGCAAAAATCTCAAAGACTCGGTTCCTGGCGTATAATTTGTAAAGCAATATACATGCTAACCTGCATAC